GGAAGAGTTTAATAAAATTGATTGGTTCAAATAGTTACTTCTTTATGCGATATCAATCTAAAGAAGACATCCCTCCCTTCTCAGGGACTTCTTCCTTCCTCCCTCCCTTCCACCCTTCTTTCCTCCCCTGGAAGGTTTTAACTCCACACAAATTCACTCCGGAGTTTTGAGAGACACTGCAAAAGGAATGTGTTTTCCCAGTCACCCTAACTTGGGATTTCTGATGAAAAGCAGCCTAAAGAAATACATAAGTTTGAAATTGTTACCTTAAAGGTGTGATATTGGACAAAAGTATCATTTCCAGTTTTAGAAAAAGAACTCATACACAGATAATAGAGACATTATGTTTATTTATCAAATGACTAGCGAGGTGAAGCCAGTTTGATTGACTACCTTAGTGCCCATCTTTCCTGCTTGCAATCGCCCACCTTATTTCCATAATAAAAATTAAAGGTGCTTTTAGCCAGCTGACATTTTTCATTACCTGCTCTTTTAAGCAACATAGTATTGTAAAACGAGAAAAAATATTTGGCATTTTGTAACAATAGTTGAAACAAAGAAAACATCCAAGTTGTGAGTATTTATTTGACAATGCATTGCACTGATCTTTTTCTCTTGTGTTAGAGTAAATTACTGATTTTCCAAGTTTTGTTCAGCGTTAGTCAAGATGGCTAGATGTTAGCCTTTTTGTTTGTTTGGTTTTTCCATTTTATAAACCTCAACCCCATCTCAGTCTAAAAAGAAAATGAATGAAAAACGGACAACAGTAAAAGCGGAGCACGTGTCCTCTTTAAAGGAAACTCAGGAAAGATAGTGGGTAAACTTTGAGTGTCCTGTGTGTTCGCAGTGAGTTCTGCGTCAATCAGTGGCTTATGTTTTACGCTTTCAGAACGGGAACTCGCATTGGCTTGTTTTTCGTTTGTTACAGGCGCCAGTGCATTAATAATGTAGTAGTCGTTATGAACGCTCACCACAGGTTGCTCATCTGGTTAGTGCAGGCGCACACCACGGCACCTTCATTTTTTTGGTACATTAATACCTTGCTTGCTTGTTCTCCGTTAATTAAGTGCACTAGTACGTCAGTACTGTAGTACTCGGTACGAACAACTCACCACGGCTTGTTCTTCATTTTTTTAGTGCGCTAGTACGTTAGTACTGTAGTACTCGGTACGGACGACTCGTCAGAACTTGTTCTTCATTTGTTTAGTGCACCAGTACCTTAGTACTCGGTACTGAAAATGCATCACGGCTTGTTCTTCATTTTTTTAGTGCGCTAGTACGTTAGTACTGTAGTACTCGGTAAGGACGACTCATCACAGCTTGTTATTCATTTGTTTATTGCGCTAGTGCGTTAGTACCTTAGTACTCGGTACTGACAACTCATCACGGCTTTTTCTTCATTTGTTTAATGCGCTAGTACGTTAGTACTGTAATACTCGGTAATGACGACTCATCACAGCTTGTTCTTCATTTTTTTAGTGCACTAGTTCGTTAGTACCTTAGTACTCGGTACTGACAACTCATCACGGCTTGTTCTTCATTTGTTTAAGTTGTGTGTTCCGAGTATTAAACAAAGTAAGAACAAACCGTGATGAGTCGTCAGTAGTAGTAGTAGTAGTAGTAGTAGTAGTAGTAGTAAATCTTCATTTAAACTCGGTTAAGAATCTTCAGTTATACTAATAGTATTTTAATTACAATCATTTGTAAAAATTAAAATAACTATAAAAACTGATTTACAAGATTGCTGAGTGGGAATCGAATGTTTCAAGTGCGCGGTTGATTTCCTTCTTAAACTGCCCAATTGATCTAATCGCCCTTATATTCTCAGGAAGAGAATTCTACAGTAAGGCACCGCTATAGCCAAAGCTACGTTTCAAATAGTCCGTAGGCGGCTTGGGTAAGTTTAACTTACGGAAAGAATCACGCAAGTTATAGTCTATTTGTTGCTCACTGAATAAATCATGCAAGTACACTGGGGCTAACCCGTTGAGGGATTTAAACATTATGATAGCTTTCTGCTTTCTTCTTCTTAATGATAGCTGGTCCCACTTCAAAGTTTCAAGAAGCAGGCTTGAGTTTACTTCACAGTTGGCTTGCAGAATAACCCTAGCTGCTCGGCCGGTTTTGCAATTTTTGTAGTTTCTCACATAGATAAGAACTCAATCCATCCCAAACGGGGGCACAGTAATCGAAATGAGATTGGATTAAAGCGTTATATATTTGTACTGCAATGGACTGAGAAATGAGGGACCTAATGCGCCTTAGAGCACCTATTGCCGAGGATATCTTTCTGCATAGTTCTTTGATGTGATTAGACCATGAAAGTCGGTCATCAATAATTAAACCTAATGATTTGGCATGCTCAACCCTGCAAATTGGATGGCCATCTAATTGGATATTAATCTCACTACAATTTTCTGCACGAAACTTTTGACGAGTACTAATCGCCATAAACTCAGTTTTCACGATGCTTAGACTAAGCTTATTGGCTTTTAGCCAGCTGTAAATATTGTTAAGTTCAGAATTTGTTGCTTGTTCGAGTTCGGTAAAAGTGCAACCAGGGACGGTGATGTTAGTATCGTCAGCAAACATTTTTGCACAGGAGATATCGAGGCAATTAGGAAAATCATTTATATATATGTAAAAGAGTAGAGGTCCCAGTATACTTCCCTGGGGAACTCCGCAGGTTAATCTACTTGCACCGGATAACGCTCCATTGACACTGCATTTTTGGGATCTATTACATAAGTAGGACGCAAAAAAATCGTAGAGCACTTTGATCGACCCCATAGTTTGCAAGTTTCCGCAAAATTATTTCGTGATCGATTGTATCAAAGGCCTTTTTAAGATCAATAAATAGCACGCCATTTAAGAGACCGTTGTCAATATTAATTGACCAGTTGTTCGTTGTCTCAAGCAGCGCTGTTAGCGTGCTGTGCATTGATCGAAAGCCAGATTGGCACGTATTCAAGAGGCTATTATCCTGAAGGTAATCATAAAGTTGACGATAAATAATTTTTTTCGAACATTTTTGAGACGAGTGGCAATACTGATATTGGTCGATAGTTCTCTAGTTCACGCTTGGATCCTTTCTTAAACAGCGGTGTAACTTTGGTAGTTTTCCACTTGTTTGGAAAGATTTCAGTATCTATACAGCTCTTAAAAATGTATGCTAAAGACGACCCGACAATACTGCTAGAAAGTTTTAAGAGTTTACAGGGAATTCTATCCAACCCAGTGGCTTTTTTTGTGTCTAGCTGATTCAAAAGCCTGCATACAGTGCTAGCGCTTGGGGGTTTAAGAGAAAATATTGTGTCCGTGGGATGTAGATAGAATTCTGGCTCAATGGTTGATGGTTGTATTTCACTTGCCAAATTTGATCCAATAGTCCCAAAAAAATCGTTAAAGACTTCTGCCATTTCAGCCGCAGAAGAAATATGTTCGTTGTTTACCTTAATTTCGGAAATATTTCGTACTCTGCCATATTTGCGTGAACTTAGGTCGTCAATCAGCTTCCATGTTTTTCGAGGATTCATTTTATTCACTTCCAAGTTATGCGTAAAATACTGTTTCTTTGCCGATTTAATGGCATTGTTTACTTCGTTTCGAGCTTGCTTATATCGCTCCCAAACCGTCGCGCTATTTTCTTGAATAGCAATTTTCTTCATATAATTCCGTTTATAAATTTTGGGAGTCAGTTCATATGTAATCCACGGAGAGTGTTTATTGGAGACCCGTTTATTTTGAAGTGGGGCATGCTTATCAACTACTTCCATAAATAAATTTTTCCAAACATCCCACATCACTTCCGGATTTTTCTCTGAAAAAAAATTTATGCTATAGCTGTTTTGCAACATCGTCGAGGAAATGGTGGTGGTTGAAATTTTTAAAAGCGCGTGTCTCAATCGTGCGATGACTACCAGTTCGCTCGTAGCAGATTTTAAGAGTCATGAAGACCAGATAATGATCGCTGATACTGAGATGAATTACACCATCTTTTGATATTTTTTCGGGCGAACTAGTTAAGTCTTTCTGTTTAGAGTTCACTTTATCGATTAAAGACTCAAATTGTCGAAAGATATCTTGGGGAGAGTTTGGAGGTTTATACCACATACCGACAATAAAAGGTCTTGGTCCGTACCAAGTACTAAGGTACTAACTTACTAGCGCACCAAACAAATGAAGAACAAGCCGTGATGAGTTGTCGGTACCGAGTACTAAGGTACCAATTAACTAGCGCAATGAGGTGCGGACGTCTTGCATTCTGCAGCATACACCTTTATTGAATATCTCACGGGCTATACCAGCAGCTAAAGTACTTGCTTCATCTAGTCACAAGCTCGGCTTTTATAGGTACGGTCGAGGATCCAGAACGCTCCGTAAAATTGCAATAGATTCTATTTATATATTGATTTAGGGATGACTCAGCATGACACAGCTACTTCTAGAACGTTCTTGAAGGTCACACTACAGTTGTCTTCTTGTAAAATAGCATCCTTGGTCAACCCTTTCACTTCAGAAAATGAGTTTACCGTAAATCCCGTACAGGTCTGAATTTAATTCAGGCCTTATTTTCACTACTGCTCAAGTAGTGCACATTATTGCGAGAATCACTTTCATTCACGTGATTCTCTTTTAATAGACAGGAGTTCCAACTCCTAACATGTTTTTCCTGATAACAGTTAACTTAAAGCATCATCAATCACTACGAATTTTGCTCTGGTTATTTTTCCTCTAATTTGGATGTCAAGGTAGACTTAACCTTTGGGAAACACACGTTCTCCACTATACGCTTTCAATATGGCACGAGTTATCTTCAAGTCTGATCGGTTTTGAATCTTTACAAAATCTTCCGGCATTCTCAAACAATTTGCCTCTGATCCACTATCAATCTGCATGGTTACCTCAATCCAATTACTTGTCCGTCCACTTCTTAGCTGAAGTTCAATCATGTATTTAGAACGGCTGCTGTCAGTGACTGAATACATGTAGTAAACTTCATCATCAGTGATTGCTGGTTCGGCTTCTTCAATTCGATGAATACACCTCGTAGGTTTCTTGGAAACGCTCTTCACAGCTTTCTGTGTTCTCCTTTGAGATTCTTGATCTCGAATTCTGCACATCTTAGCAAAATGGTTCTTCATTTTACACTTGCGACATTTTTTTTTCCATAAGCCGGACACTCGCGTAAATTGTGGTTCGTTCCACAGTATTTACATTGTTTCACCGTTTCTACTTTCCTCTGTACTTGACAGCGTGTACTGAAGTTTCTATTTCTCCATCAATCTTTTTCAGTTGATCGCTGGCTGTTTCTGCAGCTCTAATTATGTCTAAGGCTGTATTGAGAGTGAGAGCCTTCTCACGGAGTAGTCGTTTTCTGACTTCATGGCTTTTGATTCCAATGACCAGTCTGTCTCGAATCAGTTCGTCACACAGAGCGCCATAAGCACAGGTTGACGCCAGCTTTCGCAGTCTGTTCAGGTATCGATCCATGTTTTCATTTTCTTGGTTGGCACTGTTGAACAGGTAACGCTCAAAAATGATGTTCCTCTGTGGTTCTAAATGCTGCGTCAGAGCCTGCAAGAAACTATCAGGATCTGTGCGATCAGCTGCAGCAGATTTTTTAGCTATTTGGTAAGTTTCTCTTCCCAGAACTATCTTAAGAGTTTCCAAAATGACTGGTTTGGGTTTCTTATCAAGTTCAGTTGCTATCTTACAGCTCTCCCAACTCTCTCTGAAAAAAGTCCAGTTATCTGCCAGGTTCCCCTTGAGACTCATTGGAGGTGGCGTTGGTAACTGACTGTACAGCATCATCTGTTTAGGTGGCACATTAGGTTGTGCTAGAGGTGCCTCTGGAAGATTCTCTTGCACCGGAGGGTCCGTTTAATCGTCCATCCTGTTAGTTATTTTGTTGTCCTCGAGAGACGTTCGCTAAGTGTATGTTAGGCTCTGGCCTTTCGCAGAAATGCAGTTTCCTCAATGTGTGAACCTCGAAATTCACTTCAAATTTCAAAAGTGGCCGTGTTAAGGCTTCTGGTCTGTCCAATAACACCGCTGGATTCTTTTAGCGCCCGCAATTACTTCTTCTGTCTTCGCTTGGATCGACGAAATTTATCTTCAGTTTTGTAATCCACTTCCTGACACCGTGAAGTGTGGAGGTCTTGTATTGTGCAGCATACACCTTTATTGATACCTGACGGGCTATACCAGCAACTAAACTACTCGCTACATCTAGTTACAAGCTCGGCTTTCATAGGTACGGTTGAGGATCTAGAACGTTCCGTAAAATTGCAATAGATTCTATTTATATATTGATTCAGGGATGACTCAGCATGACACAGCTACTTCTAGAACATTCTTGAAGGTCACATTACGATGCTTGTTTGGAGAATTTGGTACTGAATCAATTTTTAATCTCCAAACTGTTATTTTACTTTATTCCCATCACTTGTCTGTTTGATATTGTATTGATGTTGTAAAGAGAAATTCTCTCTTGGTCATTTGTAAGAGTTAAAGGGTTAAATTAATTGGCATCCACATAATGCAGACAGCAAGAATTTAAAAACGTTCGCTTTATGGGTTTAAAAATTAAAATAAGGGGGTTGTGCAGACCATATCTTACTTTTTATGATCCTCTGGATATTTATTCAAATAACATAGTCACTATCAGTCTCGTTCACTCTCGCTTTCCACTGAGCTTGTGGAAAGATGATGACCTCAGTATTTCTTTAAATGAAGAAAGGAAAGCCAGCCCCTTACCAGAGATAGTTTTTTTGGACATCATCTGTACAAACCTGATTGTTCTAGGTAGGTTAACCTTAAAAATAAGTTGTGCAAAAATTTCTTGAACCCGTTGTTGTACGTCTTAAATATTTGAATCAGGTTTACCTCACTAACCTAACCTGAATAAATAGGAACTTGAAATTCAATTGTTCTCCTTTTGAGGTGTGCATCAAAATTTCGAAGTCATGTGCATGTCTTTTCAACATATGAAACCACAATTATGACTATTTCAAAAGACTTTGACTTTAACGTACAAGTACAAGCAGGTGTTGTAAAAAAGTTTGCTTAGCTTTTTCATAAGTACACATTTCTTTTTCTAAGAATCTCTTTTATCCGGCCTATGCTGAATTCTAATTTTTCGACTAAATTTTATTTTCTTTTGAATATTCTTAAATTTCCTAGTCTCAGTTAATATTCATGTAATTAAAATAATTACATGAAATCTTGCAGATGTATGGCACATTGTTTTTTCCTCTGGTCCTCCTAAAATTTTATTATGTGAAGGGACTGATATTGGCTATAAAAGTATAGTCAAAGTAAAGTTTTTTGCACAGCCTATGCATCAAATTTATGTGATGAAATATTGTATCCGTATTAAAACTAGTTTATCAGAATAATAGCGGAGCTTGCAGAGCGTAGCCCCATAATTATACAAAATAGTAGTAACCCATCAAGCCGAAAAAATTTGGATGTACGACCGTACGACCGTACAAGATGCTACTTTTAACATGCGTGGTCAACTGTACCGCGGGCACGCTAACGTTACGGTTTTGTTCAGTAGTCCAGTGGCCAGTGCACTGGGCTCCGAGTCGGACGACCCGGGTTCTAGTCCTTCATTGTTCAACTAAAGCAGTAAAAGATATATGTACTATCAAACCTTTGGAAAATTACTTAACATTTTATTTAGTGGAGTAAACTGTTTACATTTCGGCTTTACAACACGATTGTTTCCTGCAACTACAAATGATATGTCTCGATATGAATTATAAAAGTTGTTTCACCGCTGACCACTCGTATTTAGATCTTTTTTCCTTTCCACGCTCGTCGCTAGTGATGTAGTAATTCCCAACTTCCGTGATACGATCCTTCGGAATCCCCCGAGACACTCCTACCATCATGTAACATGAACCATCAACATTAGATGCTCAAGGTGTGCTAATTGGAGTCAAATGTGAACGTTCTTTACGAATTTACTTTGAATGTGATATTTAGGGGAGCGAAACTTATTACTTGCTGTAAGAAATTAAAGCACTATTAACAATGGCGTGTTCGAGCGCATCTACTGCTGCCAGTGGCGAATAAGAGAAGAAAGAACAGAAGCTTATAGATGCCATGTTTCTCTGTGACGAATGGAAATCTTCGAAAGGTGGATTATCAACTTTCAATCGAGAATTTGCGATTAATTTGGCAGAAACGACGGCTGGTAGTATGAAAATCCACTACTATGTCTCTAATAGCGATGATCGGGACAGAGAAGACGCTGAACAATTTGGTGTCAATTTAATCAAAGCTCGAAGTGTTCCTGGTTCAGCCAACCCCCTCGAGTGCTTGAAGTTTCCACCATCACAGCTCCCAAACCCACATCTGGTAATAGGCCATGGAAGAAAGCTAGGTAGTCCTGCGTATTCCCTTGCACAGATTACAAAGTGTAAATGGATCCAATTTGTTCACGTATACTGTGAGGACCTTGGGAAATATAAAGAATCTGACACGGCTGCAGAAGATTCAATCGAAGAGAACGAGAAGAAGCATAAGATGGAAATTGATTTGTGTAAAGCAGCGGATGCAGTTGTCGCCGTAGGCTCCCGTCTACAACAGAAGTACAGCAGACGTCTTCTTAATGTTGAAGTGAAGGTTATCTCTCCTGGGATCTTTGGAGAGTTTTCCAATGAATCAAAGTTGGCCGTAGACAGATCAGTAGTAAAGACATTTAATTCGTCTATATTTGGCCGAGCTGCCTTTGAGGATCTTTCCCTGAAAGGCTATGATATAATTGCAAATGCCATTGGTTCTCTTGGTAAGAACTTTGAATTGACATTTTTTGGCTCATCTCCCGGTGAACAACGAAAAGTTGAGCAATGATTTCTTGACAACACGTGCATCAACCGGAACCAACTAACCATCCGTCGATACTGCAGTGAACGAGAGGAACTCAAGGTGATGTTCTATCAGTCAGATTTGGTTGCTCTGCCATCCCGCACTGAAGGATTTGGGCTTGTCGCCCTCGAAGCCATTTTTGCTGGTGTCCCTGTTCTAGTCTCTGGTGAATCTGGCATAGCTGAGGCTTTGCAAAAAGGAGAAGGTGGAAACACTGTCATTGTTGGATCAGATGAAGATGAAGGTGAATGGGCACGAAGGATTAGAGAGATGTATGAAGAAAGCGCAGAAGAGAGGGAAGTCAATGCTGTGAGAACTACAGGAAGGTGTACTCTTGGAAAGCAGAATGTGAGAGGTTTAAAGGGCGGATTGAGAAAGTAGTGGAAAATGGTATGTTCAATGATTTTATCTTTGCTTAAATTTAAGGTGCAGGTGATATTTCTTTAACCTACTGTATTTGGAAATATAGAAACCTTGTGTAAAAGACTAAATGCAGGTTCATGTAGATAGCACAGCCAGATTGCATGATTTATTTCTGCTAATGTTTTGATATGAATAAACCAGCTGTAATAGTTCCCTTTCACTCACTATTCACTTTTTCCCACTTTCTTGCGTCCTTGCAGATATGAAATTTGTCATGTTACAAAATTTTGGTGTATTGGGTACTATTCAATCGCAAGATTGCTGTGTGATTTCGGGTTTTGGGGGAAGGAACACTGGTGTAGCAGCCTTCTTATAATGAGGACCTGCAAGCAGACTATCATCCAATATGTTTGAAGTTTAAGGTGATATTAACGGTTTCAAGTGGATTTGAAGGACAATTTTAATTTAAACACTTTGCTCCAAATCAACAGATCAAAAATCAAGGTTGATGTGGAACACATGAAACTTGGAGATCATAATGCTTACAGTACACCGTACACAGTACACTGGAGCCAGTAGGATACCAGAAGGTATCCACAGCTTCGGGCACAAAGAGAAAAACACAATCTGATACACATTTAGAAGATCTCCAATTACTCGAAAAGAGAGTCCTGTGCTTGGTTGCTATAAATTACCTTAATACTACACCACCACAAAGTAGGGATGAACGCAATGAATTTCTGGAATTCTTAGAAAAAATTAGGGCATGCATTACAGATGTTTTTGTTGGAAGTTTGGTGATAACAGTAAAGTGCGATTCTCTCAAGTGCTTGGAGGAATTATGGAACGAGTACTCATGTGGCCGTTTGGTTAAGATGGTTCAAGATTGTTTTGTGACTGAAAAGATCTTGAAGGAACTTAACCTGGCAGAACTGAAGCTGAAAACAACAATGGACATCGAAGAGTACAATACATAAAAACTGTACTTTCTTGAGAAGGATGCACTCAGAGGTCAGTTGAAAGAAAGAAAAAGGCCTGGTCCTTTGAAAAAATGTTTTGAAATGATTAAAAACACAACACATCACTTATTCAAACCAATATAAAAAGAAGCTTCAAAGTTAATAGGGATATTACCCCAGATAAAATAGCAAACCTCTTTAGTATTGCCAATCAACACTCTAACCTCAGAAATAGTAATCAATTCGTTCTACCCAGATAAAACTTGGACATTGGCAGAAATTCCTCAAGATAAAGAGGCTCACTGCCTTGGCAACTTACCCCTACCTCTCTCAAACATTCCCACTCCCTCAAGAACTTTAAGAACCTTCTAAAGGAACGTCGGCATAAGAATTTTATTAATGATCTTAACTTTCTCAAAGAAACATATGGTATTCCAAAAGAATCAAGACTTTAAATATTTTTAGTATTGTAATTTTAATCCCGTAAGAATCAAGACTGTAAATATCTTCAGTATTGTTATTTTGAACAAATTTTATAATAGAACACCTAGACAGCTTTAGCTGAATAGTCCGTAGTTTGGTCCGTAGGCCTTTAATTTAAGAATCAAGATTTTAAGTTTTTTTAGTATGTAATTTTGATCCGATTTAATAATAGTACACTTAGATAGTTTTAGCTAAATTCCGTAGACGGTAGGTCCACATCAGCCTCCGGCTGCCTTTAATTTAACCTACTATACCAAATAAAGTATGTATGTATGTATGTATGTATTTGGCTCGAGGTCATGACGTACGGAGCGAACGCTTTGCCATGAAACTCTTGGGTTTTTCCTTTCTGTACACAGATAAGCATGTTTAGCGGCCTACCACAATTTGGTGATTGTTTTCTTCTCTAATGGTTCTCGTGTAAGATTTTCGTTTATTTCAGTCGCATGATTCCCCTCATGAACAGAAAGCGACATGAACGGTCGTATACATGAAGTTATCTCGAGCCGCTGAAGAGCTAACCCTGATCTATGGGCTCAACTTCCGTGATATCTAAGCGTTCAATGACGTTCGATCCTGTGCTAGATGGAGCCAAACGTGTGTGTTCTTTACGAATTTACTTTGATTGTGATATTTAGTGGAGTGAAACTTATCGATTCCTGGAAGAAGTTAGAGCATATTGACAATGGCGTGTTCGAGTGCATCTACTACTGCCAGTAGCGAAGAGGAGAAGAAGGAACAGAGGCTTATTGATGCCATGTTTCTCTGTGATGAGTGGAAATCTTCGAAAGGTGGATTATCAACTTTCAATCGCGAGTTAGCTATTCATTTGGCAGAGACAACGAGTGGTAGCATGAATATCCACTGCTATGTCTCGAGAAGCGATGATCACGACAGAGAAGAAGCTGAACAACATGGAGTGAATTTAATCACCGCTCAGACTGTTCCTGGATCGCGAGATCCATTAGATTGGTTGAAAGTTCCACCTCCAGAGCTTCGGAATCCGCATATTGTGATCGGTCATGGCAGAAAACTTGGAACTCCAGCATGTCACATTGCACGAGTTACAAGATGTAAATGGATTCAGTTTGTCCACGTCTTCTGTGAGGACCTTGGAAAGTTCAAAGAAAGTACTGCCACGGCTGTTACAGATACGATCGAGGAGAACGAGGAGAGGCACAAGATGGAAATTGAGTTGTGTAAAGCAGCGGATGCAGTTGTCGCCGTTGGCTCCCGTCTGCAACAGAAGTACAGCAGAAGTCTACCAAATGTGGAAGTAGAGATCATCACCCCCGGAATCGTGGAAAAGTTTTGCAACGAATCCGTAGAATCAAGAGAACATCCAGGTGTATTATTGAGGACGTTGAATGCCTTTAAGTCTTACATGTTCATGAAGACATTTAACGTTTTCATGTTCGGCCGAGCAACCTTTGAAGACCTTACGTTAAAGGGTTATGATATAGTGGCAAATGCCATAGGTTCCCTTGGAGAGGAATTTGAGCTCACATTTGTCGGCTCTTCTCCTGGTGACCACCGAAACGTAGAGCAATGGTTTCTTCAGAAAACATGCATCAAACGCAAGCAGATAACCATTCGTGGTTATTGCACTGAACAGGATGAACTGAAAGAAATGTTTCACCAATCAGATCTAGTTGCTCTTCCTTCACGTACTGAAGGATTTGGGTTAGTTGGCCTCGAGGCCATTTCTTGTGGAGTTCCTATTCTTGTCTCTGGTGAATCTGGAGTAGCTGAGGCTTTGCAAAATGTAGAAGGTGGAAACACTGTCATTGTTGGATCAGATGAAGATGAATGGGCACGGAGGATAAGTGAAGTTTCCAGCCAAAGTCCAGAAGAGAGACAAGCCAATGCCAGACAGCTCAGAGAGAACTACAGGAAGGTTTACTCTTGGAAAGCAGAATGCGAGAGGTTTAACAGGCTGATTGAAAATGTTGTGAAAACTGCAAGTGGTGAGTCCACTTCTTTTAATTTTCTTTTTGTTCAGTACGTTTGCTGAAATGTTATGCTACATGTAGGAAGCTAAACCATATGTGTAGACTGAGCTACATAAGGTAAACTGAGTACTGGTACATGTAGATAAACACAAGAATGAGTAAAGTGCACCTTTAGTCCTGAGTTGTTGCATTTATCTAGACTTGTGGTTGGACTACAAGTGTTCAAGTGCACTGTCTTTTGCACCAATCAGATTGCAATGTAAGGGTATGTATCTTGCACCAATCATATTACAGCATTAGGATATCTTACACCATTTACAGCATTTGGGTATTGTTTTCTTGCAAATTATGTCATCAAATCAAGGGACTGTGCACAAAGGATGGTCTTAACCAGAAATTTTGGGCTCATTTGTTAAGTGTAATGGTTTGTGGCCTTTGCCTTAAGGTTGAGATTTATCAGGATATGGAAGGATCACATTTGACTTTTTGTATCATTTTTAAGTTAAAATATGTTTTTTCCTTTCTTTTACTTATGATGCCATGCCAAACAACTCACACTCCATCAAGTACCATAGAAATAATGTTTAAAGTCCAATCAGAACATATGCAATCATTGCACTACATGAACATTGTGTAATTTTTCATGTGCTTGAATTGTACTCCACCAATCAAATACCACTTTGCTCCATCATGTGTCATTTCCTCATAAACAACCTGCATTTTATCACATATTCCAAATGCATTTTCCAACTCCACCAAAAAAAATTCACACAGAACTAAATGGGACTGATGGTGAACTTTCCATGCAACTGCTACCATGGACTTAACCCAATCGCATGTCAATTCATTGTAAACAACCTGCATTTCATCATGTATTTCACACACACAGGGCAAAGTCCAGATAGGCAACAATCAATCAAGGAGCCCTCTTTGAATTATTTTCCATTTCTCTTGTTTAATGTATCCTAACTTATTCAGGATTATGATATATCTTTGGTGAGGGTCTATTGGAATTACAACAGAGTTTCAGTTTGCTTTTTGTCATAAATTAGGTGGAATTCTATTTTTTGGACAACTAACTATAGATGAATAATTTTCATTTTCTCTCTGTTAGAGGAACAGCAGAGAGAGTGGTCTCTTTTGCAACCGTTATTTGGTGTCTTCACACAACATGCTCTCTTTCAAACGGGGAATAGAGGGTGTTGTGTGATGGGACCAAACTATGGCTGTGAAGGAGACAACAATAAGTGTGGCACGGATACATTTTATTTTTGCTGAGAAGTATTTGGACAATAGAGACAATAGATCACAAAATACCTGTGTGAGTTCAGATAAATTAGGTTTTTATTTTCTTTCTCTTAAGGTGAAGTAATGCAATATTTTTGTTTGTTTAAAAGTTATGCTCTTTTCCTGTTACAAAAATGAAAACATTAGTTACACAAAATGTCCCATCTCAACCCACCCAGCCAGAAGAATGACTCTTGCATGCTAGGCATGCCTATGTATCACCATGGCTAGGTCTGTTTAGATATTTCCATGTTTGAAAGTGTAATCTTTTAGATCCATCAGAATTTTGATTCTACTATTGAATGAGATAAAGATGCAAAAGAAACAGAAATTGAAGCAATATATATATACTGTATGTGGTAATCATTTTCATTTCATAAATATGTTGTTGGTATCTATTCATTGATAACAAGCTCTATGTTTGATTGGTGTTGCCTCATTGTAATGTTCTCACATTTCAGTGGTTAATTAGGTAGGAGGTGGAAAAAACCTTGTTATATTAGGATTAAATTTGACTGTTACAATTTAACAGGTGGTGAAATGAATATTAAGGTTGATGTGAATTACTTGAAACCTGAAGAACAGAATATCCAGACTGGAATGTTGGCAACAGAGACTGTCAGATGCCATGAGGTTCAGCAGCCTACAGCATCTGCCACATCACCTGCATCTGGAAGTGTGTCTTATCCAAAAACAGATCTCCAAGCCCATAGAGTGGAGACCTTTCTATCAATTATTAAAGGTTCTTTCCACTCCGTGGAACTACATTCCATTGGAGAGTGCAATCAGTTTAAGGAATATGCAAAAGAAATGAAGCTCATCATTGTTGGTGCCTCTGACGGAAGTTTGGTGATAACAGTGAAGTGTGAATCTCTAATGATATTGGAGGACTTGTGGACAGATTACTCATCTGGTCATCTTGGTGAAGTGGTTCAGAATTGTTTTGTAACTGAGAAAATCTTGAAGGAACTAAACCTGGCTGAGCTGAGGCTGAAGGCAACAATGGACAGAGAAGAGTACAATGCATGCAAAATGTTCTTTGAGAAAGATGCACTCAGAGGTTGGTAGAAAGAATGTAATAAGGCCTAGTCCTATCATAAAATATTTGTTAAGGGGTTTGAATGAAATCCATCAGTCCTTCAACATGGTAGGGTAACTGAAGGGATGGGTTCAGTTTTTAATCAAGATTGATGGAACTTATCTCTGATTAAACTTAATCCTTTAACTCCCAGATCACATTTGTAATTTTCCTTACTGTCAACAACACAAACTTTACAATATTAGTTCAAAGAATTTAGTATTGGATCAACTAATTATCCCCAAATTGATATTTTTCTTTATTCTCATCACTTATTTGGTTGATATTGTATTGATATTGTAAGGAGAAATTCTCCCCTGGTCACTCATGAGAGTTAAAGGGTTATGCTGACTACTCTATGTAAACCATGCCAATGCAAGAAGTAATTTGTTTACAGGACATTTTATTTGATGTTTTGTTCTTCTCAAACATCTCTTCCCATGCAGTAACCTGTTATCTTTTTAACTAAGACATCTGGCTTGATATTTTCCTCTCAGTCTATAGAGTTGTATTTGTCTTTCCTTAATTTATTAGATCACATCCATTAATCAAAGATTAATTGGTGAGACTTCTAATGGAGGGGCTATGAAAGAAAATTTACTCCTTTTTATGTGTTGGGTGTTTTTAAAAATAGTATGAAGTATGTTTATGGTTTAAAATGTTTGTCCTCTTGTAAATCTGATTTTAGATGCTTTATCCTCTGAATTCCACTCCACAAGTTCAACCAGTGAAAATCCACAAAAAAAAAAACAATGGGAAAAAAGTGAACAGAAGACAAAGATAATGGAGACAGTGGAATTGGAAGGTGAAAATTAAATTAAAAAAACTTGTATTTAATTAAGTTATTATGGAAAGTTGTTGTGAACAGTAATAATGATTATGTGATAAATGTTCAAAGAATTATCTCAGTGCAATGATGTGGCATCAATAAATTGATATAATTGTACATAGTTCCACCTATGAGGACCCAACATCTGAAGAGAGGCTGTGAATGCTAATCTCTCTCTGCATTTTTTACCTTTACACTGTCTGTGGAAATATAGAAACCTTAATGTAAAAGACTAAAGGCAGGTACATATAGAAACACAGCTAGATTGCATGATTTATTTCTATAAATTTTTTGATATGGTTAAACTAGCAGTTATAGTTCCCTTTTCCTGCTTTCTTCCATCCTTGTAGATACGTGCCGTGAAATGATACATGTCTTGAAATGATTAAAAACAATGTACCACTCATTCAACATGTTGTACCATAGGGTTAACAGAGGTGTAGAGGGGGGTCCAGGTTTTGACCAAGATAGAACCAATTGTTTCATGACTAAGCTCATGCTGACTATGTATACAGTGATGATCTGCAACTAGAAGTGATTTGTTTTATAGAATAGAATAGAATAGAATAGAATAGAAACTTTATTAAAGTGTCAAAAACCGTCTAGCCAGGGAACAAATCCCTTACTAATTTGGGGACACCAATTAGGGGGGAATATACAAACTAAAAAAAAAAAAAAAAAAAAAAAAAAACTATATACAGTAGTAGGTAAAATATCTATAGTTAACTCATTAAGAGATTTATAGTAAAAATACACAGAAGTCAAAATGAACAAAGGCTACAGCCTGCGCAGCCATCATCTAAAAGTTCACTTATATTGAGTTGGCGTATCTTGCTTTTAAACGACGTTAGGGTTGTGACGTCCCTGATACTCTTGGGTAGTTTTGTCCATAGCCTAGGCCCTAAATATCTAATAGAGTGCTTGCCATAGGTGACTGTCTCATACCTAGGTAGAGAAATCTGCTTGCCGCAGATTGTAATTACTATTTGGTTCTTTAAAGATGTTACTTATATATGCAGGGCACAGTTTATGCTTTACTTTATACATAAGGATGCACAGATCCTGTAAGCGACTATTTAGTAGTGTTGGCAGATCTGCCTTCTCTAATAGTTGTTCATAACTAGAATTATTATCCTTGAAAACCGCTCTAAGTCCTCTTTCTTGTAGTCTTTCAAGCTTTCGAGTGTCACTCGCTTTACAAAAAATGCCACACTAGGTGACAGTACGTGAGGAATGGTAATATCGCGCTTTTGAATAATATTAACTTAGATTTCATAGGAATTAAATTACGTAGTCTCATTAGAACACCAATTCTCTGGCTGGCTTTTTTTTACAGATAGAGATTACATGCTCAGAGAAATTTAGCTTAGAATCTAACACTACTCCTAGAAGTATGATATTATCTTTAGTTTCAATCACAACATCATTCACGCAAATATTGCTGTCATTTTGAGTGAAGCCCAAGTTCAAAACTTGGTACTTTTTGAGGTTTCCCGCCAATAAGTTAGAATCGTACCACGTTGTTGCTAAGTTGGCACTATCCTTTAACTGGGAAGTCACAGCTGCCTGGTCTGCTCCTGCGTGGTAAATTTGATGGTCGTCGGCATACATAGACAAGTTCGCTGTTAGGCAGTAGGATAGGTCATTCTGGAAAACATTCCATAACAACGGGCCAAGCGCGGAACCCTGAGGACAGCCACGACTCACGAATCGACTCGAACTAACATGACGGCCGATCTTTACTTGATATTTCCGTTCATTTAAATAGCTGTTTAAAAGTTGAATAGCGCTTTCCTGAAAACCGTACGCTTCGAGCTTGTTCAGAAGTAGTGGTGGGTGTAACGAGTCAAATGCCTTTGACATGTCAGTTGAAAGTATGCTCACAACCTGTTTTCGATCCCTCGCCAGTCTCCAATCTTCTGCTAAATTGATTAATGTTGTTTCGCAGCTGTGAGCTTTGCGATAAGCGGATGAGTGTTGGTAAATGCGATTACCAAAGCCAGAGTTGATCTGCGCTCCAACCAACTTCTCAAGAACTTTACTTACACATGGTAAGAGAGTTATGGGCCGGTAGTTTTCCTTTGCATTCCTGTCATCCTTTTTGTATACTGGGGCCCAATGCCCATACTTCCATTCACTAGGCCATGCATTCTTGTTAATACAAGAATTGAACAAGGTGGTTAGTGGAGCGGATAATTCATTAGCACCTGTTTTTAAAGCCTTTGAAGGAATTCCATCAGTGCCGGTGGCTTTGTTTATGTTCAGCGAATCGAGAACTGCAAGGACTTGTCCCTGTGTAACCAATTCGATTTCGATGGTCTGAGTGGAATTCCTATTTTCATGTTGTATCCTCTGAACACAAGGATGGTCTCTAAAGTCCTCTATTGACTTTCTTTCAATCGCTGTACCGCCAATGCCATCCGCCAAGGTAGCAAAATGCTCAACCAATTCCTCAGCCACTTGTTGTTGATTCGTTATCATACTGCCGTTTATTTTTATGTGGATGTCGTTTCTTTCAGTACAGCTCTTAGAGCCCAAAAATGGCTTGAAAGTTTTGAAGAACGCCTTGGGATTGATTTTCAAATCGTTTGACTTATTATACCAGTACTGTTTGATGGCGATTCTTCTTTGTTTAGTGGCCTCGTTTCTGGCTTTACGTCGTAATTCCCAATTTTCTGGCGTTTTGTCTTTCAAGTACTTGTCATTTGCTTTGCGTTTAGTTCTAATCGCACTTTTCCAATGAGACGTCATGTAGGGCACATCTTTATCACGCACACGCATTTTTTCACAGGTGCCACTTCGTCCAGTATATTGTTCATAAGTGCATTCCACACGTAAACTTGATCGTCGACGTCATCAAACAATTGTCCAACGTGCCATGGGGCAGAGGACAAAAGCTGTTTATAATGTTCAGGGTCAAAGTTCTTATAGCTCCTAAATGTGATGACCTTTGGTTTGTTGTGATTTATTTTCTGCTTCAGGACACCGTAAACAAGGTCGTGATCACTTAAGCAAGGATGGTAATTACCAGATAGCTGGAAGCTATCCGGTCTATTAGTGAGCAAAACATCTATTAAACTCTCTGTTATAATTATTCAAGAAATTTCCTATTATATTTTCCTTTCTGTCTGGTTGTATTCATCTTTGGCTCCAAATATAAATAAAATAAAACAAGCCAAAATAAAAATTGGCAAGATTTTAGTTGAAGGAGCTATAAAAGAAAATGTTAGCTGTATTTGTGTGTGGGGTTTTTATAAAATGATTTGAGGTGTGTTGTATGGTTTTGAATGTCAGTATTTAGTGGTTGCCTCATTATTTGCTTTCTTTTAAATCTGATTTTAGGGGCCTCATCTTCTGAATTCCACCCCATAAGTTCAACCAGTGAAAGTCCACAAAATCAAGGAGAGCTGAAAAAAGGGAAACAGAAGACAAAGATTGTTGAGAGAGAGAAAATGAAAGGTGAAAACAAAATTAAAAGATGTATTAGGTTGTTAAGGAAAGTTAATGTGAACAGTAATAACAATTCATTATTTGACAAAACTTTGAAGGATGATCTCAATGCAGTAATGTGGCATTAGTATTATTTTAAGAGTACAACTTATGGGGAACAACTTACAGCGTATCTGCAGAGAGGCTGTGAATACTAATCTCTCCCTGTACTTTTTGTTCTTAGATACGTCACCCCTCACTGTAAAATCCACCACTGGTCATGGAAAAGAACTTATAGGAAAAGCACAGGGAAGGAAAGGTGAACAGGAAGCTCAGTTTGAATTAATATCTGTAGTGAATATGTTCAGCGAGTTCAGCTTTAATGTCAAGTGTAAAGAAGTGTGCTTTTGGGATTAAACATTCAAGTTTTCTAGAATCTGCAGGGTAAAACCAACTAATTATTTGAAATACTCTTAGTTCTTGATTTAAAAGATTAATTTGAAAGAAATTAAAACCCAATTTAGTTTCCCCTAAATTTTGTATTTAGGATAATTTTCACGTACTTTGTAGAGATGGTCACATGACTTGTTGGTTTGCCATGTTATCATCTCTCAAATGAAAGTTAACACCTTGAATACTAATATTGCTATAAATAATGTAAAATACATAAATGTAAATTATTCCAAATATGATTGTGCCTCATTCTCTACTTATGTTAAAGATAATTTGAGTTGGTTTGTGGAATTAAAACAATATACTGTATGTGTGTATTTCAAATAGGTGTTTTTAACAGCTTTTTTAAATTTATCCTTATAGCTACAAGTTGGTATGCTTATTATAAACTGTTTATTAGAAGAAATGCTAATCTCCCTCTGTATACCTTTGTTTTTAGGCATGTTGCCTCTCCTTCGATCTTCCAAGAGTAGAGATGTAGAAGAGCTACATATGAAACTTCAAATTATGAAAGGTGAATGAAAAAATGCTGTTAAATTGACTTTGATGGTAAAACTAACCAAGAATGTTATTAAATACATTTAGTTCTCAATCAAAATATGTTTTTTTAAGGAAATTTCACCCAATTTAGTTTTCCCTCACTCTGTGTTTTGCTAGAAGGGAATATTGAGATGGTAGAGTCTGAAGATGGTGAAAGAGTATATAATTATAAACTAAGTTCAGTGTTGATCTTAAATTATGCCTTAAAAAACTGACAATGGTGTAGTTTAGATAGATTTTGTACACAGTATGTAATCTGTCAATTACATGTTGGTTTGAGTTGTTATCATGTTGCTATTAAAAGTAACACCATGAATTGTTCTTTGTACTTTTCCCCTTAAGGTTGACTCCCATTACTATGGACACCCTCGGGGCGAGATTTAGTGTCTGTAATAGCAAAAAGTTTGTAATAATTGGGTACAAGAGAAATGAACATTTGTTTTGTTTCTTAACATATGAAATAAAGTTTCCACAAACCAGAAAAAGATCTGGCTGTAAGCAGAAAATTTCATATGATCTTGTTTTAATATTTGTTAAATCATCGATTGATATTCACCAAATTGCTCGAAAAAGGGAAGAGAAACATTAAATGGATCATGTCTAAAAGTAAACACGAGTGACCACTAGTAACCACTAGTAAAAAAGCGAAAAAATTAATCATTAACTAAAATAAAATAATTGATTAGATAGAAAAAGAATTGTTGCAAAAAGAACTGTAGGGCTGATTTAGACAACAACAAAAAAAGTATTTTAAGCTTTCTGAATGACTAATAAAAAATATATATTTAATTTAATCAATATATTAATTTAATCAATAGATCCTTAAAACATTTTTAAGAGTTATTTTTTTCGGCAAAACGATACGATTCCGACAGCTTTGAATTTTCGACTGAAGACATAAGTCGCTGAATCGTGCTCGGGCTAACTGTACTCAGCTTAAATGAAACATCGCAAGAGACTCGATAGCTTTAATGACTACTTTCAGTGACTAGACGTCAATACAAGATGAAACGAGGGTCGAAACCGATGTCTGTTAAACGGCGAAGCGAAAGTGTTTTGGATGTGGTGCAAGATTTAGAGCTGCTATGTGTCAAAGAGGAGGTTACCGACATGAGAAGGGCAAAGGAACTGCGCGAAAAGAGAGTCGCTGAGTTGAGGAAATCAAACGGAACTTTGGAGATGGTAAGCTCTTCTTGATCAATCGAGGCCAAACACACATACCTCATAAAACGGAAGACATACAAAACTAAAACTTTTATATTTCATCAAACTAAAAAACCAAATTAGTTGCATGGCCGTACATATGCAGTGTTTTCCAGATCACTGCCTTGCTAATGGAATGTTATAATTTGCGTCAGACAGCAGACTTAGGAGAATTCATTCTGCTAAAATCATAAAGGTGCACACAAAATGTCAACATTGACGCAGACGTATGTTTTTTTCCAATTGTTCCGGTGCGGTATGCACTAAGTTTCATTTAGACTTCCATATTATACATAATTCATCAAAATTTGAAGCGAAAATAAGATTTAACATCATAATTGATCATGAACGATAATTTTAAGGACCTTGTTTTGAAACGGAGAGTATTATCTATAGAATGATTGCGACAGACAGCAGAACTGAGTAATATGATTTCACTAAAAGCATGGAGGTGTAAACAAAATGTCAACATTGGTACAAATTTATGTTTTCTTTCAATAGTGGCTTGTTCTAAGCGCTGATCCCCCAATAATAAGTTTCGTCTATACTTATGTATTCATAGATAGTTCACCCGGGAGCAAGCGCGTTCGTAAAACAATCAAAGTATCAAAAACTTGAGCACGTCAACGCGTAATTAAAAAACCAGTTTGCTCGTACTTTACATCGACAATATGTTCATTCCAAACATCAATCCTTTCGATTTAAAATAGGTCGAGGAACGAGTTTAATGGAAGTCAGTTGACAATTGCGCACAGGAACATGAATTTTTATGGAAATGAAAATTACAAACCGGACGAAGCAGTAGAGTATACTTGCAATATAAATCAACCCAGCGACCAGGCAAGAGACAAAGAGCAAACATTTTTATGTATGCGAAGCAAAGTATGAACTCTTTCATATTGAAACTAGTTCGTTTATTCTAATCGCTGTGTTCACGAAATGCATAACCAGTTCTGGAAACTTTGTGCATAGAATTTAACTTCCCAGTCGTATCGATATCAGGTGCGCGGACGAAAATATTATCTAGCGATATCCTAGACCCGTTTAAATTAAGATCTTAAGCCTTGAACTAATACGGGTGAATAAACAAAGATTCAGTAAATAGAAGCTGCCAGCATTTAGTTATCCAATACCGACGGAGCAAGCATTTACTACCAGTAATGTTGAATGGCACTTCCTCCTGTTTCCTAGACACGTTTAACTAAAGATCTTAAGCCTTGACCTGATACGGGTGAATAAACAAAGATTCAGTGGATAGAAGCCGCCAACATTAAGTTATCCAATACCGTCGGAGCTAGCATTTACTACCCGTAATGTTGAATGGCACTTCCTCCTGATCTTCACGGTTTTCGCAAAAAGTTGATGCGGAAAAGACGTAGAAACGTATACATTAGTCAGCACAGCGCATTAGGATGAAACAAGACGACAGCCGTGCACTTAGTTTGTGAATTTGAGTGCAATCTGTTGCCCTCGTATGCGAAGCAACAGTAGTGGTAAAAATTAGTCCCAATCACTACAGGTAGTTTTAAGATGTGTTCGTCTGTTCGGACGGAGAAAGTTAATCGAGGGCCTCAAATCACCAAATAAAGACACAGCACCGATAAAAATCATTAGTCCCTTTCCTCCTTTGAAAGCATACAAATAGGCATATCACATAAATCAAAATATCACAGCAATTTTTGCTCTTTTAGGTGCAAACACTCCTGAGATTTTTTTTTTTCAATAACCATTCATTGTTTAGGGATATAAGGGAATCTTAGACGATATCAAACAAACACTCGATCGCCGACGAGTCCTGGAAGAGTACTATTTAAAAGTTAAAGATAACCTACAGACAACTGGAGCAGTTAGCGAGACTGAAATAAATGACTTTCGGAAGGAAGCTGAGGCATGTCTCAAGGATCTCGGAACCGAGAGATACACTGTTCTCATTCTTGGTAAGTCCTGCAACAGTAAACTTAAAACCTTTCCAATCGTTCCCAGACTAAATTCAGGGGTTTTTCCCTAAGGTTTCATTTGTAAGGTCATGGTTCACCATTATCAGTTTTAAAATGTTTCAACTTTTATTGTCAGCATCGCCTTACACCGAAAGGCATGGAACACTCTTCTCCGCCGCTTGGTCTGCGTTATAATTATTTTGGCTCGCCTTCTTAACAGTTATCCAGCTAGCAATCCTCTTGCAACTTTGAGACAAGATTATCACGGAAATGAAAACTATCAATAACAAAAAATAATTGAGATGTGGAAAGAATCAAAATAACTGTCATTAGATGCTTCAAAGGGTCTTACAGCTGAGGCAAATTGCTAATCATTTTAAGAGGTTAACTCTTGGTGTCCGACAAATTATCTGTCTCTCTTTGATGTATAACATCAGTTAGGATGAAGAAGGTACGAATCTCTTTTTATTCACGGGTATATAAAAGGGCTATATAATTTTCAAACATTCTCCATCGTAGGAGTGGAATTTATTTTTCATTGTTTAAAACCTTTCCCATTACACCAAAACAGGAGAAACCAGCGCTGGCAAGAGCAGTCTTATTAACCTCCTACTTGGCGAATGCATTATGCCAACCAGTATTCAGCAGAACACACTGACCATATGTGAAATATCGTATGGAGAGGCCAAAAAAGCTGTGCTGCACTTCGCTAACGGACGCAAGTTACCTCGTGTCCTCACTGGGGACAAATTTTACAAGTATAAAGATTACGTTAAAAAACCGATAGAGGACGAAAACTGGTGTGAGTGGATAGAGATCATGATTCCAAATCCATTATTGGAGGTGAAAAAACTTTGTGTATTTGGAATAAAAGTAACAGAGGTATTTTACGTACATGAAACAATTTGGCATGGAAGAGCAAGAATCCCTAATAAAACCTGAAAAAAAATCAAAGTTTCTCACTGTATAAGGCTTTGCTGGCACAAGAGCTATAGTCTATCACAGAAATATTTTTTTCTCACCTTCCTTGCTCGCTGTTGCATAGGGATAACATCACAAGTGAAGTTATCGGACATGTATCAAAACATATCTAGGATTGAGATCATTTTTAGTGTCTTGTATCCTCTGACGCACTATGCTGTCAATGTGCTGTGTTATGCTGTGCCATTCTTTTCTTTATTGTGCTGTGGCTCGCCCCGATAGTGACACCGAAGCTCCCGGTGAATAAAAGAATCGCAGTAGGAGTTTATGAACAACCAAAAAGCAGAAAAACGTGATTATTGTTGTGCATTCATTTAGTAGAGACACTCACTCTTTAATTGCTTTCTATATTCTGTCATCGATTAAGTATCTAACAAGCTGGTACAATCATGTTACTTGATTACAGTACTTTGATAGTGTGACAGTGATATCACCAACATTGGCAAACTTTTAATATTTACCCAATACACGACGATTATCTCTTATTCAATTAACTATATCCACTGAGGTTCTCGGCTGCTCTCTCTCCTAGGGTGGTGTAGTGATCGTAGACAGCCCAGGAATTGGTGATTCAAAGCGTGTCAGTGAAATCACCTTGAAATACTTGAGTCGAGCCTACGCCTTTATCTACGTCATAAACACTCCAAACGCCGGAGGATTACAACAGGACAGGGTAAACTCATGACTCTTTATCTGTCTAAAACACTTTTAAAAAGTAAGAATGTATTTAATTCAGCATGAGGTATGTATCACCCATAAAGACGCACCACAAAAAATGCCCTGAAAGCAAATATGATTATCCATTCATTGAATTTTAGCGTTTGTGATAAATCTTTCAGCTGATGCCTATCTTAAGTGAATGGATAAAACTCTACAAGGGAGAAGATGGCTGTGGTATTACTTCGGAATCTGCTATTTTTGTCTGTAACAAGTGGGACGAGGTGGAAAAGCAGTGCGACCTAAATCAGGAGGAAGACCCTGAAAGAAAAATCATCGACACTCTCAGAATGAATATTCCCGAACTGGATGAAAAATTCCAAATCATTAAGATGTCAGTCTCTAGAGCCACAGAAGTAAAAGAGAGATTTGACGTGATGGATGATGATCTTAAAAGTCTTGTGAATCGACTACAGCGTCTTCTGCCACTTTGCATTGAGAGAAAAACAGAATTTTTTTACTAGTAAGTTTGATTTTATCTCCCAATTGATTACTCAAACTATCCTATACCTTGAGCACCCGTTACTGAAGAAAATTTTTTTCAAGTTCCCTCAGCCCTCGTGAATAACTCTATTTGAGAAACCTGCGAATAAAGAGTATTCTAATCCAACGAGATATGACACTTGTCCATTAAAGAGGCCGTAGCAGATTTCCTATGATTTGAATATCCTTTTTATTGTCGAAAGGAGCTACAGAAATATGTCACCCCAAAGAAACATTCAAATCAACACATTACGATGTTTCTAAGTCGTGTTTAAAATGAATATTTGCACAATTTCGAAAATGACACCAAAATACTAAGCTTGCTGAAATGTTAACCTACTGGTCTTGTTAAGCTAAGAATCAATCCAAAAGACTGCTGAGGAAAAAAAATGAACTGAGTCGCATTTTACTCTGAGATAAAAAAGAACGCTTTTTAACAAGTGTTAATCTTTCTGCTTTATTTGACAGCTGGATCAGCGGCCAGCTCTGCAGCTTGTCCGATCAGCTCAAAGGTGAAATGCAAAATGCCAAAAGGACCAAAGACGAACGTCTCAAGGCTCGGAAAGAACTTGGCGATAAACTCAGCGAACTTAAACAAGGCACCCCCATTCGGGAAATTGAGGACGCCATAACTTCCAGTGTGGACCAAGCACAAATAAAACTTGCGTCCTACTTACAAACTGAAGAATTTAGAACAAAATTTTTCAGATGGACAGAAGACGATGTGCCTAAAACGGAAGAGGGTCAAAACTTTTCAAAGATGAAGGAAGCATTTACCGCATGCATTGAACAACGATTCGAATATACCCTCCAAAAGTGGGAAAGCACAGATAATTTTTTCTCCCAAGCACATTTAGAATTGGAAGCACTGTTTGACAAAGGTTTCCTAGAATTTGAGAGAGAAATTCGAGACATTGACCGTGTACTTGTCGGAAGTGACGTGGACGGCTTCCAACCTTTTGAGATTCGCCCGGGACGGATGTTCTCGCCATTAGATCCCAGAATGAAAAAATTTCTAGTGATGACTGGCGTGATTTTTTGGCCAGTTTTGATGTCCGTAGGCCTCGCCGCAGGAGTTCTTTCTGCACCCGTCCTTGGAGTACTGGCGATTGGAAAGCATCTAAAGGATCACCATCTGAAGACCAATTGTTGTCAGACACTGAAAGACCTCTCAGCAGAGTTCCTCGAGGACTTCATCACTAACAAAATCCGCAGTTATGTCCAAGACAAATTCAGCGAGGAGACGAATCGCATTGCCAGCATCAAGAGGTGTCACCAGCAATTAATCACCAAATACGAGCAACGATGCAAAGACCTGACAAAGAGCGAAGATGAATCAAGGGAAAAGGAGATCCTCAATAAATACCGTCCACTGTACACAAATCTGATGAGCATGAATGAAAACTTGATGTTCGATGCAATCCAAAATGGAATAAAGGTGATGTACCCATCTTGCCAACTTGAAGTGAGAAGACTTCAGTACAATGAGAGCGAAAGAGAGGCGTGCCTTGGTGAAGGCAGCTTTGGTAAGGTTTTAAAAGGAAGATACTCTCCTCCTGGACATAGAAGAAAAGATGTTGCGGTCAAAAAGATCCGGAAACATCCAGATCCATCAAATGTTGCCGCCTTTCTCAAAGAAGCAGCAATGCTAAAGTAAGATTTTTTTAAATATCAGATTAGCCAGCGATCGTGCAGAGGTTGAAGCGCTCAACTTCTAAGGCCTAGCTTCGATTCTCGGTCTGGTGTTACATATGATTGACCTTGGTATTAATTCTTGTCCTTGCCTTTAGGATTTTTCTCAGGGATTATCTGGTTTTCGTTCCTTTATTATATCTAATGCTAAACTAACGCAATTTAGCTTGGAAGAGCAATCGCTTAGCCATTCTGTAAAAATTGTCTTAGTCTATTGAGAGTCAATTGACTGATTACAAGTTCACTTGATTTTATCCCTTCTAATCTGCAGATTAGGAACTACTATTTTGTGCCAATTGCAATTTATAATCCGTTTTGATCTTTCTGCTATTCAATCAGGTGTGAGTTTTCTAGTGAGGTATTAATTTGACACCATATTTTTCACAGGCAACTTGAGCACAAGCACATCGTAACATTTTATGGAGTTGGCATAGACGTTAAAGAACGACAACTCGTTTCCCTGGTGCTGGTGTTCGACTGTGTAGCAGGAGCCTAGACAAGCAAATCTTTGAAAACGACGAGTACATTCCATGGAATACGGCTAGTGCAGCAGCTAAGATAGTACCCTGGGCAAAACAAATTTTAGATGCGCTTGAATTCATCCATAGCAAGAATGTTGTCCATCGAGATCTCAAGCTGGCCAATATTCTGGTGAGTTGATAGAAAATGAACTATGGTGAATTATAAACCAGGTAATGAAATGAACAAGCATCCCTTATCGTCCTATCATGACCATAGGACAAAACAAAAATTGTGGTGAGTTTAAGAGTGGAAATTAGGGAATCCTCCCATGAACCCGATAAAAAGGGCTGGCTGAACTTTTCCAGTATATCACTGACCACTTCAACAGTAATCTGACTGAAATTTCGACTTGGAAATAATTGTAAAATTGTCTAAAGCAAAAAATATCCAATGATCACAAGAGCTCGGATGTCAGGTTCACATGTTGGATCATACTCTGACTTCATTACAAGGGCAAACAATATTACGACGCAACACATTAGTTACTTAACAATTCATTTCGTTCGAAATGATTAAACTCCAATTTTTTGGTCCTTTGGAAAATTTGCATGCAAGATTCTCCAGTTTGATTCATGCTTATGAAATCGGGATAAGCTGCAGCAAGATAAGTCTTCTAGTTCCTAAGCTATCACTACCTCCGTTTAAAAATTTGCCATATACAAGCGTGGCACCAGGGCAAAGTGTTTCACCTAAAGCTGTATTAAATATCGATTCTCTTTTTGACTGAAATTTTTAGGAAATTAACATTGCCCGACATTATTTGTAGATTTCAAAACGTGAGCACATCAAAGTTGCAGACTTAGGTCTAGCAACCTTTAAAGACAAAACCACTGGCACAGTATGTGGGACTCCTTTATACATGGCACCAGAAGTGATGAAAGGCAAACTCCACAGTGCAAAGGTGGATATATACAGTTTTGGTCTCATGATGTGGGAAATGTGGTTTGGGAAACGCGTCTTTATCGAACTACGCCGTGAAGATATTTATAGACGAATTAAAGACGAGAATTATCGTCCTCAAATTCCCAAGGATGGAAATCTCCCTCCAGCAGAATGGATTGAGCTCATGACATCGAGTTGGCAATCTGACCCAAGTTTGAGGCGAACAGCCACAGAATGTAAGAACTTTATTAAGACAATTAAGCATCAGTATGTTAAGTAGGGGAAAAAGGTTGATTTTCCTCCCTTTGCGTGTACAATTATTTTCGAACGATTGACAGCCACGTTCAGATAAGTTAATCCTCATGAACCGAGAGAGAAGATCGGGCGAGATGAAACATTACTAGAAATTCTGCTCGACTCGGCAAGAGAGACTGGCCCATTAGCCCGTCACGTAAATTTTTGTAGTGAGCCAGGAGCGTCTTTCATTTTCATCGATTGATGGTTTGTCCCTGGGACTCCAAGCATGAAGCATGTTTGGATCACTCAGCGATCATTACATGAGAACTGCAATTGAATTTTATAACACTTTTGTTATCATTATACGAATATTAAGAATCGTAATTCTGGCATCTTATAACAGCGAGAAAAGTTACAAAGTAGAGTAACGATAGTAGACATTTGAGTTTTACTATGAAGTTAAACAATCTAGGTTGCTCATTTGGGAAGACGTAGAGCAAGTTCCTTCAAAGCAGCGGCCAGGTTTCTGATTCAATTCCGTAACACATGCTCGGTTGGATTCTGCCGGTATGTGGGGCAGAAAATGATTTAAAGACATAGAACGAGACAAACCTAGGTATTTTTAGATTATCATCAACATTTTGGCCTCCCGGAATTTATCTCATGGACGAAGTTTTCTTTGTTCATTAACGGTCAACGCAAGTAGCTCAAGCTCCCACGATTAGGCTCGGTATAAATAATGATGGCGTAAATATATGTTAATGTTACGCAATAGGCGAAATGCTAGGATTCGTATAAGTGTATACGGTCACGCTCTTGACCCAAAAATCTGAATTAGTTTTCAATAAAACTACACTTTCATCACCTCTTTGTTTTTTCCCTTTGCATGTTGTGAGTTCTCTTGCGCGTTCCATGGTTCTCCTGATTTACCCTTAAAAGGATCACATAGTTCTCCCAGTACTCAACTCCCAGCCACAGACAATTTGAAAGTTCTTCATTGAGACGTTTCAGCCCATGTAAACAAATGGGCTAAAGTTTTCAGTAATGTTCACATTTTAAATCTATAATAATAATATCACGCAACTCAAAAAGGAATTTAAAACGCATGTAAGGCGTAAACATTTAATTGACTATTTCCATAATTATCAACTGTGACGAGTGAAGTACACGTCATTTTCTTTCTTCTGTTTTAAGTGCTCTTGGGACACACTTACCAAGAGAAACCTGCCAAATAATTTTTTGGACCTGATATACCAACTTTTCATTTTCAATTCGTAGAAATGTAATATTACAGTGGTTGCGCGACTCGATCTCGTGACCGCTGATTCACTGTAACCACATATCATCGTGTTAAACACCTATTGAAATCCTATTCAAAAGATACAGATGTCATTTAAACAGACGCGTAACGCGATCGTATGTATTTAATATGAATCAAGAAATTGAAATCGCACGCAATTTTTCGGTAAATTCTAATGAAAAACAGTCAAATGCGACTCCCTTGCTCCTTACATTCATGCAGCTTCTGCTTCCTGAGCACATTTAGCTGATCGGCGGATGTGTTATTTTCGTGATAGATCCTTTTCGATGATGATATCTGTCAGTTGATATCCATCGGTGTTGACAGGTCTAAATTAGGTCAACCTTCCTCATTCCTTTTCATTCTAGTTAGTTCAGGGTGTAGTCGTTTATGCTACACCTCTCCTTCACCTTCTCGCTTCTTTGGTTTGCATGGTGAGTAAGGTGCAGCAAGAGATTATGTTCAATGATTTCAACTAATTCACAATCAAGAATCGGAGACGGATTCGGAGTTACGTTTTTTGGAATCTCTTAACGCTTTTTAACACTACCCTTGTCATTAGAAGGAATCTGCAACAGTTAAGTTGACAATGGCGGCGAGAACAACACACGAACCTCTTAAAGAGGTAAGCCAATACTCCGGATTCGGAGTTACCTTTTTTTTTCAATCTCTTGGCGCTTTTTAACATTACCCCTGTCATTAGAAGGATTCGTACAATGGCGGCGAGAATAATACACAGACCACCCAAGAATAAGCTAAGATCCAAGCATGTCGACGCACAATTTTAAGTACATGCAATTTAAACGTCTCTTACTGCTTATGCAAATTAACAGGCTCTAGTTCTCGGTAATATTCCCTTTTGCTCTGCGATAACAACAACACGAACTCAGAGAGGAAATAGTGCTTGGAGTAAGAATACCTTAGAGGTAAACACGGGAAGCAAATCAATTTTATAATAGAATTTTCCATATTCTAAATACTCTATGCATGATAATCAGTTGTTCCAAGTTTGGAAAACACCAGAATGGTACGTTCCTTTTGAAATCGACCACGAGTGATCACTTATGCAAACGCTTTCAGACATTAAGTATCACTGCTTCGATGACTTTCTTTCCCGAAAAAAATTTATCGGACGAGAATGGTAAAATACTAAAAGATCCCTGGTGTCTTCGAAGCAGACTTGTGGCGGTTCCACCGACAGATACGCTTAAAATTGTCTAAAAACCATCTTTTATTGCCCATTCACGTACTTCTTCCCTAAGTCAAAGACTCGTACAGCTGCAGTTTGCCTATTTTTACTTCTATTTGCTGTACTTCAGCAATTTCATAGTGACAATTATTTGGCCTTCCTTAACTTGAGCCACGCAGCGGTAACTGAATTTTTACTCGTACGCACGAGAGGATTGTAAGAGATGTGCCCTACTTTCGCAACTTTTACCATGTACATGTGCAAATATCGACAGCAAATCTATGCAATGACGAGATTTTTTATCGTTTAATTTTTTAGCTTCAGCAATTTAAAAGCTCTCTATTTATCTATATCTATAGCAAAAGCAATGAAATAACCTCAAGTTTTCCATGGTATTCTTATTTTTTGCTCTTTAATAAAAATATCATGCAACTTAGACAGGAACACTTAAAATTGCCAGCCGACGTAAGGCGTAACCCCAATAGGGAAATTAAGACACCTTGTTCGGTGGTTTAACAAATGTTACTTGGAGTATTTTGCGAGTTGCGCAATGAGCGAAATGCCCACTCGTATTATGTGTTAATCCCTTGCGGAATAAGGCGTTTATTACTCTACTATTTATTCCCGTTATAGATTATTTTGGCCACTATTTTTCTAAATATATCCTTTTGTCTATCTGAGCATAGTATCGATCGAATGCAGCCAGCGTGAGAGAAAAAACTAAAAGTGAAACCACTGATTGAAGTATTTTTTATCACCAACAAAACAAGATTATCATGCGTTTGAAAGCTCCTTGCTTTAAACGTCAAGTCCAATAGAATGGAATAAAACCGAAGTTTCGTTTTGTGTGACCATTTGGTTTCCCAACGTTCCGTTCGTATTTTTGCCCCGTAGCACAGTGTGATACCGTACATATGTTGTTGTTGTTGCCGTGTCTCGTGAGCAGACTTTATGGCGAATTCCTCCCACTGATAAGCTTAATAATCCGATATTCTTTTTCTTTTAGAAAAAAACCATTGAAGCTTGTCTTTTGAGTTGCACTGTTTTAAATGCTTCACATAGTTACCTCAAATGTGTTCAAATATACCGTCCGAATACATCTGGGTGATACGAAAAGAGGCACATAGGGCACCGGAACTTGGAAACGTTCTAGTTACGGTTTTCACGCCGGCATAATCAGTTATCTTACATCGTATTTTCTGAGTTACTATAGAAAGGAAAGTGTACATTGCAGCGCTGAATAGTAATCAAAACTGTTTTCTTTGAAAACATTTTGACTTTCCATGGAGTGTCCATGAATGTTCGAAATGGCCGGCTGGTTTCCTTAGATATCGTCCTTGAGTTGTGCGCCATAAGTCTAAAGGATCAAATCTTCAACGAAAACATAAACTTTACGCTAAGCAATGAGTTTTTATTCTGTTTTGGACAGAGCAACCGCGCTGTTTAAAGCTTGCTATGGTTGGATGGCTTTAAGTCGTCTTCCCAACCACAAAGCAGGTCGGCGACAACATTAAGTCTGTCTTGACCCCACAAAACGGATCCATCGTTTACTTGATAGCTCGGAACTCCACAGAGTCCGGTGGCAAAGGCTCTGAAACGTGGTAAAGGAAAATTACTTATTTAACTAAACCGCTCCTCCACGCTTAAAAGTTGTCAAAGTGAGGATGATAATAATGATGATGATGACGATGATGATGATGATGATGATAATAAGAACAAGAACAAGAACAACAAGAACAACAAGAACAACAAGAAGAACAACAACAACAACAACAACAAAAACAAGAACAAGAACAAGAAGAACAAGAAGAACACGAAGAAGAAGAAGAAGAAGAAGAAGAAGAAGAAGAAGAAGAAGGAGAAGAAGAAGAAGAGAGATGATGGTATTAATGGTGGGAGTACTAATAACAACAACAATAATGAAGGAGGAAAGAGCTGCAGCATGGACTAAGTTTGGATGGATCAGCTCCGGGCATAATGTTCAGCTGATGCCCATTTACAAAACAAACGTTCAGATAACTTAAAAGTTCCTCTCTTTCCTCCTTAACGCTTTACTTATTGATACGTGCAGGTAAAATAGTGTAAGTACACGCACCTGTCTGTGTTTTTCCGCAATTGATCCTTGATCTGTTGATCTTGAGTCGCTGCTATCAACGCTTCGCCATCGAACCCAGCTTCGGTCAGAACTGAAGACAAAACCTGGAAACAAAAGTTACATAGACAAACCGTTTCGGCGTGCTATGAGGGAGTCTCGTAAGATGCATGTGATATTCGCGTTTGGGGAGCTAAATTTATAATACATAACCAAAAAACAACCTAGCATGCTCTGGCGTGCCAGTAAGATGATAGTAAGCGAATCTCCCATAGCCCGTCTGCTTACAGTAAGAGCGTTTTTTCGATTGATTGTCGTAAATTCTATATCTGAGTAAACACAACTTCATAGCCAATCACAGTACAGGTACATATCGCAAAGCGCTTATGAAAGCTCACAGAAAAAAACCAGTGCACTCCTTGAAGCACGGGAAGACGCGAGTTGCAAAGTCGCGATTGGTCAAGTTTTGCACCTGATTGAGGATGGTAAAAGGTTTCTAGGGGTTTCTGGGGAAACTACGTAACGAAGTTAGAAAAAGTGATGCAATATTTTATTAGTTTCGACACTCGATTGAAGTGTTCCTCACCTAAGAGATTTGGTTGATCAATTCTTGTGTTACATTTGCAAGTAACTTGTAATGGTAAGGGACTGAGGAAAAGGTTTCCACGGAAAAGTGAAGAGCGTCGGTCTTTCGATTGAATGTTAAGAAAGTGGGAAAGTGTTGTATTGGCTAACTTGCTACGTTAGTGACATCCCTTGTCTATGGAGAAATGCTACCTGCAGTTGTAACTGGGGCAGAAAACTATCGGGATGAGAGTCAAGCCAAAGAACCTCTACAAAAGTGGTTGGATGTTATCCACCTGAACTGAAGAGAACTTTAGCCTCGATATAGCTTACATTTACCTATTAGATTCTAGAGTGACATACATCCTACATAAGGCTGGGAACAGCAATTTCGAAAGAATTAATGCCAAAATGATACGAAATTTAGAAGTTTTGAACGAGAAAAGGTAATTTACAATGGAGGTTTAAATACGTGCGTAATAAGACCACACCTTAGGATCACCAATGTCCCTGTCATACCGCCACCCTGCTTCATCTGAAAGCGAAGGAAAGAAAAACAGGATTAAGGCGTGCGCACATTCTCCATTCTGAGAAAACTTTATGTTGATTGAGTTTATTCAAAGGGCAAATCATCCACACAAGTAAGTCTGAAGAAAAACATAAAGCAATGATTATGTCCAGTATCTTAATTCTGAGCCCAACATCTCAGGCCCTTGTCGCTGAGTAACAAAAAGGTCTTGCAACTATGCAGGGCCTGCGGTTTTACCACTCACACATAGTTTGTCGTAGTCGGTCATCTGGGTTTGCTAGCGTCACTCTCAGTGGAAGAATGGAACGAATGGGAAAGTGGGATGTAAATTGGAACTGAATCCCACGATATTTTGCCCAATCTTGTAGGTCTTTGTTTCCATATTCTCTCTTTGCTTCACTGAGCGTTCGCATCGGAACCTTCAAAGTTTTGTTGAATGAGAAAATGAACAATATCGTGGAAGAGTTTAATAAAATTTATTGGTCCAAATAGTTAACTCTGTATGGGACATCAGGGACTTCTTCCTTCCTTTCTCCCTTCCACCCTTCTTTCCTCCCCAGGAAGGTTTAACATCACACAAATTCACTCCAGAGTTTTGAGAGACACTGAAAAAGGAATGTGTTTCCCCAGTCACCCCAACTTCAGATTTGTAATGAAAAACTGCCTAAAGAAATACATAAGTTTAAAATTCTTACCTTCAAGGTGTGATATTGGACAAAAGTATCATTTAGAAAAAGAACTCATACACAGATAAAAAAGACATTATGTTTATTTATCAAATGGCTGACTCCGCCGGCTAGCAAGGTGAAGCCAGTTTGATTGACTACCTTAGTGCCCATCTTCCCTGCTTGCAATTGCCCACCTTATTTCTTTAATAAAAATAATAGGTGCTTGTAACCAGCTGAAATTTTTCATTACCTGTTGTTTTAAGCAACATGGTATTATAAATGAGAAAAAAGATTTGGCATTTTGTAACAAGATAATTGAAACAAAGAAAACATCCAAGTTGTGAGCGTTTATTTGACAATGTGTTGCACTGATCTTTTTCTCTCATGTTAGATTAAATTATTGATTTTCCAAGTTTTGCTCAGTGTTAGTCAAGATGGCTAGATGTTAGCTTTTTGGTTTGCTTGTTTTTCCCTTTTTAAGACCTCAACCCCATCTCAGTCCGAGAAGAAAATGAATGAAAAATAAACGGACCAATAACACATATTCACGAGTTGGATTAAACAATGACACACACATAAGGTACTAAAATTGATTGTAGTTCCTTACCACTGGTGTTCCTATCATCTTAAACAAAGCTCCAACCGAAATTGGCACCCATTCAACCTCAACTGAAACTGGATGAACTTCTGTCAGCAACTTGGAAATCTTCATTATAAAGAAATAGTCATTTTCTTAATTTGAAAAATTGACTGCAACTAGAATAAATAGTGTGCAATGCTTATAACAATATTCTCTCAATAAAATTGCTATATGAAAATTTGAAAATGGTTCTGCAAGATTGAATCTGAGATGTACCCTGACTATTAAGGTCTGCATCACAAAAGAGTAGTATTTAAACCCTCTGGTTTGTAGGTGTTGTTATCATCATCATCATCATCATCATCAATATTATCATTATTATTATCATTATTAAGAAAAGAAAAACAGGTGTTATTAGCAACCAAACTATCTTTGCAATTCTCCAGCCAGACACTGTCCAACATAAAAGTTATGAGAATTCAAAAAAATATCATGTTGAACTGGGAGATACTTTTCTTTACCTAACACTAACTTTTCAGACCTGTCTAAGAATGAAACACAATATCAAAAATTGGGCAGCTATTAGCTTTCAAATCTAGTATTCAAGGGGCTAAAGGTTGCCCACAATTCACATGTGAAGGCACAGCCTTTTTATATGGGTTCGTATGTGCATCCACTGTGACATTTTCTTCTACTCCCCCTTCCACTTGTAAAAATACTATGAAAAAATTACACACTTCTGATTGGCTGACAACAGGTGTGTTTTTCATGTAATACAAGTGCAAAGTTGTAACATGAGTGCAAGTTACAAAAAGCACTTTCCCACTGTCTAAATTTAGTCCATCTTGACTTTCTGTGATGCTTTTTTCATGTAAATTATTAAAAAGTAATAACATGATTTCCAGTGCAATTAGGTGTAAATAAGCACTTGTAAATTTTTCAAGACTTCAAATTATTGTCTTTGAAAATTTTATTTGTGCCTATCTAAACCTAATCAAAACTTTAACAAAATTCTCAAATGCGATTGGTTATCACCAACCCGATTTAGGCTCTGATAGGACAGTGTACACATCATGCTTGTAATTGGACAGTGTAATTGGACCGTTTGGGGGCAGTTAAAACATGATGACTGTTGAAGTGGACAGAACTCCTCATCTGCGCAGGCTGTTGTCTCCCATTTTGCCAAGTTAACTGCTGTTTTTCTTTTATGCAAGCATATAACTGAGGTCTAGTTTCTCTTTCAAATTTTATCATAGTTTTGCTTAATTGGTAACAGGACTTCATGTCATCCAATTCTGTCTGTAATCATACTTGTGATGAACAAATTGGACCTCCACAATTTTGTTAATCAGTTGACCTATGATTACAGAACGAATTGAACTCCACTTCGTCCTATTACCATTATAAATTGCACTTGAAATCATGTTATTACCATTACTTATAGAGCAATTATAACATTACCTGTGTTGAACCAATATAGCTCCAAGGACTGGAGAAATCATGGTAGATTGTCAGTTTAGATTTTCTGGGTTCAGTAGGGGTTGGATGAAACCTTGGTGGGGCAGCTGATTTATTTCCCAAAGCTCTCTCTACAAAATGTAAATGATCCACTCCAAAGAAGAGTTCATTGTTCACCCAAAAACTGGAGAAAGAAGCAGTCAGAGAAGAATATATTTTCAATTGATACCTTTGTATGTAGTATTTGTTAAATTAGGGTAAACAAGCTTAGCCCTTTAACTGCCAGAAGTGATTAACTTCTTATTGCAATTCTGATACATGATCTTGGAAACAATTTATGAGAACAGACAAGCTCATCTACCTTGTGTTATCTTGATATAAGACCGAATTCACTTATCTAATTTAGAAGGAATTCTTAGGCAGTTAGTCAGGAGAAATACTAATCGGATCTTGGAAGTTAAAGGGTTAAGTGTAATTATTAGTTACTAACTGAGGATAGATATCATAACAACTGCACTCTTTTAGTAAATAAATTTCCTGCTAACTACAAACATGTGGCATTCTATTTTTTTCAAAACTGTATATGCATGCACAAACTGAACTACCATTTTCAGAGCAGTGGACTGGATACTACAGATATGGTTTCCCATACTGCACTAGCCCTTGGTTTTTGGCCTTATTGGATCACTCACATACATGTACTCATGTTTCTGCAAGTTTTTTCTTTATCATAGAGATCATAATTTTTAGACTACACTCCACTCCACTGTTTCATTATCAAAATGAAGCTTGTCACAGAATAATGCTTTGAGTATTTCTTCAAACCTGGGCACACCAAAGGAACCTCTGTCTAAAGCCTCCTGGGTATTCTGCAGAAGCTTCTCTTTCCCCAATCCACCAATCATCTCATCAATGTCAACTTTCCAGCCAACTGATGAGGCACTTTCTTGTAAAACACTGCTCTCTCGCACATCTAAAATACATAAAAAGTATTTATTTATAATCTAAGGAACTGGCTGAAAGTATGCAAAATTAAGAAGCTTTTCCAGTATTTATTTAACAATAAGCCATTTTACAGTTGTATCCTTAGTTGCCATTAGCCTTTCATTTGGAATGAGGCTGAAGGTGACAATGTTGTGATAGAGACCCATATCTGGTTAGCATTATAACAGTAATTTACATGTGAAAAGCGACAATGTTTGTATCATTACAAGGTCAACTTTAGCTTCACTCCTATTCAAAGGCATGCAACTGCAAAATTGACTATCATACCGCTCAGTGTCAAATAGAGAAATTGAGGCAAAGAATGAATTTTAAAAGGCTGAGGAGCCCTTTTCTCAAAATATTTTTGGAAAATGAAATTATACATGAACTGTTTCACTCTCAAGATCTCATTTGTAATTCTCCTATACACTGTATCATCTGCTATACAAATCTTATGCTGTTAGTTGTTAGGAGAATTTGGTATTGGATCAACTCACTATGAACTGTAGTTTTATGAAAATTCCATGAATTTCATGTGAAAAACCCATGAAGATCATTTCATGGCCCATGAATACTGCAAAATGAAATTTCATGGGGTTATTTTTAGCCCTGAATTTTCCATGAATTAGGAGAATTTTTTTCATGACCCATGAATTTCTTCAAAGTCTATTTTTATGACCCATTGATTTGCCATGAAAGTCACCAGAATTAATTTCATGACCCATGAATTTCTTTATATGCCTACTTTCATGACCCATGAATTTCTTCAAAGTCTACTTTCATGACCCATTAGTTTCCCCAGAAAGTCATCAGAATGAATTTCATGCCCATGAATTGCAATCAAACAGCATTTCATGGGCTAACAATTTATTTGTTTTGGGAGAACAAAATTAATGGGCCATGAATATTCCCTGAAATCTGTTGCCCATGAATTTCATTGATAAATCCATAGGCCATTAAAAGTGGTATTAATGAGTTCATCACAGTCACTGATTTATCAACGAGCTGACTTTCATGATCCGTGGAACTGACTTGTTATAAATTTATCCACTGATGGAATTTTGGTGTACAGCGCGAAAACTGTCGAATGAAAATGTCCCTAAACATCTTAAGTGGCCTTTGTTAACGTAAAATGTACAGGAAATCACAAAACAATGACTAAAAACAATGGATCTTCAATTTGCTCCTTTGTTGAGACAAATGGGGCTGGAGGCAATGACCCAGATGTTTGATCCTCACTTTGATTTTTTGGGGCGTTTTTGCCTTCGCCATGCCTGGACGACTTTGTTGACTTTTTTTCTGCCTCACTGCTGGCTTTGATTGTTAGCCATGACTCTGGAAACCTGTTCAAGGCCTTCTCTTACATTCTTACGACTGAGGAATCTTCTAGGGCTTTTCCCGTAAGGCAGCTGCAGAGTACAGATGCTTAAATTGCACAGCAATAGTACGCATTGCATCTACACGAAATGTGGAACAAAACAATGAAAATCAATCACTTTGTCACCTCAATTTGGAACTTTGAATAGTGTGCAAATGTAACCTGAAAAAAATGCTATTTTCACCTCGTTCATAGAATCGCCGGTTAACAGAGTCAGGCCATCTTCTCAGTCGGGATGAAACGTTACCTTCATGTATTCATTGAGATTGCCTTCTACAACATCGTTGTTGATTTCGTGATCGCTTTCACAGGAATCACTTTCGATGTCAGCTCTGACTTTCTTGGACTCTGATGTCCTGTCGATTGTTACTTGCTTCGAATTCCAAATACCGAACAGCTTTTTGTGCTGCTTTATTTTGTAAGATTACAGACACAGCAACGAGACCTCTTCGGAGTCATTTCGTAACGTCGAACACGATAACCTGTGAGGTCACTATGTGACCGCTGACCTATGATGGCTGCGATGACCTAAGGTCACCACGTGAAAGTACACGTGATTTACGAAGAAGTGGCGGTTTTTTCGTACCTCGAACGGAATGGTTCCATTCCAACTGCATTTCTCGTAGCGTTTGTGTAGCAGTCTCTTTTTTTCCAGATCAACGCAATGGACCGTCTGAAAAGTTTTTTCAAAGAGGTTTCCTCAAGATGAAGTTATCGACATGTATTACAACGTGAAGGGGTAAGTTCAAGCTTGGTCATCTTATTACGCGTAAACATCGGAGCGCGCGCGCTAACTATTGATTAAACTTGAAATTTTTATTCTGTGATCATCTGGCGAAACATTACAAGAGTTTGTATGGAAATACTTACGACCGTTCTTAGGAATAAAAAATACAGTCAAATTCTGAATACGAAATACCTCACCTCACTTAGGTTTACTACGTACATAAGAAAGGCTCTTAGATAACTGATGATGTGCTCCCTTTATTTTGCAAACAGTGAAGAGTGTTGGTCTACAAAACTGACGAAAGGAAATGCAAACTTGCTAAAGCAGCCTATCTTGGTCCAAATGATGATGAAGATGCAAATAGTAATGATAACAGAAAGAAGGATGGCACATTCAGGTGGCCAAAACAGATAGACACTGCCATAGTCAGCCATAGATATATCTTCACACATGCAAGAGTGCAGAAAATTGGTAATTGTTTTGTTGTTAGTTACCTTGAGAGTATTGATCACAAGTGTAAAACATATCAAGAAATTTACATGAATGCTGTTACATAAATAGACATTATAATAACTGTCCATAACATTTTACACATGATATTAGACGAAGGAAATGATATTTGAAGTTTAGACAAAAATACATCAAACCAGTGAGTATATTTTCAATAATTTCGTCCAAATATTTTTCACATCAAATTTATTTATAATATACCTTCAAAATAGTTTAAATAAAAAGAAATATAGGAGCAGAATCTGTCTCCACAAGGAAAATCAGTGATATCAAAATAGAGCTAAAAATCATTAACATCTTAATTTTATGCAGAAAATTTCATACCAACTTTTTTTATTTAAGAAAGTGTAAACTGAATTATCACAATTTTGGAATCCTAAAGTAATATTTATGTACAGCTGGTGAAACAAAATAAACTATCAGAGAATCCAGACTTCTGGTCATTTCTTTCATGTGTGTGTGCTTGTACAACAGGACCAAGAAGTTTCACAGATAGGTTAGTTCTTCAGTGTATAAATTAAGTGATGGTGTATGTATTACAGTTATGGTATACTGCAAGCTATATGCTGTAGTACAGTCTTTGGTACAAGAAAAGTGAAGAATTTTTAATTCCAAATTCATAGGGTTTCCAAAGAATTTCCATGGTGCTTGCATATTCCTAACAACCCCATGAAAACTAACTGGCAATTAACTTTCATGTGCCATGAAAAACCATGTAGAGGCCATGAAAATTCAAGGAAAATTTTCATGGTCAATGAATTTTTAACATATTCACAGGATATTCATGGGTCATGATTTGCTGCAACCCATTAAAAACTAGTGAACTTTGACACCATGAAATTTTGGGCTTGAAATTCATGAGTTTCTCAGTACCTTTGAAAAGGCCATGAAATGCCATTTTCATGGGTATTTCATGGCTTCTAGGTCACTTTACTCAATATTTCATGGGTCGTGAATATGGAAATTTTCACAGGTTTTTCATGGGATTTTTCAGGTCTTTTTCATGGCACTGAGACCATGAAAATGTCATTGATTTAACCATGAAAATCCTGTGAAAAATCTGTGAATTTACAATGAATTATTTCACAAGATTTTCATGGGTTTTGAGTTCATAGTGACTGTTAATCTCCTATTGAATATTTTTCTTTATTCTCATCACTTAATTGTCTACTTGGTATTGTATTGATATTGTAAGGAGAAATTCTGTCTTGGTCACTCATGGGAGTAAAAGGGTTACACATCATAAACTGACTGTTTCCAAATAGGAATTTTTTCTTGCAGTACAATACAATTTGAATCAGAAAGGAGACAAAAAAAAATGCAATCAAGAGAAATTGTCAGATTCTGCACCAAATTCTTAAAGTTTAAATTTTAAGTAAAAATATATGGCAGACTGTGTGGATAGTTGACACCTGTTAAAAGGATGAATGGAAACAACCCACCTTTGTTTTGAACCCAATATGCAGCAAAAAGCTTATGCGTTAATGGGACACACACATCTTGATTTGCATGGGCTGCTGCAGCTAAGAGACGCATTGGATTCAGTGTCTTTATTGGATGCTCAGATGGAGCTGTCCCTTCAATCCCATAGTGAAGTTTTGATCTCTTTAAATCTGAAATATGTAAACATTTCTTTAGAATAGCTTATACAAAAATCTGTGTAACAAATACATAAGGGGGTAAGTTTCTAATAAAACTGTGGTACTGTGTTAGCCCTTCATAAGAACAAATGAATCTGCTCTTATGAAGGGCTAATGCTTGAAATGTCAGCTTTGTAACTCTTTACCAGGGCCAATTTATTTTATCAACTCAATAACTGATACTTAATTTGACAATTATCAACTTGATAATATTTAATTACCCTGAGTAACAAGTGGATTTCGATTGGTTCTTACTCATGATCTATTGGAGGCCAGGCACACAGATAATGTCAACATTGACAACATTCACTCTATTATAGTACAAAACAAATAGATTCTATGTTGCAGCGGGTCTGGATAGTAAAAGATCACAGAACACACCAAAATGTGACATATCACTTTTTTGTTTTTTCCACATTTTGACATCATCTGTGATCTATTACAGAACCAATGCATGAACACATGGAATCTGTTTGTTCTACTGATCAAGAAAAAACTATAATTACTTCAATTTACCGAGAGAAAAAAAGATCCTCAAAGGTGAATTGCAATTTAAGATGTTGTAGAAAAAAAAATCCAGGACTCATTTCAAGAAAGAAGTAATGGTTTGCCTCCTCAATTAGGATTTTTTAACAATTTTGTTTTCTATTCATTCAGATATTTATAGAGTGCCTCAATTAGTATGAAGGTGATAATTGTATTAAGACTTGAACAAAGCTAATTTTATTATATATTTGATGACTGACTGTTTCACCAATTCAGTACAATTTGTAGTACCAATAGTCAGGCATTCATAATATTCATGTAAAAATTGAAAATTTTATTACCATCTGCTAATATCTTAATTTTAGCCGCACTCATAGAGTCATAAGCAGATCCTGCTGCACCTTGGGGTGCCTGTGTTCCCTTATACAGGCCACCTAACAAAAGGAAAATAGTCAAAGAAGCAGTTCTTGAGAAAGCTTACTAAAGAGGTATTTACAAGTCATCCTTGCTTGCCATGTTACAAAAAATATGATTAAGCTTACTAGGAAGGATATTTGATCTTTAAATTTGGAGGCGTATGAAAGGGGTGAGTGGATATAACACTCTGCATCCAGGTAGGTGGTCTAATTATTTCTAATTATAAACGGAACAGTTCACAGCTAGTCTTATAATCATGCTTCGATCTTCAGCGGTAATTTGATCAGTATGGATATCTAAACAAAGAACTTCAGCCAAGCTACCAATAGTTAAGAACAAAAACCTAATAGCTCGCCCTACACGTATATATCAAATGTAAGTAAAGATAGCTCGTGAAACCATTTCAAGACACTCAAGGAAATTGTAAGTGGCTTGTATTACCTAGCAGAACAGGTTTCCACAGAATTTTAGCCCCGTTTCGGCTTGCAACACCTTCTATGAGTCTGCTCGCCATGTAGGCGAATGGGCAAACGACATCGTAATAAAACACTACTTCTTTCATGGTGAAAATTTACTTTCCTGTTAAATCTTTCACAGATATTGCATTCATATGAGCCTCCTGTGCATTCAATCAGCGGTTATCAATTACATCTGTCACTTTGTCACGCAATCCACTAAGATTGCATTCTTCTTGTACAATGCGTGAATGTGATTTCAGATTTTTCTTCTTCATTCTTGCTCTGCGTAGTAAGGTGAATCATTCTATTAGGACTGTATCTATTCTATACATGTACTATCGGAAATTTGGAAGTGTTCACCGTTGTCGAAATGTCTTGAACTTGGACTAGAAACTTCCCGCGTAACTGACATACATTTAAATGTATTAAATCCTTCAGAGCCTCGTGGGATGCAACTTTTTGCTTTACCGAGACCTCCTTGAGCGCGACCACAAAAGAAATATCGACAGATACAAATTCAAAATGAAACCCAGCGAGAATTTTACAGCAGCAAGGAGAGCACAGCTTACGTGAGAATTAGTGACACGTTACTTATTCATCTGCGTGGGCACCCGCGTGGGTGGAACGTGATGATCGGAGTGAGGGGTAACTGAACAACTACAGGACTTTTTTGAGAAGTTCTTGATGCAGTTCCTGGGAAACTTGCAGACACCTAGCCTATGTATGATTATGAATTGAACCAGAGCTGGCTTAACGACTTTGAAGATCTCTTTTACCCGTCACGTAAATTTTTGTAGTGAGCCAGGGGAGCCTTTTAATTTTTTCTCGATTGATTGTTTGTCCTTGAGACTCCAAGCACGAGGCATATTTGGATCATTCAGCGGTCATCACATGAGAACTGCATTTGAATTTTATAACATGTTATAACACTGTTATCATCATTATACGAATTTTAAAAACGGTAATTCTGGCATCCAAAAACGGCGAGAAGAGTTACAAAGTAGAGTAACGATAGTAGACATCTGAGTTTTACCATGAAGTTAAAAAATCTAGATCGCTCATTTGGGAAGAAATAAAGCAAGTTCCTTCAAAGCAGCGGCCAGGTTTCTGACGTAATTCCGTATGTGAACGTAACAAAACTAGGTATTTTTTTAGAATATCATCAACATTTTGGCTGTCCGGAATTTATCTCATCGATAGATGTTTCTTTATTCATCAACAAACAACACAAGTAGCTCAAGCTCGCATAATCAGACCCGGTATAAATATTGTATATGTAAATATATGTTTATGTCACGCAATAGTCGCAATGTAAGGATTGGTATGGGAGTATACGGTCACACTCTTAACCCAGAAACCTGGATTAGTTTTGAATAAAACCAGACTTGCATCGCTTCTTTGTTTGTTCCTTTGCATGTTGTGAGCTTTCTTGTCTGATTTTAGGTCATTCAGTGCGTTTCTTAGTTCTCCTGATTTACTCTGAAAAATATTACATAGTTCTCCCAACACTCAACTCTCAGCTACAGGCAATTTGGAAGCTGTTCATTGAGACATTTCAGCCCATGCAAACAAAGAGGCTCAAGTTCTCGGTAATGTTCAAATTTTTTGTTCTACAATTATAATATCGCCCAACTCAAAAAGGGATTTTAAACGCCTAGAATCACGGGCACGTAAGGGGTAAACATATGAAGCACGTTAACCTTTTTGATTGAATTTTTCTAGTAATTTATCAACTGTGCCACCTCCACGACACTCTTTGTAAAAAAACCTGCCAAATTATGTTTTGAACCTGAAATTCCACCCTTTCATTTTCAATGTATAATAATGTAATACTTCAGTGGTTGCACAACACGATCTCGTGACCGCCGATTCACTGTAGGCACAAATAATGGCATAAAACATCCGTCAAAGACTTCTCATTGGTGCTCACGACGTTTCTTTCAAAATGAGGCAGTCATCACGTAATTACCTCGGCAAGAAATTATGAAAAATGTACAAAGTTTTAATGCAAACACGTCCAGAGCTATTGCTATTCTGAAAGTCTCGTAAAGACCCATAATCAGTCTTGCTTTAATACTGTCTTGCTGCAAAATTATGAATGAGAAGCGATTTGTAAGACTTCTCCATACATTTTGGAGAATTTTATTTCGTGACAACAATTCTAGTCAATCCAAACTGATCGCATATGACTTAAGTGTACAACAGAGGGGTTTTTCTTAATAGCCAGATGTCTTGGGCAAGTGTTAGTTTGAGGTCGCAGTGTCCACTAGGCCAGAGTTGAGTTTGGCTCTTCTTTCTTCCGCTTTCGTCCATTCACGGTTATTCTCGTATTCTTTCTGTTGGCGTGCCTTGTGCCCTTAGTGTTGAGTGAAGGCAATCCCAGAATCACTTGCTTCAGCTTCAGCCGACCGGCCACACCAGTTGTTTTGATTTTTGCCTTGGGCTAAATTTTCGTTAAGCTTCGATTTTTCACTTTAGCCCACTGGTTTCTCCCCTCGCCACAACACTCGCTCCTACCAGACGGCCTGTATCTTTCCCTTTACTTTACAGAGAGACAAATGTGGGGAGCCGATTGATCCAGCGACGCTCTTTCGTTACCGATTGGATCACTTTGGCCAAAAAGCCATGGTTCCGGATCTTTTGTGTAGGTACAGAGGCAAGAACCACCACCTGGCTCTTCGCAACAGCCACAAGCACAAGAAGGACTTGTGCAACACCTGTCTTTAGGCGCAGGGATAATGTCTCCTGGAAAATTAGTTATGACTAGGAACGTAGCGGAAACTGGAAAGTATGGGGGAAAATGTGGAATAACTACGTGGTAATTGCTCAACTTGAGATGGAACCGCCAGCGTAGAGAGTCGCACTGTTTCTCCATTGTATCGGTTTCGATGCGTGGAAGATTTTAACGGTTTCAAATATTCGACAGTCCAGACGATAAAAATGCCCCGGCAAAGATTACACAAATTGAAGTTCGTCGAATTCACCATCGGAGAACTGAACGAAACCTTTTAAAGGTACACTTTCGACATGCAATTTTTGTGACTGCAAAATATAACCAACCAGGAAGTTTATTTTTAATACCATGTTTATTGTAAAATACTGTTATAATATGACTACACAAGTTTTTATTTGATCGTTAAAATAATAATAATAATAATAATAATAATAATAATAGCAATGATTTATTGTAGAGTATCCAACAAAGTAAGGTTCTTCATCTACAATATCTACACTCTAAATAAACTCTAAAAGAGAAGAATATACATATAAAATAAAAAATAAAAAACTCTTATAATTGTGTTTGCTACTTAAAGTTCCTTTCATAAAAGATGTCTCTTCACACTACGACAGAAGAAATTGTACTCAGTTATGTTTCAAATAGCTACAGGGAGCTTGTTAAAGTAGCACTCACTCAGTCCCTGATTCTCTCGGAATAGGAAGGACAGGTGCAAACGAAGATCTTAAGCTATAAGCACTGATCTCGTGTACATTTAATTTAAGATATTCAGGAAGAATTTCATCATATAGCCACTTATTTACTTAAGTAAATTTAGTTTAACGTTCTTATTCACTGGAGGCCAGTTCAACTTTGCAACGTCTTCCACTCCTGCGAACTTTCTTTTGACAAATCCAGCGCGAGCATTTTGCCTTTGGAGGCACTTCATTTAAAATGCTGGAAGGGGTTGGAAAACAGAGCATGCATAATTCACTTTAGAGAGGACTAAGCTCTCTGCCAGGTGTTTCCTCACATGAAAAGGGGCTAGATTTTTAAGCCTGCGCAGTACTGACAGTGTCCCGTACGACGAACTAGACCCATGGTCTTCATGCGTCTTCCAGGTCAGGTGCTGGTCCACGTGTACACCCAATAGCTTTGTGCAGGAAATCCGTTTTAGTGGAGTATCGCCACAAGCGTTAGGAAGTTTTCGTTCTTCTAAACTGTGATATCGCGCCATCTGTGGAGTGGAAATAAGCATCCAGTTTGTCTTGGAAGAATTCAAGGCCATGTTGCAATTCTTAGAATAGTCCCTCAGGCTTGTAAGTGCTTTATTTATGTGATCTGCTGAAGAATTGAGATCACATGGTTTCGAGTGGATGTAAAACGTCATATCGTCAGCATACTGATAACAGTCACACTGCAGCTCGCTCCGGAGGTCGGCGACATAGAGAATGGAAATAACCGGACCCAGAATTGAGCCTGAAGAACGCCCGAATTCCACTGTTGCCATATCTGACTTCTTGTCGTCAATTTGCACCAACTGTCTCCTATGAATTAGATAGTCAATCATCCATAGTAAGAAGTACTTGGAGAACCCTAGGCTGTGCATCCTAGAGACCACCGACCTAGATTGGACGGTATCAAAAGCATTGCTATAGTCTGCGCAGACCATCAGTGTTACCTCTCCTCTGCTTGATGCCCGCATTAGAGCGTCGCGGATCCCCAGTAAAACAGGTAGTTGTTAAATGACCTTTCCGGAATCCTAATCCTAAAGCGCTTCCTCATTGATGTAAACAATGAGCTGGTTGAGCACCAAGACGAACACTTTAGATAGTGTCAGTAGAATCAAGACGGTAATCAGCGTCAGACAAGGGTTCATCAACTTAAGGAATAGGGGAGATTCATGCTATCTTCCAGAGTCTGGGAAAACTTGATGTTGCAATACAACGGTTGATTAAATGTGTTAAAGGACCCGATGTATGTTCCTTGGCTAGTTTTACAAATTTCACCGGAATCTGATCTATGCCAGTTGATGTATCGGAGCGAAGTTTATCGATCTCTTTCTCAACTTCAATTGAGGAGACACAGTGCAGGTTAGAAGGATGCGAGGTCCGAGGACACTCCGAAAAAGAGTTCGCAAGGTCTATTATATCTGATCTTTTATCCGGTTTGGTACCTAGTGTTCTCTCGTTTTTACTTAATATGCTTTAATTGTAAAAAAATGTAATTTAGATTATTTTGTATAAGCAATGCTAAAATGGATAGGATGCAAATTGAAATAAAGGCAGCCGTTGGCCAGGAATCATGCTTATTTCTTTGATTTCTATCAGGATAAACTGAGTCAAACCTTACCTATCCTGAGTTCAATGATGAGTCGGGACGTCAAGGAGAAGTTGCAATGAACGTACTACCTTTCTATACTTTTCCTAGGCACTCATTCGTTGTTCAAACTCAGAGTAAAACGAAGCTGTCGGAATAGCTGTACTAGAATTCGTGCAGAATAAAAAATGGAAGGTCCTTTTCTGAGTCAAAAAATGCCGAGGCAAACGACACAGGCGAAACCTCTCCTTGTGAATGATGCATCGCAAACACGACGCCGGAATCTAGTCTAATGATGTCTTCAGATTTGCAGGTGGAAGAAATTTCTGATAAATGTGCAAGGTGTTCGATTGATAATTTTCCCTGCGTGGAAGTGGAAAACATACAAATTTTCGAACCACTATTCGAATGAACAGTCTTTACTGTCATGCAATCAAAATGAACTGCAAACCGACGAGACAAATCAACACTTCACTACACTGATTCCCCTTCATTCAACTGAATTCGTTTCCAACTTCTCTCTAATGGTTTCGAGAAACAAAACCCGATTGAATTTAGCTCTTCTTAGCAGACGTGATTTTCTCGTTTCTTTGTTGTTCCGTTATTGCTTTTAGTCAACTGATCACTCAAACGCATGACAATCAAAGGTGAAAAGGTTGAACTTCCTGAAGGAGTATTATCCTGTGGCAGTGATTGTTTAGAAATGGGTCGTTCTTCGAGCTTTGAATTTTCCACAGAAGACCCAAACGATCGTTAAATAGTGTTCGGCCTTACTGTACTCAGCTTAAATGAAACCTCGCAACGGACTCAATAGCTTTAATGACCACTTTCAGTGTCTAGACGTCAAAATATGATGAAACAAGGGTCGAAACCGATGCCTGTTAAACGGCAAAGCGAAAGTATCATGGAAGTGACGGAAGATCTAGAGCTCCTATGTGTCGAAGAGGAGGTTAACGACATGGAGAGGGCAAAGGAACTGCATGAGAAGAGAGTCACTGAGTTGAGGAAAACAAACGGAACTTTGAAGATGATAAGCTCTTACTGATCAGTCGAGGTCAAGCACGCATTCCCTTTACAAACGGAGACGTGCAAAACTTTAACTTTTATATTTGATCAAACTAAAATGCCAAATTAGTTACAAGTCCATACAAATGCAGTGATTTCCAGAACCTTGCGTTGAGATGGTCAATACCATGCTCATGGAATGTTACTATTGCGTCGGACAGCAGACCTAAGAAATTCCATTCAACTAAAACTCATAAAGATGTACATCAAATGTCAACATTGACGTAGACGTATGTTTTCCTTCAAATTACGGGATGCTTATTACCGAACGCTAGGTCTTATCTAGACTAATATGTTGCGTATAATTTATTAAGATGTAAAGATAAAAAATGTTTTGACATCATAAATGTAGGACGATTTTCAGGACCTTGTTTTTAAATGAACAGTACGTTATTTATGGCATATTATCATTTGCGACAGACAGCAGAACTGAGTGATTTGATTTCATGAAAAGCATGAAGGTGTAAACAAAATGTCAACATTGATGCAAAGTTACGTCTTTTTTCAATCCTACTTGTTCTGAGAGCTGATCCTGCATTGTAAGTTTCGTCTAAACTTATGTATTTATGAGTAGTTCACCAACGAGTGTCATTGAAGCAATCGAAGTATCTAAAAATTTCTGCCTGTCAACGTGTATTTTAACAAAAAATTACTGTTTACATCGACAACATGTTGATCTTTCACATCAGTCCTTGTGGTTATTAGGCACACATACAAAAGTCAAGGAACAAGCCTAAAAGGAAGTCAGTTGACATTTAGGCATACGGAACATGAATTTATCACGGAAATTTACATTTTCAAACCTGAAGAAACAATAGAGTGTGTTTCCAATGTAAGCACACTCGGAAAAAAACATTTTCGATGATACAGACAACAACCCCATTGTGCAAAGTAATTCTTTTAAACTACTTCAAGTTGAAACTAGTTCTGTTTTTTCTAATTGCTGGACATGTGGTCGTGAAATGGATAACCTGTTCTAGAACCTTCATGCATGGACTTAAACCTCCCAATCAGATGCACATCAGGTCTGCAGACGAAAATATTATCTCGAGATATTCTAGACCAGATAAAAATTAATTAAGATCGTAAGTCTTGATCTGATACGGGTGGTGAGAAAAAGATTCAGTGGAATCATTATTTCAACACTTTTACCATCATTATGGTAAAAGTGTTGTTCTCGTGAAAGATTCTCTATGTTGGCGACCTCTGTCAATTGATATCCGTCGATGTTGACAGGTTTAGGTTAAGTCAACCTTCCTCCTTTCTCCTTCAATTTGGGCTACTTCGTGGTGAAGGCACTTGAGCTACCCTTTTCCTTCACTGTTTCTCTGGCTAACAGATGAGGTAAGACAAAGTAAGACGAAGGCAAGGGTTGTGCTCGATACTCTCGACTAGTTCACGGTCATGTCCAGACAGATTCGAAGTAATTTTTTCTGGTCTCTCGTAATGATTTTAAATAGTACCTTTGTCATTACAAGGAATTTTGCGACGGTGAAATACAGTGGCAGCGAAACCTCCAAACGACCTCTATCCAAACTATGATAACAATTTCAGGCAACTTGAGAGAAACACTTAGCATTTAGTAGGGCGTAAACATAATTGGTGTAAACATAATTACCGGTAGTTTGTAAATTAATTTTCTGAATTTAATTTGTCCGATACTCTATGCATGGTTATCAGTTGTGTCAAGTGAAGTACACCTAAATTTCTTCGTCCCTGTTGCTAGTTCTCTCGTTACACTTCCACAACACATTTAGAAAACAAACTTGGTTGACAGCTTATGTTTTTGGACCGTCATACGAGTGATATTCCATTAAATTCCAGCTTTCCGTTGTAAGTGGATAATATTAAATGTTGATCTGGTTGTGTGACTCAATTTAGTGACTGCCGATTCAATGAAAATACAAATAATCGCGTTTCTCATCGAGACAAATATATGATTTTAACAGACGCGTAGTGCAATCACATATACCATAAAAGAACTTTACGAGCAGACATTTTGGCTCACGCTTCAGTTGATTATGTATTGGTCCAAGTTATTGTTTTTCTCCATTTATTATCTCAGCATCGGAAATTTACCAGGAGCAAAACGTGAGTCACTATTGCGGAAGTGGCACCACTCGTACAACTGCATGCTGTATGAATGCCAGCACGATGGCGTTCGTGCCAAAGGAAGATCCCAAAGGTACGCACAGTTCGCTTAAAATAATTTAATGACCATTCTTATTCATATTTTTGGTAGACGTGAGCCAAAACGTCTGCTGGTACCCAGGCTAGAAAAAGCCAAGTCAAGTCAATCTTTTGACTACGAGTTAATTTAGTATTATCAACTATGTTGCAAACGTAAATTAGCCCCCGTAAAGGGTAAAAAAGCTGACGTTTCGAGCGTTTGACTACGAGTTTGTTATTTTACTCTATTATTTTTGGTAACTTGATAGTTCAATTTTTTGAAACGTGAACCAAAACGTCTGCTTGTAAAGTTCTTTAAGTCTTTCACTACTGAGGTAATATAAAATAGAATTAGCATGCTCTCGCATTTCATTTCGTGAGATGGTTGATTGTACAAGGGACCAGGGAGAGTACGATTTCAGGGGGAGGTGGAGGTTTTGTTCGATTCTCGTATTTCATGTATGTGACATGTTGTCGTCTCGCCTTATTTTAGATATTTATGCCTTCTTTTAGATTGTTTGCGAGTGGCTGTAGATGTTTTTGAGGTGGTTTTTGAAATTTTTGAGGTAGCTGTAGGTAGTTTTAGGTGGTTTTAGGTCGTTCCATGTTTTAGTATTTCCGGGTTACGTCAACCTTCCCCATTCCCCGTTTCTCTGGGCTAGTTTAGAGTGTAGATGTTTGAGCTGCACCTGTCCTTCACTACTGCACTCGTTAGCATAGTAAGTAAGGCGCAGTAAACGGTTTTCTTCAATACTTTCAACTAATTCACAGTCAGGACGAGCATCGGAGACAGATTCCGAGTAAATGTTTTCTAAAATCTCTCGACGCCCGTCGACAGATCTCTGTCATTAGGCGGAATCCGCAACAGTCGAGATCACGATGGCGAGGAGAACAACACATAGACCTCTTAATGAGGTAAGCGTCTATCGAAGCACGTCTAATTCTGAGCTACAGGCTGACTGAAAGCTCTTGATTTTTTTCACGCACACAAATAGGCTCAAGCTTTCGCTAGTATTCACATTCAGTTTGGTTCTTTTGAAGCTAAAAATATTTTGAAATCGACCGCGAGTGACAACATACAGCCATGTTCGTCTGATTAGTTCTGCATCTTTCACCTGACAACAGAGTGTGTTTACCACATTTGTTATCTCTGTCTCACTGATCTTCTGCTTTATGTAAAACCGTCCGAATATATTCATGTAACAAGGATGGGAACATACTCAAAAGATCACTGGTGTCTTACGAGCAGTTTTTGTGGTGGATTCTTTTCTAGAAATGGTCTATAACGACAAGGATTTGCTTAAAACCCGGTATGCTTTGTCTCTGCAAAAAATCTTTTATCTCCCGTACCTCTTCCTTAACCTGAAGACTACTTCTCAGTCATTAACGCTTTAATTTGGCTGGATTTATTTCTATTTGCTGTTCTTCAGCAGCCCCATGGTGAGAAGTATATGTAAGCAAGGCAGCAATAACTGTGCTAGACTATGATGGATTTGGCCTCCTTTTTAGAACTCATACCATGTACATGTACTCTAATCTGAACATCATTTTGAAAGCGTGTGTTTGTTCGTTACTTTGTTTCAATGTTTATCTTTAGTCGAAAGCCTGTAGATCAGCGGTAGAGTTAGGACGGTTACGAAACCAATCTATTTTGGCATCAGATCAATTGATGTGTCTGAAAGTTCTGCAGCTGATGGAAGAAATGAGAAATTTTCTAGTTGAAGTTTTCAAGCTTTATTTGAGGCAAAGGAGTGGCATTGTTTTACCCTTGAGGCAGGACTTCATCCAAGACCGAGTACTGCAAAACACTACTGGCTTAATTAGGGTTGGCAAGGTATTTTTTTTATCCAGGTTTATTTATTTTCATCTACCTTTTTATACTAGGGATATCAATGGATCTTAAAAGACCTGGAGGATACTCAAAATCAGCTACGTATACTGAAACAATACTATTTTAAAGTGAAGGAAATTCAGCAGCAAACTAACTTGGTTACTCCAGAAGGCAATCAGGTATTTGAGGCTGGTGCTGAAAGACGTCTCGCAGACCTTGAGAGGAAGAAATGTACCATTTTCATCACTGGTAAGTTTAAAAATAGGTACCCATAGGGTACACTGTTCTCTAAGCGAAAACATTTGTGCACTAATGAAGCCAACATCTGCACTCAGCTGGCCAAAAGACACTTATAAGCAGACAGCCCTACATATGGCTGCCTTCACAAAACCTAGTTTGAATTAGCACACTAACTTTGTATCTAAACATTCTTGCAAGTGGACATTGATGGAAACAGTGATGGATATTGTTAGGGGTTATGATTTCCTTTGTTTTTAATTTCTCCTTAGCAGACACTTGAGGTAAAATCATAGTAGCCTCCAAATTGTATTTTAAACAACAAAGACTCCACATTGCTGCCTGTAATAATGATCTGAAGTGCAATTACTATCAATGCACTAATCCAACATGTATGGTTTGTTCTTTGATCTCTATTATAGGCCATTCTAGTACTGTGGTTGGAGCAGTATTGTGTACAGTTAATAACAGCCAATTGTGGATCATATTCACAGTATGTATCTCATATTTTTTAACAGGTGAGACCAGTGCTGGTAGGAACAGTCTGATCAATCTATTGCTTGGTGAGCAACTTCTTCCTTCCAATATCCAGAAAGAGACTATGACTACCTGTGAAATATCCCATGGTTCAGAGAAGGAAATTGTGCTGCACTTTTCCAACAAGAGTGAACATAAACGTATCCTCAAGGGAGAAAACATTGAGGACCAAATCAAAGAGTACATTCAAAAGTCAACAAAGGATGAAGATTGGTGCAAGAAAATAGAGATAATGCTTCCCAACACATTATTAGAGGTAAGAATGTTACTTAATCAATTATCAATCCTCTATCATCTACTATGTATGAAAAGGAAGGCTATAATAATAACCATCATTTTAATCTTATTGAGACCTCATAGTTTCTTTCAAGTTTACTTAATCAGATCACCAAGCCTTAACAAAACACCTGATTATGTTTCTTCATTAAGAACCTCAAACTATTCCTAGAATGCTAAAAGTTTAGCAACTGTACATTGAAGATTCAAATAATTATTTTAGAGCATTTGTCCCAGGAGACTTACCACATTTGGCCTTTAAAGGACATTTTGTCACTTTTTCTTTCCTTTTTCCCTTTGGCCTCCAACAATGGAGCTTGAAGATTTCTTGAACCTTTTTCAGATTAAGATTTGCTTTAGATTTATTTTCCTGACAGGGATGTTGCACTTTTTTGGCTTTTTCGAATTGCATAATTTATTAATCCTCGTTCTATAATTTAGGGTGGTATAGTGATTGTGAACAGCCCAGGAATTGGTGAATCAGATCATGTTAAAAGTATTTTCATGGATAACCTTTCTCAAGCCAATGCTTTCATTTACATGATAAACAGTCCACAGGCCGGAGGATTGCAAGAGGACATGGTAAGCAATGTCAAGCATTTTACAAACCTGTTGAACTTGCACATCGAAATTTAGTAAATATTACTGAAAATTAGTGGTGGCGCCCAAGAATTCACAACATTAACAGAATGTTTAATTTTCATGTATTCACCATTATTACTTGTAACAATTAACAAAGAAAAATAGCAAGCAAACCAGAATGCATCAATCAGAGTCCAGTATGTCCAAGTGGAAATAGTGCAGGTGCTGTAATGCCGAAATCTCATGCCACATATGGGATGGCTATTTAAGGCAACTTTTGTCATCCACAGCTCATATAGTAGGTACTCACCTTTTTTATAAGGCCATGTATTTTTCATGTAATATGTGACAGTGTACATGGATTCTGAAGAAACATATTCAGATAATGAATACTCATAAAGTGATCATTCAGATGATACTTATGACAGTAGTTTTGTAAGAATTCTGCAGCTTTCATGATAACAAATGTAACATAGTAAGAAAATCTGTGTACTATAGAATATACTACCTTAATAAAGTGATATTTAATTTACAACCAAAAATATGATCCAGAAATAACCACAGAGAATAGAAACAAGGAAATAGTTGTGTTTTAAAAGATAAACCATGTGTTACTACAGATCAATAGCAATAGAAAATGGATGATTAATATCAATTTCATCATGAAACAGATATCAAATAATATGCAAATTAATTCAGATTATGTAAAGTAACCAAGATACCTGTAAAAGTTACCCATTGATTATCTGAGTTAAATTCAAACATGACATTATATGATGGTCTTCCACCAGCAGTGTGTGTAGTTAATACTAATGCATCATTATCAATGTTACTTTTGTAATAAGCAAAATGAATGATTTCATAATATCCATTTTTTTTTATTTTGAATTTTTTGTAGAGATCAAAAACTGTGAAATAGATGGATGTGAAATAGTTCATTCTGAAGTGTTGAACTTAATATATGGCAAATAGTTAAATATATTTAATTTATAATTGTAGTAAAAAACAGGAAAATGTCTAATGTTATCCATGCATGATTTATTTACAGCATCAATATCATTAGTTGGTGATACTAAATTGATGATTTTACCTTTAACCATCCTGATATCAGCAGCCATTGCAGTCTTTCCATCAGACCCAAAATCTCCTTTGTCACCTTTTGGACCCTGTAGACAAGGCTCACCTTTTGGTCCCTCAAAACCTTGCAAACCTGGTGGACCACGTATACTGATCATTCTATTTTGTCTTGTATCACCAACAGCAAAATTACCCATATGATATATATAATATATGTTTATACATATTTAACCGACTTTTTAAAAAGAAGTTGACAATAAGGACAATCATCTAACATCCCACCATTGGATACAGTTATCTTTGCTTTGTATCCAGCAATGGATACATTGAAAGTAATATGACCACTATGTGTGACAAAAGAAAAATGCGTGCTATTTGATATTAAAACATTACCTCCACTTTTAACTGGTCCTACTATTAAGTACCATTATCGTTACTGTTGTTGCAATAACAGTAAACATTTTGCTTGTTTATCATCAAACACTTTCTTTGTAATAGGATTATCATCATTAGCTGCATCTTGTATTTTCAACCCTTTTGGTCATTTTAACAGGCGTTATGAAATCAAGAGTATACCATTAGTTATTTCAAACTTTTTATCCCACATGCTCAATGGAACATCACTGTAATATCCTGAGATGCCATAAACTATGACATGAATGACCAAATCCTGTGAATAAGCCAGAATTGACTTATTTTGCAATACCAAATCCCTCATCAAATGGTTAGTTGTTACATTATTGTACTTGTTTATATGAACCAATGATCTGGTGTGATCTGCAAATTAATTGGCTGAAACCCTAGAAATTGTCTCTGCACTACTGCTGGCTTATAGATGTCAACAGATGAATGGTCAATAGATGCAGAGGGGAAGTATAATTCAAATACCACTGCATATTCACCAGGTAATGGCGGAGCTCACAGAGCTAATAGCCCCATAATTATACAAAGTAGTGGTAACCCATCAAGCCAAAAAAAATTTGGATGTATGACCATACGACTGTACAACCGACTGTTCAAGGGTGTACTTTTAGCATGTGCGGCCAACTGTACCATCCGGGCACTATCTTATAATCAGTCCTCTACACAGACATAGAGATCGAAGTTGCAAATGGAAATCCATTAATATTAACATGCACTTTATCCATAGTAGGGGCTTTAGTTTTGTTGAAGAGACGTGTGGGGAAAAAAAATGTGAGCTCCGCTTATATATAGACTTGCTTAAATCTATATATTACTTCACACATATTCAAACCAACATGAGATGAATAACATCCTTTGCTGGAATCTAAATTGAGTTTCATTTCATAGGTTTTTTTTACTGAACTGATGAAAGTCTTGATCAATGAATTTAAGCCCTGTAATATCATCTTCATCACTAAACTGCCCACTTTTGCTCTTAATGTATACAAATGTGTTTTCCAAATCTGTACTTCCAACAGACTGATTCAATCTATCATTAACATACTTCTGATAATTAGTAGCTGTTTGTTTATTATTATTGTTGATAGTTGTATTAATAAAATTAACATCAGCAGCATGTGTGCTTTCATGCACCTGTGACTGTTTGACATAATTCTTACTTCTGCTATTCATATTCAAATTACCAGTCATCACCCTTGTACAATCAGTTTTCAACGAACTACTTGTTTTTGTATCAACATAGCTTTCATTGCTTCCATCTGTTGCACTTGTTTGGTCCACTACATTAATCTCCTTATTGCCTTTCATATCAAAACCAAAGTAAAGGTTTTACTATCAACATATTTCTTGTTGACCACTGCATGCTTATCACTATTATCATTGCTGTCATAATGTGGTATTAATAACATGCTTTTCAATGTTTGGGGTAACAGATCATCTATATCTATTTTCTTATCTGTGATATCTTTCGTCTGCTTCAAGGTCACAGCCTCATCATCATATTGAACTCTACTCTGGTCATAAATGGTCTTACCATCAGAATCCCATCTGTTACCACTTCCAAATCTCAATAATTGGTTATCATCACTTTTTTTTCTGTATGTTGTCTCCCAAAATACATTAATAACTGCATCATCATTTGAGGTGGGTGTATGCACATTCTTAATACAGTTATTATTCAAATTAATATCAACTTAGAAAGTCTCAGAGCCATTCAGAATATTGTTTGCAAAGGCATTAACATACTTTTTAAAAAACTGAAAAATGAGATATCTGGTTATGTATGCAATACCCCAAGAACAACCACTGAAGAGCTTGGTCATTGGGCCAGGGAATGCCATGGTGATGTATCCGTTCATCCACTTGATAGTACCTACAAGAAATTCCTTACTTTCACAAACAGTAATACAAGAACAGGTATCACTGTGGTGTACATTGTTAAAGATCATCATTGTTGCCCTGTTACTGATTATAATTTGAAGATAGCTGCAACAAAGGATCAGAGGAGTTTTAGTGATCTGTTAAAGCACATGTCTGATATCACATGGACCTGAAGACATGAGAACATCAAAAAGTTGAAATCAGTTGATGACATTGAAAAAATGAATGAAAAAAATAATACCATTGGACTACCTGAAGATGTGAGAATGCCATGATGCTGTTAATGGGTATATCAAGAAATCAAACTATTACCTTGAATACTTACATTGGAACAATAATAACTATTTAGATGGATTCACTGATCATGATAAAAATATTAATGTGATGAATGATGAGTATGTATTATGTGAGAGATCAATATGTGATAAATTGTATGATAGGCATAAGATGTGTGACTTTCTTTGGACCAACCAATCATATCCCAGTATATCCAATGCATTGTTCAAGCAACTAAATGTATTTTTAAGACTGCTAAACAGATGCTGGATGACGTTTATCCAAGGGCATTACAATGGTGTTCAACAGATGATAATTACCAGATAATGTAGTAATTGTGGACATCTGTAATTCCTATCCCAATGTGCTATTAAATGATACCCATACCTTTGCACAGTATTTATGATGCGGTAGAGAAGTTTAATTGTAAGAGTGATCGGGAAAAATGTGGTGAGTTTTATATTGATGAGACTGCAATCAACTGTTACACTCATAATTATAGAAGCTGGTTTTTACAGTGCTAATCTGGTAGGATACTTAGTAGAGGTACTGCACATGCCAATCACACAGATAAAATACAAAATCACGACTAAAAGAGCCTTAAAACCAGATACTTTCAAGGGGTATATTAAGTTCATTGGATGAATTACCAGAAGCTGAAGCCAAAAAGATGGCTAATAGTTTAATCTGTGAACTCGGTCAGCAAGATCGGCCATGGTTTTATGTGTACAGAATGTGATACTGCTATGTGTATTTGGACATCTGCCATGAATAAAAAGAGGAATCTTACTATTCATCAATGTAATAGCTTGTAAATACTCGTTTTCTGATAATACCAGTATTAACCCTTTTTGTAGTATCAGAAGCCATACTCGAGTATTTGTAGCTCATTGCTTGCTGTTGTTCAAAGAATAGTCTGTTTTATGGTTATAATTAAGTTAGTATTTATATCACAAACAGTAAAATGAAATTCAGGAACAAGAAAGATATTAAGGTTAGCACAAAAGAGATTGGCAAAGCATTTGAGACAGATTCCAAGCCAACATACTTTGAGAGGCATTAAAGAGAAAACATGTGCTTTGATGACTATGAGAACAGATTGGGTAAAGGATGTATATATAATGGACAGGCTGGTAGTGGTGAAACATAAGAGCTTGGTGAGTTGGTAAAACAATCAGATGATTGTATTGTGTTGTCATATACTAAAAAAGCTTTGGAAAATGTTAAATCAAGGTTGCAAGCTTTTAGATATGAAAAGACACAAGTTAATAACTCTTGATAATTACTTCTTTGGAATTGGTAAAGACAGGAGTATGGATAGCCTTGATGGGAAGGATATTTTCATAGAAGAGTTTAGTATGCTCTCTAATAGATGGATGACTATGATTTATAAAGCTTTTGAAAAGTTCAATAACAAGGTATACTCATTTAGTGATTGTAGTGAACCTTTAGAAGCTGGTAGTCAAGTGCATTATAATTATCAGTTATCAGCACTGTCAATCAAATGTGTAGCAAAACAAAGACAATGAAAGACATTGAACATCCTAGTAGATATGATAAAGAGACCAATAATATGCATGGTACATTCGTTGACACTGAAAGATATCCACCTACTTTGAACCAATTGGTAAGTACAATAAGAAGATCTGTTATCTGAATGCTACCAGGGTAAGAGTAAATACGGAATGCTGTGATAGGATTGTAGTGAACGAGAAATATGAAACCATTGACTTAAAGTATGAAAAGTATAAAGTTTGCATTGGTACTCCTATAATTGCAACACAAAATATCACAGACAAAAAGATCTTCAATAAATGGAGTTTATTGTTGAGGATATTGAACATATATACCTTGCTGAGTTTGCAGAACACTTTATCCTCAGTTTCTCTGTTACAGTGTATAAATACAAAGGTGCAGACATAAATGAGAACTATAATATATATGATGTCAAGCGCATAGATTAAAAAACAATTGTATACTGCATTATCTCGTACCAGAAAGTTTGAATTCATTCGTCTGAACTTTAAAGAGCTAAACAATAGATATGTTACCAGAGAACAACCTACGTTGGAACTGACAAATAGTAAGTTTAATAGCCTATAAAAGAATGGTAAGATATATAAGATAATGTTTGATGACGGTAGATTATATGTAGGTTCAACATGTGAAGAACTAAATACAAGGTTAAAATGGCATTTGTCTAACAAAAAGAGCCAGGTATACAAAAACAGAAAGGATAACCCCAAAATTGAGCTCATTGTTACATCACCTGCTGCTGATGAAAAACTTTAGAAAATGTAGGAAATTGTTATATCAGTGAGTATGCTATTAAATACAAGAATTAGTTGATAAACATCAGATCCGTTAACAAAGAGAAAGAAAGTGGAGTATAATGTTGATGTAGAGAGTGAACAACAACTAAGGGAAAGTGTAGGATTACTTGACAAAAGACGCTAAGAGTCTTTTGTAAGAAATTTTATTTCATCTTAACTTTTTCACTTTTTAGCTTCGAGTATTGGATGAGTGGAAGAAGCTCTACGAAGGAAGAGAAGAACCAGGCATCACTGCTGAATCTGCTCTTTTCGTCTGCAACAAGTGGGATGCAATGGAAGGAAAAGATGACAAAACCGAAACAGAGGAGCTCCAAAAGAACATCATACGCAGATTAAGGGAAAGAATTCCCAAACTTGATGAAGAATGTCAAGTAGTCAGAATATCTATGAACACAGCAAAAGAGGAGTTAATGGAGTCAGGCAAGATGAATGATGATCTGTACACGCTCATTTGTGCAATTCAGGATCTTTTACTCCGTGATGTAAAAATGAAAGTCACCTTCTTCTATCTGTAAGTAAAAAAAGCTTCTTGTTTGACAATCTAATCTATGGGAAACGAATTTCAGAACGTATTGATTCAAATTTACAAATTTAATCTTTTAAAAACCAGATTTGCAAAAATTCGCCCGCTGTCTTGAATGATTGACAGTGAGGCTCGTGCCCTGTCACACCTCAGTTAGTGGATGATCACTCTGTGTCTTGGACTGTCTCCCACGATTTAAAGTCAGGCTCATGCCCTCCTGCAGCTCAGATGGTGGACTAGATCACTGTAGCGGGCGGATAGGGGAGAATTTTCAGTTTCCAAAGTAGGGGGCTTGGGAAGGGAGGTGAAACTTGCTGCACTTTTGGGTATGTTTTGTTGAGTCTACACAGATACATCTGCTTGGATTCGCAAAACATGCCCGCTGTGTTGCAAGGTTAACAGTCAGGTTCCTGCCCTGCCCCACCTCTGCTAGTGGTGAACACCCAGTGATTGGGGGTGGTCGAGAGTCCGAAGTAGCAGGTGAACGAGGGTTCGCAAAAACCTCTAAGCTGAAAATGAAGGGGCTTATTGTCAAGGACAGCACCGATACGCAGCACAGGGACTGGCCCATTAGAGGGTTGGTCAGCGGCTGTTGTGCGTCCAAGGCACAGGGGTGGAGAGGATTGGTTTTGGATTCCTCAGCCTATTCTAAATTGCTCTTAAGGTGAACGGGGCTTCCAAGCTTACTTAGAAAATGCACTGTTTAGCTTGACTAGCCGTCAGGCTTATTCCTTGCCACTGCTCCGTCAGTAGGCAGGGAAGATTCAATAGCGTAAGGGTGGTAGAGTGTCAAGACATCTTGGAAGGGGCTTCTATTGATATTGCAGACACTATCAGTTAGGATTTTCGCTTGAAGGCAGTCATTGCCGCCTTTAAACCAGCCTGGCAGAGAAAAAGGCCAAGAGTTTAAAGTCAAGGGTAGCACCTGCATAACTTTCAGTCACTGGTCCTTTTAAGGGTGGGTTGCGACTTGATCTGTATCTAAAATGATCGAATACGGAATTAACTTTGTTTCAAATCAACAGCTGGATAAGTGGCCAGATTAGCTGGTTAAAGGATTTGGCAAATGTACAAATACAAAGTACTCAAAGGAATAGAAGAGAATGCCTTGAGGTAAGGGAAGAACTTAATGAGTTACTGCAAGAGCTTGAGAAAGGCTCTCACATCCATGAAATTGACGATGCTATTCATTTCCACGAGGAAGAACTGTGCAGAAAGCTTACGTCTTACTTGAGATCTGAAGAAGTTCAGAAAAAATTTTGCGATTGGTCCGAAAAGGACTTGCCTGTTATTGGTCATCGTCATAGTTCCCGAAGGATCAAATCCGAACTTGGTAAATGCATAGATCGAAGATTACATTCTTTGCTTAAAAGCGTGGAAAATAAAGAAAAACATTTCGCGAAAGCTCGAGCAGACCTGGAGAAAAAACGTCTCCAATATTTCTCTGATCTTCAAAAGGGCATTTGTGACATTGACCGTGTTCTTGACTCAGAGGATCAGTCTGTTCCCTTTGAATTTCACACTAGAAGAATGTGTTTGCCTTTATACGCAAGAATGAAAAAGATGATTGTGGCAGCTGGTATAGTTTTTATGCCAGTGTTGATTCCTGTTGGTTTAGCTGCAGGAGCTCTCTTTGCACCCGCTTTCGGTTATATGGCCGTCGCAAAGTATCTCAAGGAACATCAGCTCAGGGAAGATCCTTGTAAAGCTTTAAAAGAACTTTCCCCACAGTTTCTAAAGTCTTTCATTAAAGAAAGTCTACGGGATCATGTCCAAAGAGAATTAGCTAACGAAAAAAATCAAATTTCCCAAATAAAGAGATGCCATTCAGCGATCATTAGTAAATACGATCAGCAATGTGAGGCTTTCAGGAGGATAGCAGATGAATCAGGAAATGAAGAAGCCCTGAAAGAGAGGGTCGACCTGTCTTGGAAACTGCGGAATATGAGCGACAACCTTTTGTTTGACGCCATCCAAAACGGAGTACCAGTCATGTACCCGTCTGGCCAAATCGATGGCAAAAAGCTTTCTTGCAATACGGAAGAAGTGCTGGGAATAGGAAGCTCAGCCAAAGTCTTCAAGGGAACACTAAAAGGGCAGAGTGTTGCTGTAAAAAGACTACAACAAGAGCTTCATTCACAAAGTGTTGCTCGGTTTCTTGAAGAAGCAGGAATATTAAGGTATGAGTGTCTGGATAGCTAAACAGATAGTAAGACAGTCAAACAAATGCACACACTGACTTGGGAAATTTTCCTGGTTTTACCCTACTTTAAAAGTCTGCTTCTTGTCTTTTGAGCTGCACCGTTTTAAATGCCACACAAAGTTACTTCAAAGGTCTTCAAATATACCGCTGTTTGTCCGAATACATATGGGTGATAGGTAAAGAGGCACATAGTGCACCGGAACTTGGAAACGTTCTCGCTACGGTTTTAACACCGGCATAATCAGTTATATTATATCGTATTTTCTGAGTAACTTTAGAAAGGAAAGCGTACATTGCAGTTTTTCGGTTTTCTTTCTTTCTCGTCACACAGGCAAGTACAACATAAAAACATTTTGACTTTCCATGGAGTGTGCATGAATGTTCAAAATGGCCGGCTGATTTCCTTGGATATCGTCCTTGAGTTGTGCGCCTCAAGTCTGAAGGATCAAATCTTCAACGAAAAAAGAAACACTCCTTGGATGACGGAGGATGCTGCAGTTAAAATACTTCGATGTACCGTGTACATCTTACTGGGGCTGGAATTTCTTCACAATCTTGGCATTGTTCATCGGGATATTAAGCTGTCCAACATGCTGGTTTGTTAATGCATTAGCAATAATCTATTTATTCTCTCGACCTTGAAAAAGCTGTCGTTGTTTAACACTTTTGAAAATGATGATTACATTTATATGAGCTGATTTAAATAACAATTACACCTGTCTAAAAGCTCGCGCTGACGTTTTTCCAGTTTGCTAAATTCGATCGGTGTTAGCTTTTCCTTAGATTTCCATGTTTTTTTTTTGTTACCTCTGAGGTTTTTCTGCGTTTTCTTTGGAGCTCTCTTTTAGTTTCAAGCTCCATTTAAAATCGATGATGACTTGATGAGTAAGTGAATTGAACACCTCTACACGACTTAACGATCCCAGTGGGATACACATGAAAAATGGGTCAGAGGACGGAAAAGAAGGAAATAAATCCTAGGAGATATGAATAGCAAATTAAACGAGCTGACACTCAAAGGTGAAAACTTAGGGGCCTTTTTCGCACCTTACCTTTGTTACAGTTCCGACGGAAGTAAACGTTATACCCTTTTCTTAAAACACAAGTTTAAATATATTAATACACGTTGTAGCAATGATATTTCCTGTTTCGATTAACATCTGAAATCTTTCTGTGAACTCAGCTATTAGCAACTTGAATAAACCACGAGGAGGTATGCGGTCGAACCTCCCTTTGCGACCATTTCTCGTAAGCGACCACCTCTCGTTGGCGACCACTTTTTAAAATACCAAGTTTCCAAGTCAAATCACCATAAATAGAATCTCTCGACAGCGACCACCTCTAGGAAGCGAGTACTTCTAGAGATGCTTGTTTACAAGTTTCAATTGTTTTCTACTACTACTACTAATAATAATAATAATAATAATAATAATAATAATAATAATGATAACAATAATAATAATAATAATAATATTAATAATGGAGGATTTGTAAAGTGCTGTATCAATTTGCCCATGACGCTTTACAACAAGTTGAAGTGAACTTTGGCCTTTCTGCATTGAGTATACAATATTTTGAAGCCATTTGTGAGATACAAAACAATCACCACATGTACAGATACTAGGATTTTTACCCTGAATGAGCCGCTAAAAGTTACTACTATATGTTGACACGTAGGTTTTGATAAGCGCTGGTAAAAGGGTCCGGTCACCATGTGCAAATTGATTACTTAAAACATAGACCCTCCTGTGGCCTGACCTTGCGTACGTGACCACCTCCTGGAAGCGACCACCCAGACTAGACATTACGGGTGTGCGCTTACGGTAGGTTCGACTGTATTTGCAAATTAAATGTTTCTTCTTGCAAATTTGAGATGCTTTCTTTCCTCGTTTGCAGATCTCAAAAGACAAAGTCATCAAAATTGCAGACTTTGGTTGGGCGAAGTCTGAAAGCTTGATCACGGGTACCCAATGCGGGACCTTGTTTTACATGGCGCCGGAAGTAAGAAAACGCATCCCGTACGGCTCAAAAGTAGACATGTACAGCTTTGGCATCATGATGTGGGAAATGTGGTACGGTAAAGAAATATTTGCCGACCTTATTGAGAACGATGAAGAAATCCCTCCTCCGACAGAGGTCAAAAGTTATCTATCTAGAGGCCCCGTAGGAGACGGCAGCTTCGCTCCTCCAGCAGAGTGGACCAATCTTATGATATCTTGCTGCAATCCTGATCCAGACCAGAGACCAACAGCGACAGAATGTAAAGAATTACTTGTGAAAATTACTCGAAAATACGAAAAGTAAGAAATTCAGAGCATTGCAGTCATATTTTGCTCTTACTTTTACAGTTGAATTCAGTTGTTACAAAAATTAATTTAAAAATAACATTTTTTTAAAAGCAACTATTCTATACAAATTTAATTACACTTTAACTGTTTACAGAGAGCTTTTTTGAACACTCGTAGGCTTGCATATGTTAAGGTTATTTAAATGGAATTACCTATCCTCGGCTATGACTACTTGGTAAAATGTATGTTATAGAGGTCATTCTTATTAGAAGGTACAAAGGAGAAACTCTTTGCATCCGCCAAGTTGTGACTAGCACTCATTACCCGTCATTCAGATGAGCAATTTTCCTCTATTTCAATCTGTCTGAAGATTGATCCCTGAATTAAACTCGACACACAGTGGATATTAGAAAGGAAAAATCGACAAGCTCTAGCTCCTTAATAAAGGATCCGTGTGTCCTTAATTAGCTGAAATCAATTTGGCTATTATTACGTCGCCTGTCATAACCTTTTCGCTAAGTAATGAATTATTATTGTAGGATATAAGGTAATTGTTAGTTCCCTTGACCATTGCGAGGTTTGGCAAAGTAGTAATTGCTTCCACGACTATGTGTAGGCTACTTTGTTTATACTGACCCGCTCGCTTTTACGTCAACGCTGAACAGTTTGATCAACAGAATGGTATTTTAAACTGAAATGGGGGGACCTAGCCAGTTTCGGCGTACAGTTGTTAAAAAGAATGGTGTTGTATCGAGTTCGATTTTCTTCTTTGCCTTCAGAAGGAGGAGAGGGGACTAAAAGCAGAGAAAATGAAGTATTGTAAATCTTTTTTTTAGATTATTGGAGTGAATAGCTTTAGTTTTCTGTGATCTTTTTCAGATTAAGTATTTCAATTTTAAATAAGTTTCGTAGAATGAGGTGTTTTAAACAGATTTCATTATTCTAATTTTCATTAATTAAACGAGGAATAGGACTCTAAACACATTGATCTATACTAAGACCCGTTATCTCTCCGTCTTTCTTTCTCTTCCTCTCGGACGACGTGACGAAGAGAGATTCTGGGAGGCTATACGTAATGTAGAAAATATTGGAATAAATGAATATTGCAAAATATAGAAATATGCATCTTCGTCTTCAATAATAAGAAATGAAACGCTTCGTTGTGCTACAAGGGAGTCTCGTAAGATGCATGTGATACTCGCGTTTGGGGAGCAAAATTTATAATCCATAACCAAAAAACCACCTGGGATGCTCTTGAGTGCCAGTAAGATATTAGTAAGCGAATCTCCCTAACGAGCGAACCTTCCTGCAGCCATAGTCTGTCGCTTCCTCTGCTTGCGATTAGAGCGTTTTTAAAATTCTATATCTGAGTAAACACAACTCAATAGCCAATCACAGTAAAGCTAAACATCGCAAAGCGCATATCAAAGCTCAGAGAAAAAAAAACAGTGCATTCCTTGAAGCACAAGAAGACACGAGTTGTAAAGTCTCGATTGGTCAAGATTTGCATCGGATTGATTCAGAGGATGGTAGAAGGTTTCTGGGGCAACTACGTAGTTATTAGTTTCGACACTCGATCGAAGTTTCCTTCAGCGAAGAGATTAGGTTGATTAATTGTTGTGATATATTTGCGAGCAACTTGTAATCGTAAGGGACTGAGGGAAAGATTTACACAGAAAAGTGAAGAGCGTCGGTCTTACGATTTAATGTTAAGGACGCGGTGAAGTGGTGTATTGGCTAGATTGCTAAGTTAGTGATATACATTGTCTAAAGGGAAAATAATACCTTCAATTGTAACTGGGGCAAAAAAATATCAGGATAAGGAGTCAAACTAAAGAACCTCTGTAAAAGTGGTTGGATGTTATCCACCTGAACTAAAGAGAACTTTAGCCTCGATGTAGCCCACATTTGCCTATTAGATTCCAGAGTGATATGCACCCTACACAGGGCTGGGAACAGGAATTTCGAAAAAATCAATACCAAAATGATATTTAGAAGTGGTATTTAGAAGTGGTGAACGAGAAAAGGTAATTTACAATGAAGGTTTAAATATGTGCGTAATAAGATCACACCTTAGGATCACCAATGTCCCTGTCATACCGCCACCCTGCTTCATCTGAAAGCGAGGGAAAGAAAAACAGGATTAAGGCGTGTGCACATTCTCTATCCCTGAGAAAACTTTATGTTGATTGAGATTATTCAGAGAGCAAATCATTCACAAAAAGCAAGTCTCTGTAAAAACATAAAGCAATGATTATGTCCAGTATCTTAATTCTGAGCCCAACATCTCAGGCCCTCGTCGCTGAGTAACAAAAAGATCTTGCACACTATGCGGAGCCCGAGGTTTTACCACTCACACATAGTTTATCGCAGTCGGTCATCTGGGTTTGCAAGCGTCACTCTCAGTGGAAGAATGGAACGAATGGGAAAGTGGGATGTAAATTGGAACTGAATCCCACGATATTTTTCCCAATCTTGTAGGTCTTTGCTTTCATATTCTCTCTTTGCTTCACTAAGCGCTTGCATCGGAACCTTCAAAGTTTTGTGGTAAGAGAAAATTAACAATATCGTGGAAGAGTTTAATAAAATTAATTGGTCCAAATAGTTACTTCTGTATGTGATATCAGTCTAAAGAAGACATCCCTCCCTTGACAAGGACTTCTTCCTTCCTCCCTTCCACCCTTCTTTCCTCCCCAGGAAGGTTTTTAACACCACACAAATTCACTCCAGAGTTTGAGAGACACTGAAAAAGGAAAGTGTTTTCCCAGTCACCCTAACTTGGGATTTCTGATGAAAAGTAGCCTAAAGAAATACATAAGTTTGAAATTGCTACCTTCAAGGTGTGATATTGGACAAAAGTATCATTTCCAGTTTTAGAAAAAGAACTCATACAAAGATAATAGAGACATTATGTTTATTTATCAAATGACTAGCAAGGTGAAGCCAGTTTGATTGACTACCTTAGTGCCCATCTTTCCTGCTTGTAATCGCCCACCTTATTTCCACAATAAAAATTAAAGGTGCTTTTAGCCAGCTGACATTTTTCATTACCTGTTCTTTTAAGCAACATGGTATTGTAAAACGAGAAAAAAGATTTGGCATTTTGTAACAATAGTTGAAACAAAGAAAACATCTAGGTTGTGAGCATTTATTTGACAATGCGTTGCACTGATCTTTTTCTCTTGTGTTAGAGTAAATTACTGATTTTCGAAGTTTTGTTCAGCGTTAGTCAAGATGGCTAGATGTTAGCCTTTTTGTTTGTTTGTTTTTTCCATTCTATAAACCTCAACCCCATCTCAGTCCAAAAAGAAAATGAATGAAAAACGGACAACAGTAAAAGCGGAGCGCGTGTCCTCTTAAAAGGAAACTCAGGAAAGAAAGTGGGTAAACTTTGAGAGTCCTGTGTGTTTGCAGTGAGTTCTGCGTCAATCAGTGGCATATGTTTTACGCTTTCAGAACGGGAACTCACATTGGCTTGTTGTTCGTTTGTTACAGGCGCCAGTGCATTAATAATGAAGTAGTCGTTATGAACGCCCACCACAGGTTGCTCATCTGGTTAGTACAGGCGCACACCACGGCACCTTCATTTTTTTAGTACATTAATACCTTAGTACCAGGTACGGACAACTCATCACGGCTTGTTCTTCGTTAATTTAGTGCATTAGTACGTTAGTACTGTAGTACTCGGTACGGACAACTCATCACGGCTTGTTCTTCATTTGTTTAGTGCGCTAGTACGTTAGTACTGTAGTACTCGGTACGGACGACTCGACACAGCTTGTTCTTCACTTGTTTAGTGCACTAGTACCTTAGTACTCGGTACTGAAAACGCATCACGGCTTGTTCTTCATTTGTTTAGTGCGCTAGTACGTTAGTACTGTAGTACTCGGTAAGGACGACTCATTACAGCTTGTTCTTCATTTGGTTATTGCGCTAGTACGTTGGTACCTTAGTACTCGGTACTGACAACTCATCACGGCTTGTTCTCCATTTGTTTAATGCGCTAGTACGTTAGTACGTAGTACTTGGTAATGACGACTCATCACAGCTTGTTCTTCATTTGTTTAGTGCACTAGTTCGTTAGTACCTTAGTACTCGGTACTGACAACTCATCACGACTTGTTCTTCATTTGTTTAAGTTGTCTGTTCCGAGTACTACGGTACTAACGTACTAGCGAACTAAACAAAGGAAGAACAAGCCGTTATGAGTCGTCCGTACCAAGTACTAAGGTACTTACGTACTAGCGCACTAAACAAATGAAGAAGAAGCCGTGATGAATTGTCGGTACCGAGTACTAAGGTACCAATTAACTAGCGCAATGAGGTGCGGACGTCTTGTATTCTGCAGCATACACCTTTATTGAATATCTGACGGGCTATACTAGTAACTAAAGTACTTGCTACATCTAGTTACAAGCTCGGCTTTTATAGGTACGGTTGAGGATCTAGAACGTTCCGTAAAATTGCAATAGATTCTATTTATGTATTGATTCAGGGATGACTCAGCATGACACAGCTACTTCTAGAACATTCTTGAAGGTCACACTACAGTTGTGTTCTTGTAAAATAGCATCCTTGGTCAACCCTTTCACGTCAGAAACTGAGTTGACGAGTAATTCTCTCTTAATAGAAAGGAGTTCCAACTCCTCACATGTTTTTCCTGATAACAGTTAACTTAGAGCATCATCAATCACTACAAATTTTGCTCTGGTTATTTTTCCTCCAATCTGGATGTCAAGGTAGACTTCACCTTTGGGAAACACACGCTCTCCATTATACGCTTTCAAAATGGCACGAGTTTTCTTCAAGTCTGATCGGTTTTGAATCCTTACAAAATCTTCCGGCATTCTCAAACAATTTGCCTCTGATCCACTATCAATCTGCATGGTTACCTCAATCCAATTACTTGTCTGTCCACTTCTTAGCGGAGATTCAATCGTGTATTTAGAACGGCTGCTGTCGATGACTGACTACATGTAGTAAACTTCATCATCAGTGATTGCTGGTTCGGCTTCTTCAATTCGATGAATACTCCTCGTAGGTTTCTTGGAAACGCTCTTCACAGGTTTCTGTGTTCTGGGTTGAAATATAAAGAAAGACTTGTCAGCAGATAGTCAAATGAAAACTTTTTACATATCAATAAAAAAAGCAAAAGCTTTTTTTTTTGTTTCACGGCATACCCATGTTTTTCCTAATAACAGTTAACTTGGAGCATCATCAATCACTACAAACTTTGCTCTGGTTATTTGCCTCCAGTCTGGATATCAAGGTAGACTTCAATAAAAAGGCAAAAGGCTTTTGTTTCACGGCACACCCATGTCACCTTGGCCTGTCACTGCAGGACATTTACTTACAATATCGGGATCATTAACCGTAAACGCGTTAAGCAAGCCTTTTTATCGGTTTGATTGTACCCTCTGTTCCACTGGTCCTCTGTGCTCACTGTTCCTCTGGTCCTCTGGTCCTCCGTTGTTCTGGTCCTCTGTACTCAGAGTTCCTCTGGTCTTCTGTTCTTCTTATCCTTTTTACCCACTGTTCCTCTGGTGCTCTATACCCACTGTTCCTCTAGTTCTTTGTACTCACTGTTTCAGTGGTCCTTTGTGCCCATTGTTCCTCTAGTTTTCTGTACCCACTGTTCCCTTGGTCCTCTGTACCCGCTGTTCCACTGGTCCCCTGTACCCACTGTTCCTCCGGTCCTCTGTGCCCACTATTCCTCTAGTTTTCTGTACCTACAGTTCTTCTGAGCCCACTGTTCCCCTGGTCCTCTGTACCCACTGTTCCACTGGTCCTCTGTATCCACTGCTCCACTGTTCCTCTGTACCCACTGTTCCTCTGGTCCTCTGTACCCTCTGTTCTCTGGTCCTCTGTACCCATTGTTCCACTGGTCCTCTATAGTCACTGTTCCTATGGTTACCCCAATGTTCCGCCGGTGCTCTGTTTACACTGTTCCTATGGTCCTTTCTACCCTCTGGTCCTCTGGTCCTCTGGTCCCCTGAACCCATTTTTCCACTGGTCCTTTGTGCCCATCGTCCCTATGGGTCCCTGTACCAACTGTTCTACTGATCCTCTGTGCCTACTGTTTCTCTGGTCCTCTGCACCTACTGTTCTGGTCCCCTGTGCCCACTGTTCTTCTGGTCCTCTCTACCCACTGTTCCTCTGGTCCTCTGTACCAACTGTTCTTCTGGTCCTCTATACCCAATGTTTTCCTGGTCCTCTGTGCCCACTGTTCCAATGGTTCTCTGTACTCACTGTTCCTCTGGTTCTCAGTACGGACTGTTCCTCTCGTCTTCTATGCCCATTGTTCCTCAGTTCCTCAGTTCCTCTGTACCCACTGTTCTACTGTTATTCTGGTCCTCTGTGCCCACTGTTACTCTGGTCGTCCGTACCCACTGTTCCTCTAGTCGTTTGTACCTGCTCTTCCTCTGGTCCTCTGTAGCCACTGTTCCACTGGTTTTCTGTACTCTCTGTTCCTCTGGTCCCCTGTACCCATTTTTCCACTGGTCCTCTGTGCTTACTGTTCCTCTAATCCTCTGTACCCACTGTTCCTCTGGACTTCTGTGCGTACTGTTCCTCTGGGCATAGGGTAAAACATAGACTGGACTATTTTTTGGGACCATTTTTTGAATAATTTTTTGGACCATTTTATCGGGGGGGAGAGAGAAAGCACACCATTAGTACTCAGGGTCTATCAGTACTGAGGGAGGCGTGGAAGGCACAGTGTTATTACTCAGGATGGGGTGAGAGAATATTACGCAGCGAGGGGTGGGACGTGGTTTTAATAGTAAACACTACTGATTAATGTAGCTTTTACTCGATCATACAAATTTTAATCGGTTTTTCGACTGACTTTTTGTGTGCCGAAAATTCTTGCGCTGGGCCGTGGCGTTCCTTCCTTTCTTTGTCATACAAATGCAAAACCGCCACCTAAACTCTGGACTTAAATTGGTACTGAAAATATCGCGTCTACGATCCTCCACTGTTGAGTTATGCGTGTGGCTTTTGAGTAGACTTATGCACCATTAGTTGCTTCCCCTTTCCCTCTGTGTATACCACATTTTCTATCTTCCTTTTTTCATTGACCTTATCAGACAAGATCACGAAATTTCCGGTCCTTAGCCCTAAGTTTTCATTTGCGCTATCGCAATTTTAACGTTTATAACTTTAATATATAAAATCATTGTTGGTACAATCGTACAAAGCAATCTTCTCTCTTTTCAGATACACAGGTTTCTCCTTTTTGATACAATAAGCAAACGCTTGAGTATCATATCACGCATTCCACTTCGTACATTAGTGATTAAAACTGCACAGCTTCGGCGCTGGATAATTTTTCAAATAACAGGTTTGCCTTTCATGGCTTAAGGGCGCAATTTTTTTTACATAGCCACTGCATTGATCATTAAATTCACAGAAGTGCAAACTACAGAATAACCTTTTTCGAATATTACGGATTTCAAACTCACAAATGAAGTATTTCCCTTTCGAAAATTACCGATTTGAGTTATTCTCACAAATAAAACTTTTTCATTTTGTTTCGTTTTGCAAATCAGGGTTATCTCGTGGTTAACATGACATTAAATTTTTACAAGCCCTATAAGGAAAAGGTCTATTGAAGTGGATCTATTTTTACATCAGCCTTTCTGTCAGCAGAGGCGATTGCAGCTTGTTACATGATTGGTGAGAAAGCTTGCATTCATCGGAGAAATTTTTAGCCTGACAAACTCGGTATCTTAGAGGTGTAACTTTGCTTTCACAAGATCAATGTTCACCGGGGAAGCCCAATAATACAATTGACGGGTTGTATGAGTCTTAGCCGGACAGATCGAATGGTCTGCAATTCAAACAATTTCAGTGTTTTATTGACTTTACGTGCGATGGTTTTCGATCACTGCTCGTTCCATGAAGATAACTCATTTTGCATTTATTGTTTAACGAAAATGACTATACCCAAAGTTGCTAACAGATTGCACGAATTAAGAGTTTTGTTATTGCACGGGAGTTTTCGTGGACCACGCCCACTCTTCCGTTTTTTATCTTTTTTTCGATTAGACGAGTGTTCATTAGTATGCATTAATTAGCGGCTAAAGTGATACAAATTGTAGGAAGAGATTATTGCTCACGTTTTGGTTATTATAAGGTCATTACTTCCGACTCTGATATTTATAGCGCTACTTTTGAATGCTAGCTTCTGGCAAAACTGTCGGCTTGTCGAACATTCTGCGGAAATTTCTTCCTGCATTTGTGCATACGGCATGAGAAGAACTCAAATATAGAAATTTATGGCAGCTCTCTTGCAAGACACAATTTTCAGGAAACAAAGACTCCCTCGATGTAGCCCATCCCAATAAAATACAAAACGAGCTAGGTCTTTAAAGTACATGAGGGAAATGAAAATTCTTATCGTTTTTCCAATGGCCTAGTCCATATTTTACCCTATGCCTGTTCCTCTGTTCCCACTGTTCCACTAGTCCTCTGTGCGCACTGTTCCTCTGGTCCCCTGTACCCATTGCTCCTCTGGTCCTCTGCGCCCACTGGTCGTCTGAAACCCCTAGTCCTCTGGTCCTCTGTAATCACTGTTCCACCGGTCCTCTGTGCGCACTGTTCCTATGGTCCTCTGTACCCATTGTTTCACTGGTCCTCTGTGCCTCTTGTCCTCTGTACCCTCTGTTCCTCTGGTCCTCTGTGTACACTGTACCCACTTCCTTACCCTTCTGCTACATTTATATTTTAATTATTAGCTATTTCAAAGCCTAGTATAAGAGAGACTTCCCAAAATACATAATACGTGTCTTGATGAAATTCGTCACGGAAGCACATTTTGAGCAGACGTGATTTCCTCGTTTCTTTCCTATTCCGTTATTGCTTTTAGTAAACTGATCACTCAAGCGGATGAAAATAAAAGGTGAAAAGGTTGAACTTCCTGAAGTAGTATCATCCTGTGGCAGTAACTGTTTAGAAATAGGTGGTTCTTCGAGTTAACTATTCCGACAGCTTTGAATTTTCGACTGAAGACATAAGTCGCTGAATCGCGCTCGGGCTAACTGTACTCAGCTTAAATGAAACATCGCAAGAGACTCGATAGCTTTAATGACTACTTTCAGTGACTAGACGTCAAAACAAGATGAAACGAGGGTCGAAACCGATGCCTGTTAAACGGCGAAGCGAAAGTGTTTTGGATGTGGCGCAAGAGTTAGAGCTGCTATGTGTCAAAGAGGAGGTTACAGACATGGGAAGGGCAAAGGAACTGTGCCAAAAGAGAGTCGCTGAGTTGAGGAAATCAAACGGGACTTTAGAGATGGTAAGCTCTTATTGATCAATCAAGGCCAAACAAACATACCTCAAAAAACGGAAGACATGCAAAACTAAAACTTTTATATTTCATCAAACTAAAAAGCCAAATTGGTTGCATGGCCATACATATGCAGTGTTTTCCAGATCACTGCCTTGCCTTGGAATGTTATAATTTGCGTCAGACAGCAGACCTAGGAGAATTCTGCTAACATCATAAAGGTGTACACAAAATGTCAACATTGACGCAGACGTATGTTTTTTTTCTAATTTTTCCGGTGCGGGATGCACTAAGTTTCACATAGACTTACATATTATACATAATTCATCAAAATATGAAGCGAAAATAAAAATTAACATCATAATTGATCATGAAAGATAATTTTAAGGACCTTGTTTTGAAATGAACAGAGTATTATTTATAGAATGTTCGCGATAGACAGCAGGAATTAGTAGTTTTATTTCACTAAATTCGTGGATGTGTAAACAAAATGTCAATATAGATGCAAAGTTATGTTTTCTTTCAATCGTGGCTTGTTCTAAGCGCTGATCCCTCAATAGCAAGTTTCGTCTATGCTTAAGTATTTATAAATAATTCACCTACGAGCAAGCGCGTCCATGAAACAATCAAAGTATGTAAAAATTTGAGCATGTCAACGGGTAATTAAAAACCAGTTTGCTCGTACTTTACATCGACAATATGTTCATTCCAAACATCAATCCTATCGGTTAAAAATAGGTCAAGGAACGAGCCTAATGGAAGTCAGTGGACAATTCCGCACACAAAACATGAATTTTCACGGAAATGAAAATTGCAAACCAGACGAAGTAGTAGAGTATGCTTACAATGAAGGTCAACCCAGCGTCCAGGCAAGAGACAAAGAGCAAAACTTTTTATGTATGCGAAGCAAAGTATTAACTCTTTCATATTGAAACTAGTCTGTTTTTTCTAATAGTTCGCGAAATGCATAGCCAGTTCTGGAAACTTCGTGCATAGAATTTAACCTCCCGAAAATATGAAATAGAGATATCCTAGACCCTTTTAAATTAAGATCTTAATCCTTGACCTGATACGGGTGAATAAACAAAGATTCAGTGGATAGAAACCGCCAGCATTAAGTAATCCAATACCGACGGAGCAAGCATTTACTACCAGAAATGTTGAATGACACTTCTTCCTGATCTTCACGGTTTTTGCATAAAGTTGATGCGGAAAAGAAGCAGAAAGGTATACATTAGTCATTGCGCATTTGGATGAAACGGAAGCTGAAACGAGAAAGAGGTCTGAGAAAACAAGACGACTGCCGTGCACGTAGGTTATGAATTTTGAGTGGATTCTGTTGCCCCGTATGCGAAGCAACAGGTATTTTTTGGATGTGCTCGTCTGTTCGAACGAAGAAAGTTAATCTAGGGCTGAAAGCTCTTAATTTTTTTTCACGCACACAAATAGGCGCAAGCTTTCGACAGTATTCACATTCAGTTTTGCTCTTTAAGCTAAGAATATTTTGAAATCGACCGCGAGTGACAACATACATCCATGTTCGTCTGATTAGTTGTGCATCTTACAGCTGACAACAGAGTGTGTTTACCACATTTGTTATCTCTGTCTCACTGATCGTCTGCTATATATAAAACCGTCCGAATATATTCATGTAACAAGAATGGGAATATACTCAAAAGATCACTGGTATCTTACGAGCAGTTTTTGTGGTGGATTCTTCTCTAGAAATGGTCTATAACGACACGGATTTGCTTAAAACCCGGTGTACTTTGTCTCTGCAAAAAATCTTTTATCTCCCGTACCTCTTCCTTAACCTGAAGACTACTTCTCAGTCATTAACGCTTTAATTTGGCTGGATTTATTTCTATTTTCTGTTCTTCAGCAATCCCATGGTGAGAAGTATATATAAGCAAGGCAGCAATAACTGTGCTAGATTATGATGGATTTGGCCTCCTTTTGGAACTCTTACCATGTACATATACTCTGATCTGAACATCGTTTTGAAAGCGTTTGTTTGTTCATTACTTTGTTTAAATGTTTATCTTTGCTTAAAAGTAGAGCTCATGTATACAGGAGTAAAATCCTCTAGAGTTTAATTACATCCCCCTAAATGTGGATGATCTAACCCAAGAATAGAACTCTTCCTCGAATCACACACATTTAATGTCATACAAAGCTACGTTCGTAACAATATCTCGTCAGGATGTACATACCAGAAAGTCATTCCCTGTAAAATTTAGACTACATGCAGGGTCAAAATGCAGTCGAAAGCCTGTAGATCAGCGGTAGAGTTAGGATGGTTACAAAACCAATCTATTTTGGCATCAGATCAATTGATGTGTCTGAAAGTTCTACAGCTGATGGAACAAATGAGAAATTTTTTAGGTAAAGTTTTCAAACTTTATTTGAAGCAAAGGAGTGGCATTGTTTTACCCTTGAGGCAGGACTTCATCCAAGGCCGAGTACTACAAAACACTACTGGCTTAATTAGGGTTGGTGAGGTATTTTTGATCCAGGTTTATTTATTTTCATCTACCTTTTTATACTAGGGATATCAATGGATCTTAAAAGACCTGGAGGATACTCAAAATCAGCTACGGATACTGAAACAATACTATTTTAAAGTGAAGGAAATTCAGCAGCAAACTAACTTGATTACTCCGGAAGGCAATCAGGTATTTGAGGCTGGTGCTGAAAGACGCCTCGCAGACCTTGAGAGGGAGAAATGTACCATTTTCATTGCTGGTAGGTCTAAAAATAGGTACCCATAGGGCACACTTTTCTCCAAGCAAAAACATTTGTGCACTTGAAGCCAACATCTGTACTTCTGGCCAAAAGACACTTATAAGCAGAAAGCCCTATATACTGCTGCCCTCACAAAACCTAGTTTGAATTAGCACACTAACTTTGTATCTAAACATTCTTGCAAGTGGACATTGATGGAAACAGTGACGGATATTTTTAGGGGTTATGATTTCCTTCGTTTTTAATTTCCCCTTAGCAGACACTTGAAGTAAAATCATAGTAGCCTCCGAATTGTATTTTAAACAACAAAGGCTCCACATTGCTGCCTGTAACAATGATCTGAAGGCCAATTACTGTCAATGCACCAATCCAACATGTATGTTTTGTTCTTTGATCTCTATTAAAGGGTCATTCTAGTACTTTGGTTTCTGCAGTATTGTGTACAGTTAATAACAGCCAATTTTGGATCACATCCACAGAATGTATCTAATATTTTTTAACAGGTGAGACCAGTGCTGGTAGGAACAGTCTGATCAATCTATTTCTTGGTGAGAAACTTCTTCCTTCCAATGTCCAGGAAGAGACTATGACTACCTGTGAAATATCCCATGGTTCAGAGAAGGAAATTGTGCTACACTTTTCCAACAAGAGTGAACATAAACGTATCCTCAAGGGAGGAAACATTGAGGACCAAATCAAAGAGTACATTCAAAAGTCAATAGAGGATGAAGATTGGTGCAAGAAAATAGAGATAATGCTTCCCAACACACTATTAGAGGTAAGAATGTTACTCAATCAATCATCAATCCTTTAGAATCTACTATGTATGAAAAGGAAAGTTATAATAATATCAATCATTTTAATCTTAACGAGACTTCATATTTTCTTTCAAGTTTACTTAATCAGATCACCAAGCCTTAACAAAACACCTGATTATGTTTCTTCATTAAGAACCTCAAACTATACCTAGAATGCTAAAAGTTTAGCAACTGTATATTGAAGATTCAAATAACTTTTTTAGAGCATTTTTCCCAGGAGACTCACCACATTTGGCCTTTGAAGGACATTTTGTCACCTCTCTTTACTTTTTTCCCTTTGGCCTCCAAAAATGGAGCTTGAAGATTTCTTGAACCTTTTTAAGATTAAGATTTGCTTTAGATTTATTTCCCTGTCAGGGATGTTGCACTTTTTCGGCTTTTTCGAATTTCATAATTTATTAATCCTCTCTCTATAATTTAGGGTGGTATAGTGATTGTGAACAGCCCAGGAATTGGTGAATCAGATCATGTTAAAAGTATTTTCATGGACAACCTTTCTCAAGCTAATGCGTTCATTTACGTGATAAACAGTCCGCAGACCGGAGGATTGCAAGAGGACCTGGTAAGCAATCTTAAGCATTTTACAAACCAACTTGCACATCGAAATTAAGTAAATATTACTTAAAATTAGTGGTGACGCCCAAGAATTCACGACATTAACAGAATGTTTAACTTTCATATATTCACCATTATTACTTGTTACAATAAACAAAGAAAAATAGCAAGCAAACCAGAATGCATCAATCAGAGTCCAGTACATGTAAGTCCAAGTGGAAATACTACAGGTGCTCTAAAGCCGAAATCTCACACCACAAATGGGGTGGCTGTTTAAGGCAACTTTTGTCATCCACAGCTCATGTAGTAGTTACTAACCTTTTTTATAAGGCCATGTATTTTTTATGTAATGTGACAGTGTACATGGATTCTGAAGAAACATGTTCAGGTAGTGAATACTCATAAAGTGATTATTCAGATGTTACTTATGACAGTAGTTTTATAGATGATAGTGAACTGGATGATGATACCTTTTATTTTGATGACTATGGTAATATTACACATTTCAATGATGATAACATAGCAGAAGCAGAAGAAGAATTACATTATACATTGGCAGATTTAGGAAAACTGAGAATATATTCATAGGTATAATATCTATGTAATAATATATAGAATGTATTGTAGCAAAATAATTCATGATGAATGGGAGGATATAGTATGTCCCTTCTGTTATAAACAAATAAAAAAACGATCAGTTATACCTGTAAAGTGTTGAGATGAACAGCAACTGGAAAATAAAGATCATAAGATGGTTTACATTAATTATGGACAAATAGATGGTTATAATCCAATGCATGAATTCTGCAGCTTTAATGATAACAAATGTAACATAGTAAGAAAATCTGTGTACTATAGAATATACTACCTCGATAAAGTCATATTTAATTTACATTAAATTTAATTGAAACATTAGCTCCACTTTTTAACTGGTCCTACTACAGTACCGTTATTATGTGAAAGGTTGTTGTAATAACAGTAAACATTTTGTATTTTTACCATCAAACACTTTCTTTGTAATAGAATTATCATCATTAGTTGCATCTTGTATTTTCAACTGTTTTTTTGTCATTTTAACAGGTGCTATGAAATTAAGAGAATCATTAGTTATTTCAAACTTTTTATTCCACGTGCTCAATGGAACATCATCGTGATATCCCAAGATGCCATTAAAACTATGACATGAATGACCAAATCCTGTGAATAAGCCACACTTGACTTAATTTTCAATACCAAATCCATCATCAAATGGTTAGTTGTTATATTATTGTACTTGTTTATATGAACCAATGATCTGGTATGATCTGCAAATTAATTAGTTGAAACCCTAGAAATTGTCTCTACACCACTGCTGGCTTATAGGTGTCAACAGATGAATGGTCAATAGATGCAGAGGGGAAGTATAATTCAAATACCACTGTGTATTCACCAGTTAGTACTTCATACATATTCAAACCAACACGAGATCAATAATACCCTTTACTGGAATCTAAATGGAGTTTCATTTCATAGGTTTTTTTACTGAACTGATGAAAGTCTTGATCAATGAATTTAAGCCCTGTGATATCATCTTCATCACTAAACCGCCCACTTTTGCTCTAAATGTATACAAATGTGTTTTCCAAATCTGTACTTCCAACAGACTGATTCAATCTATCATTAACATACTTCTGATAATTAGTAGTTGTTTGTGTATTATTATTGTTGATAGCTGTATTGATAAAATTAACATCAGCAGCATGTGTGCTTTCATGCACCTGTGACTGTTTGACATAATTATTACTTCTGCTATTCATATTCAAATTATCAGTCATCACCCTCGTACAATCAGTTTTCAACAAACTACTTGTTTTGTATCAACATTACTTTCATTGCTTCCATCTTTTGCACTTGTTTGGTCCACTACATTAATCTCCCTATTGCCTTTCATATCAAAACCAAAGTAAAGGTTTTACTATCAACATATTTGTTATTGACCACGTGCTTATCACTATTATCATTGCTGTCATAATCTGGTATTAATAACATGCTTTTCAATGTTTGGGGCAACAGATTATCCATATCTATTTTCTTATCTGTGATATCTTTCGTCTGCTTCAAGGTCACAGCCTCATCATCATATTGAACTCTACTCTGGTCATAAATGGTCTTACCATCAGAATCCGTTACCACTTCCAAATCTCAATAATTGGTTATCATCACTTTTTTTTCTGTATGTTGTCTCCCAAAATACCTTAATAACTGCATCATCATTTGAAGTGGGTGTATGCACATTCTTAATAATGGAATGATGAGTCTTTACAGTGTTGTTGTCACACAACTCGTTCGCGTCTAAAGCATTGGCGATGTTCACCTTCCTTTATTTGCCTTGACATCCTTATAAACTTTGCTGCAAATAAAAAGAATTGTTATCTTACTGAAGATCTTGTTCAAAAAACCAAGTTTTCTTTAAAAAATCTGACCGATTGACATGATGAGTCTTTACAGCGTTGTTGTCACACAATAACTCGGTCACTTCTGAAACTTTCTTAGTCATTGGTGTTGTTTACCTTGCTTTATTCGCCATGAGGTCCTTATAAACTTTGTTGGAAGAAAAAAAAAATTGTGTTTTCACGAAAGATCTTGTCAATTGGTCAGATTTAAAAAAAAAGCTAGGCCATCTAGACAAGGTCGTTTGTAAAAAGCAATCCTATTTATTTCCAATAAAGTGTATAAGGATTTCAAGGCGATCAAAGCAAGGTGAACATCGCCAATGACCAAACAAGCTTTAGGCACGAACGAGTTCTTGTGTGACAACCATAGCAACCACACGGAACCACATGTTTTTTTTAACTTTAAAGAATCATTTATTCATGATCGAGAACGTTTGATTTACGATAAAATTTGATGTATTTTAAAGATCAAGCGAACATGTAAAAGCTATATATATCATGCAATTATTCTGCTCTTGAAGGTCCGTTTAATGTCGACATCGATTTCAGTAATTGAGCCGCTGTTTTTTTTTACCATTCTCACATTTCTCCCAAAATCCAAACACCTTACTCTGCAATTGCCTATTAGCCCTTCTTTGGATTCTGGTCATCTTCTGGTTAGATAATAATCGTATTTGTATTGCAAAAGCGTTTAGAAATGTTTGCCGTTCACCTGCATAGCCCGGTATTGAGGCGGACCAAACGTAGACACCTTCAAAAGTGAGTTGTCGCAAAATAATTATCTCGTTCGCGTCTAAAGCTTTTTTGGTCATTAGCGATGTTCACCCTGCTTTATTCGCCTTGACATTCTTACAAACTTTGTTGGAAATAAAAAGAATTGTTTTTTACTGAAGATCTTGTCTAGAAAGCCAAGTTTTTTTAAATCTGATCGATTGACATGATGGGTCTTCACAGTGTTGTTGTCACACAGTAACTCGTTCGCGTCTAAAGCATTTTTGATCATTGGCGATGTTCACATTGCTTCATTCGCCTTACAAACTTTTGGTGATAAAGAGACCAATAATATGCATGCTATATTCGTTGACACTGAAAGATATCCACTTACTTTGAACCAATTGGTAAGTACAATAAGAAGATCTGTTATCTGAATGCTACCAGGATAAGAGTAATTACGGAATGCTGTGATAGGATTGTAGTGAACAAGAAGTATGAAACCATTGACTTAAAGTATGAAAAGTATAAAGCTTGCATTGGTACTCCTATATTTGCAACACAAAATATCAAAGACAAACAGATATTCAATAAATGGAGTTTACTGTTGAGGATATTAAACATATATTAACGTTAAGGTAAATGGTAAATGGTTTGATCTTGCTGAGTTTGCAGAACACTTTATCCCCGGTTTCTCTGTTACAGTGTATAAATACCAAGGTGCAGACATAAATGAGAACTATAATATATATAATGTCAAGTGCATAGATTAAAAAACAATTGTATACTGCATTATCTCGTACCAGAAAGTTTGAATTCATTCATCTGAACTTCAAAGAGCTAAACAATAGATATGTTACAAGAGAACAACCTACGTTGGAACTGACAAATAGTAAGTTTAATAGTCTATACAGGAATGGTAAGATATATAAGATAATGTTTGATGACGGTAGATTATATGTAGGTTCAACATTTGAAGAACTAAATACAAGGTTAAAATGGCATTTGTCTAATGTAGAGAGGGAACAACAACTAAGGGAAAGTGTGGGATTACTTGACAAAAGACGCCAAGAGTCTTCTGTAAGAAATTTTATTTCATCTAACTTTTTCACTTTTTAGCTTCGAGTATTGGATGAATGGAAGAAGCTCTACGAAGGAAGAGAAGAACCAGGCATCACTGCTGAATCTGCTCTTTTCGTCTGCAACAAGTGGGATGCAATGGAAGGAAAAGATGACGAAACCGAAACAGAGGAGCTCCAAAAGAACATCATACGCAGGCTAAGGGAAAGAATTCCCAAACTTGATGAAGAATGTCAAGTAGTCAGAATATCTATGAACACAGCAAAAGAGGAGCTAATGGAGACAGGCAAGATGAATGATGATCTGTACACGCTCATTTGTGCAATTCAGGACCTTTTACATCGTGATGTAAAAATGAAAGCCACCTTCTTCTATCTGTAAGTAAAAAAAGCTTTTTGTTTGACAATCTAATCTATGGGAAACGAATTTCAGAACGTATTGATTCAAATTTACAAATTTAATCTCTTAAAAACCAGATTTACAAAAATCCGCCCGCTGTCTTGAATGATTTACAGCGAGGCTCGTGCCCTGTGACACCTCAGTTAGTGGATGATCACTCTGTGTCTTGGACTGTCTCCCACGATTAAAAGTCAGGCTCATGCCCTCCTGCACCTCAGATGGTGGACTAGATCACTGCAGCGGGCGGATAGGAGAGAATTTTCAGTTTCCAAAGTAGGGGGCTTGGGAAGGGAGGTGAAACTTGCTGCACTTTTGGGTATGTTTCGTTGAGTCTACAAAGATATATCTGCTTGGATTCGCAAAACATACCCACTGTGTTGCAAGGTTAACAGTCAGGTTCCTGTCCTGCCACACCTCTGCTAGTGGTGAACACCCAGTGATTGGGGGTGGCCGAGAGTCCGAAGTAGCAGGTGTACGAGGGTTTGCAAAAACCTCTTAGCTGAAAATGGAGGGGCTTATTGTCAAGGACAGCACCGATACGCAGCACAGGGACTGGCCCATTACAGGGTGGGTCAGCGGCTGTGGTGCGTCCAAAGCACAGGGATGGAGAGGGTTGGTTTTGGACTCCTCCGCCTATTCTAAATTGCTCTTAAGGTGAAGGGGGCTTCCGAGCTTATTTTGAAAATGCACTGTTTAGCTTGACTAGCCGTCAGGCTTATTCCTTGCCACTGCTCCGTCAGTAGGCAGGGAAGATTCAATAGCTGAAGGGTGGTAGAGTGTCAAGACATCTTGGAAGAGGCTTCTATTGATATTGGAGACACAATCAGTTAGGATTTTCGCTTGAAGGCAGTCATTGCCGCCTTTAAACCAGCCTGGCCGAGGAAAAGGCCAAGAGTTTAAAGTCAAGGGTAGCACCTGCATAACTTTCAGCCACTGGTCCTTTTAAGGGTGGGTTGCGATTTGAACTGTATCTAAAATGATCGAATACGGAATTAACTTTGTTTCAAATCAACAGCTGGATAAGTGGCCAGATTAGCTGGCTAAAGGATTTGGCAAATGTGCAAATACAAAATACTCAAAGGAGTAGAAACGAATGCCTGGAGGTAAGGGAAGAACTTAATGAGTTGCTGCAGAAGCTCGAGAAAGGCTCTCACATCCATGAAATTGATGATGCTGTTCATTTCCACGAAGAAGAACTGTGCAAAGAGCTTACGTCCTACTTGAGATCTGAAGAAGTTCAGAAGAAATTTTGCGATTGGTCCGAAAAGGACTTGCCTGTTATTGGTCATCGTCATAGTTCCAGACGGATCAAATTCGAACTTGGTAAATGCATAGATCGAAGATTACATTCTTTGCTTAAAAGCGTGGAAAATAGAGAAAAACATTTCGCGAAAGCTCGTGCAGACCTGGAGGAAAAACGTCTTCGATATTTCTCTGATCTTCAAAAGGGCATTTGTGACATTGACCGTGTTCTTGACTCAGAGGATCAGTCTGTTCCCTTTGAATTGCACTCTGGAAGAATGTGTTTGCCTTTCTACGCAAGAATGAAAAAGATGATTGTGGCAGCTGGTGTAGTTTTTATGCCAGTGTTGATTCCTGTTGGTTTAGCTGCAGGAGCTCTCTTTGCACCCGCTTTCGGTTATATGGCCGTCGCAAAGTATCTCAAGGAACATCAGCTCAGGGAAGATCCTTGTAAAGCTTTAAAAGAACTTTCCCCACAGTTTCTAAAGTCTTTCATTAAAGAAAGTCTACGGGATCATGTCCAAAGAGAACTAGCTAACGAAAAAAATCAAATTTCCCAAATAAAGAGATGCCATTCAGCGATCATCAGTAAATACGATCAGCAATGTGAGGCTTTCAGGAGGATAGCAGATGAATCAGGAGATGAAGAAGCCCTGGAAGAGAAGGCCCTGGAAGAGAGGGCCATGGTCGACCTGTATTGGGAACTGCGGAATATGAGGAACAACCTTTTGTTTGACGCCATCCAAAACGGAGTACCAGTCATGTACCCGTCTGGCCAAATCGATGGCAAAAAGCTTTCTTGCAATATGGAAGAAGTGCTAGGGGTAGGAAGCTCAGCCAAAGTCTTCAAGGGAACACTAAAAGGACAGAGTGTTGCTGTAAAAAGGCTACAACAAGAGCTTCATCCACAAAGTGTTGCTTGGTTTCTTGAAGAAGCAGGAATATTAAGGTATGAGTGTCTGGATAGCTAAACAGATAGTAAGACAGTCAAACAACTGCACACACTGACTTAGGAAATTTTCCTGGTGTTACCATACTTTAAAAGTCTGCTTCTTGTCTTTTGAGCTGCACCGTTTTAAATGCCACACAAAGTTACCTCAAAGGTCTTCAAATATACCGCTGTTTGTCCGAATACATATGGGTGATAGGTAAAGAGGCACATAGTGCACCGGAACTTGGAAACGTTCTCGCTACGGCTTTAACACCGGCATAATCAGTTGTATTATATCGTATTTTCTGAGTAACTTTAGAAAGGAAAGCTTACATTGCAATGCTGAAGAGTAATTAAAACGGTTTTCTTTCTTTCCCGTCACACAGGCAAGTACAACATAAAAATATTTTGACTTTCCATGGAGTGTGCATGAATGTTCAAAATGGCCGGCTGATTTCCTTGGATATCGTCCTTGAGTTGTGCGCCTCAAGTCTGAAGGATCAAATCGTCAACAAAAAAAGAAACACCCCTTGGATGACGGAGGATGCAGCAGTTAAAATACTTCGATGTACCTTGTATATCTTACTGGGGCTGGAATTTCTTCACGATCTTGGCATTGTTCATCGGGATATTAAACTGTCCAACATGCTGGTTTGTTAATGCATTAGCAATAATCTATTTATTCTCTCGACCTTGAAAGAGCTGTCGTTGTTTTACACTTTTGAAAATGATGATTGTATTTATATGAGCTGATTTAAATAATAATTACACCTGTTTAAAAGCTCGCGCTGACGTTTTTCCAGTTTCCTAAACTCGATCTGTGTTAGCTTTTCCTTAGATTTCCATGTTTTTTTTTTGTTACCTCTGTGGTTTTTCTGCGTTTTCTTTGGAGCTCTCTTTTAGTTTCAAGCTCCATTTAAAATCAATGATGAGTTAATGAGTAAATGAATTGAACACCTCTACACGACTTAACGATCCTAGTGGGATACACAGGAAAAATGGGTCTGCAGACGGAAAAGAAGGAAATAAACCCTAGGAGATATGAATAGCAAATTAAACGAGCTGACACTCAAAGGTGGAAACTTAGGGGCCTTCTTCGCACCTTACCTTTGTTACAGTTCCGACGGAAGTAAACGTTATACCCTTTTCTTAAAACACAAGTTTAAATATATTAATACACGTTGTAGCAATAATATTTCCTGTTTCGATTAACATATGAAATCTTTCTGTGAACTCAGCTATTAGCAACTTGAATAAACCACGAGGAGGTATGCGGTCGAACCTCCCTTTGCGACCATTTCTCGTAAGCGACCACCTTTCGTTGGCGACCACTTTTTAAAATACCAAAAGTTTCCAAGTCAAATCACCATAAATAGAATCTCTCGACAGCGACCACCTCTAGGAAGCGAGTACTTCTAGAGATGCTTGTTTACAAGTTTCAATTGTTTTCTAATAATAATAATAACAATAATAATAATAATAATAATAGTAATGGAGGATTTGTAAAGTGCTGTATCAATTTGCCCATGGCGCTTTACAACAAGTTGAAGTGAACTTTGGCCTTTCTGCATTGAGTATACAATGTTTTGAAGCCATTTGTGAGATACAAAACAATCACCACATATACAGATACTAGGATTTTTACCCAGAATGAACCACTAAAAGTTACTACTATATGTTGACACGTAGGTTTTGATAAGCGCTGGCAAAAGGGTCCGGTCACCATGTGCAAATTGATTACTTAAAAACATAGACCCTCCTGTGGCCTGACCTTGGGTAAGTGACCACCTCCTGGAAGCGACCACCCAGACTAGACATTACGGGTGTGCGCTTACGGTAGGTTCGACTGTATTTGCAAATTAAATATTTCTTCTTGCAAATTTGAGATGCTGTCTTTCCTCGTTTGCAGATCTCAAAAGACAAAGTCATCAAAATTGCAGACTTTGGTTGGGCGAAGTCTGAAAGCTCGATCACGGGTACCCAATGCGGGACCTTGTTTTACATGGCGCCGGAAGTAAGAAAACGCATCCCGTACGGCTCAAAAGTGGACATGTACAGCTTTGGCATCATGATGTGGGAAATGTGGTACGGTAAAGAAATATTTGCCGACCTTATTGAGAACGATGAAGAAATCCCTCCTCCGACAGAGGTCAAAGGTTATCTATCTAGATGCCCCGTAGGGGACGGCAGCTTCGGTCCTCCAGCAGAGTGGACCAATCTTATGATATCTTGCTGCAATCTTGATCCAGACCAGAGACCAACAGCGACAGAATGTAAAGAGTTACTTGTGAAAATTACTCGAAAATACGAAAAGTAAGAAATTCAGAGAATTGCAGTCATATTTTGCTCTTACTTTTACAGTTGAATTCAGTTGTTACAAAAATTAATTTAAAAATAACAATTTTTTTAAAGGCAACTATTCTATACAAATTTAATTACACTTTAACTGTTTACAGAGAGCTTTTTTGAACACTCGTAGGCTTACATATGTTAATGTTATTTAAATGGAATTACCCATCCTCGGCTATGACTACTTGGTAAAATGTATGTTATAGAGGTCATTCTTATTAGAAGGTACCAAGGAGAAACTCTTTGCATCCGCCAAGTTGTGACTAGCACTTATTACCCGTCATTCAGATGAGCAATTTTCCTCCATTTCAATCTGTCTGAAGATTGATCTCTGAATTAAACTCGACACACAGTGGATATTAGAAAGGAAAAATCGACTAGCTCTAGCTCCTTAATAAAGGATCCGTGTGTCCTTAATTAGCTGAAATCAATTTGGCTATTATTACGTCGCCTGTCATAACCTTTTCGCTAAGTAATGAGTTATTATTGTAGGATATAAGGTAATTGTTAGTTCCCTTGACCATTGCGAGGTTTGGCAAAGTAGTAATTGCTTCCACGACTATGTGTAGGCTACTTTGTTTATACTGACCCGCTCGCTTTTACGTCAACGCTAAACAGTTTGATCAACAGAATGGTATTTTAAACTGAAATGGGGGGACCTAGCCAGTTTCGGCGTACAGTTGTTAAAAAGAATGGTGTTGTATCGAGTTCGATTTTCTTCTTTGCCTTCAGAAGGAGGAGAGGGGACCAAAAGCAGAGAAAATTAAGTATTGTAAATCTATTTTTTAGATTTTTCGAGTGAATAGCTTTAGTTTTCTGTGATCTTTTTCAGATTAAGTATTTCAATATTAAATAAGTTTCGTAGAATGAGGTGTTTTAAACAGATTTCATTATTCTAATTTTCATTAATTAAACGAGGAATAGGACTCTAAACGCATTGATCTATACTAAGACCCCTCATCTCTCCGTCTTTCTTTCTCTTTCTCTCGGACGACGGGACGAAGAGAGATTCTGGGAGGCTATACGTAATGTAGAAAATATTGGAATAAATGAATATTGCAAAATATAGAAATATGCATCTTCGTCTTCAATAATAAGAAATGAAACGCTTCGTTGTGCTACAAGAGAGTCTCGTAAGATGCATGTGATACTCGCGTTTGGGGAGCAAAATTTATAATCCATAACCAAAAAACCACCTGGGATGCTCTTGAGTGCCAGTAAGATATTAGTAAGCGAATCTCCCTAACGAGCGAACCTTCCTGCAGCCATAGTCTGTCGCTTCCTCTGCTTGCGATTAGAGCGTTTTTAAAATTCTATATCTGAGTAAACACAACTCAATAGCCAATCACAGTAAAGCTAAACATCGCAAAGCGCATATCAAAGCTCAGAGGAAAAAAACAGTGCTTCCTTGAAGCACAAGAAGACACGAGTTGTAAAGTCTCGATTGGTCAAGATTTGCATCGGATTGATTCAGAGGATGGTAGAAGGTTTCTGGGGCAACTACGTAGTTATTAGTTTCGACACTCGATCGAAGTTTCCTTCAGCAAAGAGATTAGGTTGATTAATTGTTGTGATATATTTGCGAGCAACTTGTAATCGTAAGGGAATGAGGAAAAGATTTACACAGAAAAGTGAAGAGCGTCGGTTTTACGATTTAATGTTAAGGACGCGGGGAAGTGGTGTATTGGCTAGATTGCTAAGTTAGTGATATACATTGTCTAAAGAGAAAATAGTACCTTCAATTGTAACTGGGACAAAAAAATATCAGGATAAGGAGTCAAACTAAAGAACCTCTGTAAAAGTGGTTGGATGTTATCCACCTGAACTAAAGAGAACTTTAGCCTCGATGAAGCCCACATTTACCTATTAGATTCCAGAGTGATATGCACCCTACACAGGGCTGGGAACAGGAATTTCGAAAAAATCAATACCAAAATGATATTTAGAAGTGGTATTTAGAAGTGGTGAACGAGAAAAGGTAATTTACAATGAAGGTTTAAATATGTGCGTAATAAGATCACACCTTAGGATCACCAATGTCCCTGTCATACCGCCACCCTGCTTCATCTGAAAGCGAGGGAAAGAAAAACAGGATTAAGGCGTGTGCACATTCTCCATCCCTGAGAAAACTTTATGTTGATTGAGATTATTCAGAGAGCAAATCATTCACAAAAAGCCAGTCTCTGTAAAAACATAAAGCAATGATTATGTCCAGTATCTTAATTCTGAGCCCAACATCTCAGGCCCTTGTCGCTGAGTAACAAAAAGATCTTGCACACTATGCGGGGCCCGAGGTTTTACCACTCACACATAGTTTATCGCAGTCGGTCATCTGGGTTTGCAAGCGTCACTCTCAGTGGAAGAATGGAACGAATGGGAAAGTGGGATGTAAATTGGAACTGAATCCCACGATATTTTTCCCAATCTTGTAGGTCTTTGCTTTCATATTCTCTCTTTGCTTCACTAAGCGCTTGCATCGGAACCTTCAAAGTTTTGTGGTAAGAGAAAATTAACAATATCGTGGAAGAGTTTAATAAAATTGATTGGTCCAAATAGTTACTTCTGTATGTGATATCAGTCTAAAGAAGACATCCCTCCCTTGACAAGGACTTCTTCCTTCCTCCCTTCCACCCTTCTTTCCTCCCCAGGAAGGTTTTTAACACCACACAAATTCACTCCAGAGTTTGAGAGACACTGAAAAAGGAAAGTGTTTTCCCAGTCACCCTAACTTGGGATTTCTGATGAAAAGTAGCCTAAAGAAATACATAAGTTTGAAATTGCTACCTTCAAGGTGTGATATTGGACAAAAGTATCATTTCCAGTTTTAGAAAAAGAACTCATACAAAGATAATAGAGACATTATGTTTATTTATCAAATGACTAGCAAGGTGAAGCCAGTTTGATTGACTACCTTAGTGCCCATCTTTCCTGCTTGCAACCGCCCACCTTATTTCCACAATAAAAATTAAAGGTGCTTTTAGCCAGCTGACATTTTTCATTACCTGTTCTTTTAAGCAACATGGTATTGTAAAACGAGAAAAAAGATTTGGCATTTTGTAACAATAGTTGAAACAAAGAAAACATCTAGGTTGTGAGCATTTATTTGACAATGCGTTGCACTGATCTTTTTCTCTTGTGTTAGAGTAAATTACTGATTTTCGAAGTTTTGTTCAGCGTTAGTCAAGATGGCTAGATGTTAGCCTTTTTGTTTGTTTGTTTTTTCCATTGTATAAACCTCAACCCCATCTCAGTCCAAAAAGAAAATGAATGAAAAACGGACAACAGTAAAAGCGGAGCGCGTGTCCTCTTAAAAGGAAACTCAGGAAAGATAGTGGGTAAACTTTGAGTGTCCTGTGTGTTTGCAGTGAGTTCTGCGTCAATCAGTGGCATATGTTTTACGCTTTCAGAACGGGACCTCACATTGGCTTGTTGTTCGTTTGTTACAGGCGACAGTGCATTAATAATGAAGTAGTCGTTATGAACGCCCACCACAGGTTGCTCATCTGGTTAGTACAGGCGCACACCACGGCACCTTCATTTTTTTAGTACATTAATACCTTAGTACCAGGTACGGACAACTCATCACGGCTTGTTCTTCGTTAATTTAGTGCATTAGTACGTTAGTACTGTAGTACTCGGTACGGACAACTTATCACGGCTTGTTCTTCATTTGTTTAGTGCGCTAGTACATTAGTACTGTAGTACTCGGTACGGACGACTCGACACAGCTTGTTCTTCATTTGTTTAGTGCACTAGTACCTTAGTACTCGGTACTGAAAACGCATCACGGCTTGTTCTTCATTTGTTTAGTGCGCTAGTACGTTAGTACTGTAGTACTCGGTAAGGACGACTCATTACAGCTTGTTCTTCATTTGGTTATTGCGCTAGTACGTTGGTACCTTAGTACTCGGTACTGACAACTCATCACGGCTTGTTCTCCATTTGTTTAATGCGCTAGTACGTTAGTACGTAGTACTTGGTAATGACGACTCATCACAGCTTGTTCTTCATTTGTTTAGTGCACTAGTTCGTTAGTACCTTAGTACTCGGTACTGACAACTCATCACGACTTGTTCTTCATTTGTTTGTTGTCTGTTCCGAGTACTACGGTACTAACGTACTAGCGAACTAAACAAAGGAAGAACAAGCCGTTATGAGTCGTCCGTACCAAGTACTAAGGTACTTACGTACTAGCGCACTAAACAAATGAAGAAGAAGCCGTGATGAATTGTCGGTACCGAGTACTAAGGTACCAATTAACTGGCGCAATGAGGTGCGGACGTCTTGTATTCTGCAGCATACACCTTTATTGAATATCTGACGGGCTATACTAGTAACTAAAGTACTTGCTACATCTAGTTACAAGCTCGGCTTTTATAGGTACGGTTGAGGATCTAGAACGTTCCGTAAAATTGCAATAGATTCTATTTATGTATTGATTCAGGGATGACTCAGCACGACACAGCTACTTCTAGAACATTCTTGAAGGTCACACTACAGTTGTGTTCTTGTAAAATAGCATCCTTGGTCAACCCTTTCACGTCAGAAACTGAGTTGACGAGTAATTCTCTCTTAATAGAAAGGAGTTCCAACTCCTCACATGTTTTTCCTGATAACAGTTAACTTAGAGCATCATCAATCACTACAAATTTTGCTCTGGTTATTTTTCCTCCAATCTGGATGTCAAGGTAGACTTCACCTTTGGGAAACACACGCTCTCCATTATACGCTTTCAAAATGGCACGAGTTTTCTTCAAGTCTGATCGGTTTTGAATCCTTACAAAATCTTCCGGCATTCTCAAACAATTTGCCTCTGATCCACTATCAATCTGCATGGTTACCTCAATCCAATTACTTGTCTGTCCACTTCTTAGCGGAGATTCAATCGTGTATTTAGAACGGCTGCTGTCGATGACTGACTACATGTAGTAAACTTCATCATCAGTGATTGCTGGTTCGGCTTCTTCAATTCGATGAATACTCCTCGTAGGTTTCTTGGAAACGCTCTTCACAGGTTTCTGTGTTCTGGGTTGAAATATAAAGAAAGACTTGTCAGCAGATAGTCAAATGAAAACTTTTTACATATCAATAAAAAAGCAAAAGGCTTTTGTTTCACGGCATACCCATGTTTTTCCTAATAACAGTTAACTTGGAGCATCATCAATCACTACAAACTTTGCTCTGGTTATTTGCCTCCAATCTGGATATCAAGGTAGACTTCAATAAAAAGGCAAAAGGCTTTTGTTTCACGGCACACCCATGTCACCTTGGCCTGTCACTGCAGGACATTTACTTACAATATCGGGATCATTAACCGTAAACGCGTTAAGCAAGCCTTTTTATCGGTTTGATTGTACCCTCTGTTCCACTGTTCCACTGGTCCTCTGTGCTCACTGTTCCTCTGGTCCTCTGGTCCTCCGTTGTTCTGGTCCTCTGTACTCAGAGTTCCTCTGGTCTTCTGTTCTTCTTATCCTTTTTACCCACTGTTCCTCTGGTGCTCTATACCCACTGTTCCTCTAGTTCTTTGTACTCACTGTTTCAGTGGTCCTTTGTGCCCATTGTTCCTCTAGTTTTCTGTACCCACTGTTCCCTTGGTCCTCTGTACCCGCTGTTCCACTGGTCCCCTGTACCCACTGTTCCTCCGGTCCTCTGTGCCCACTATTCCTCTAGTTTTCTGTACCTACAGTTCTTCTGAGCCCACTGTTCCCCTGGTCCTCTGTACCCACCGTTCCACTGGTCCTCTGTATCCACTGCTCCACTGGTCCTCCGTACCCACTGTTCCTCTGGTCCTCTGTACCCTCTGTTCTCTGGTCCTCTGTACCCATTGTTCCACTGGTCCTCTATAGTCACTGTTCCTATGGTTACCCCAATGTTCCGCCGGTGCTCTGTTTACACTGTTCCTCTGGTCCTTTCTACCCTCTGGTCCTCTGGTCCTCTGGTCCCCTGAACCCATTTTTCCACTGGTCCTTTGTGCCCATCGTCCCTATGGGTCCCTGTACCAACTGTTCCACTGATCCTCTGTGCCTACTGTTTCTCTGGTCCTCTGCACCTACTGTTCTGGTCCCCTGTGCCCACTGTTCTTCTGGTCCTCTCTACCCACTGTTCCTCTGGTCCTCTGTACCAACTGTTCTTCTGGTCCTCTGTACCCAATGTTTTCCTGGTCCTCTGTGCCCACTGTTCCAATGGTTCTCTGTACTCACTGTTCCTCTGGTTCTCAGTACGGACTGTTCCTCTCGTCTTCTATGCCCACTGTTCCTCAGTTCCTCAGTTCCTCTGTACCCACTGTTCCACTGTTATTCTGCTCCTCTGTGCCCACTGTTACTCTGGTCGTCCGTACCCACTGTTCCTCTAGTCGTTTGTACCTGCTCTTCCTCTGGTCCTCTGTAGCCACTGTTCCACTGGTTTTCTGTACTCTCTGTTCCTCTGGTCCCCTGTACCCATTTTTCCACTGGTCCTCTGTGCTTACTGTTCCTCTAATCCTCTGTACCCACTGTTTCATTGGTCCTCTGTGCCCACTGTTCCTCTGGTCCTTTGTGCCAACTGTTCTGCTGCTCCTCTGTGCATACTGTTTCTCTGGTCCTCTGTGCCCACTGTGCCCACTGTTCCTCTGGTCCTCTGGTCCTCTGGTCCACTGTTCCTCTGGTCTACCATTTCCACTGTTTAACTGGTCCTCTGTGCCTACTGTTCCTCTAATCCCCTGGTCCCCAGAACCCATTTTTCCACTGGTCCCTTGTACCCACTGTTCCATTGGTCCTTTGTGCCTACTGTTCCTCTGTACTCACTGTTCCACTGGTCCCCTGTACCCACTGTTCCTCTGGTCCTCTGTGCCTTCTGTTCCTCTGGACTTCTGTGCGTACTGTTCCTCTGGGCATAGGGTAAAACATAGACTGGACTATTTTTTGGGACCATTTTTGAATAATTTTTTGGACCATTTTATCGGGGGGGGGGAGAGAAAGCACACCATTAGTACTCAGGGAGGGTTGGACACAGTCTATCAGTACTGAGGGAGGCGTGGAAGGCACAGTGTTATTACTCAGGATGGGGTGAGAGAATATTACGCAGCGAGGGGTGGGACGTGGTTTTAATAGTAAACACTACTGATTAATGTAGCTTTTACTCGATCATACAAATTTTAATCGGTTTTTCGACTGACTTTTTGTGTGCCGAAAATTCTTGCGCTGGGCCGTGGTGTTCCTTCCTTTCTTTGTCATACAAATGCAAAACCGCCACCTAAACTCTGGACTTAAATTGGTACTGAAAATATCGCGTCTACGATCCTCCACTGTTGAGTTATGCGTGTGGCTTTTGAGTAGACTTATGCACCATTAGTTGCTTCCCCTTTCCCTCTGTGTATACCACATTTTCTATCTTCCTTTTTTCATTGACCTTATCAGACAAGATCACGAAATTTCCAGTCCTTAGCCCTAAGTTTTCATTTGCGCTATCGCAATTTTAACGTTTATAACTTTAACATATAAAATCATTGTTGGTACAATCGTACAAAGCAATCTTCTCTCTTTTCAGATACACAGGTTTCTCCTTTTTGATACAATAAGCAAACGCTTGAGTATCATATCACGCATTCCACTTCGTACATTAGTGATTAAAACTGCACAGCTTCGGCGCTGGATAATTTTTCAAATAACGGGTTTGCCTTTCATGGCTTAAGGGCGCAATTTTTTTTACATAGCCACTGCATTGATCATTAAATTCACAGAAGTGCAAACTACAGAATAACCTTTTTCGAATATTACGGATTTCAAACTCACAAATGAAGTATTTCCCTTTCGCAAATTACCGATTTGAGTTATTCTCACAAATAAAACTTTTTCATTTTGTTTCGTTTTGCAAATCAGGGTTATCTCGTGGTTAACATGACATTAAATTTTTACAAGCCCTATAAGGAAAAGGTCTATTGAAGTGGATCTATTTTTACATCAGCCTTTCTGTCAGCAGAGGCGATTGCGGCTTGTTACATGATTGGTGAGAAAGCTTGCATTCATCGGAGAAATTTTTAGCCTGACAAACTCGGTATCTTAGAGGTGTAACTTTGCTTTCACAAGATCAATTTTCACCGGGGAAGCCCAATAATACAATTGACGGGTTGTATGAGTCTTAGCCGGACAGATCGAATGGTCTGCAATTCAAACAATTTCAGTGTTTTATTGACTTTACGTGCGATGGTTTTCGATCACTGCTCGTTCCATGAAGATAACTCATTTTGCATTTATTGTTTAACGAAAATGACTATACCCAAAGTTGCTAACAGATTGCACGAATTAAGAGTTTTGTTATTGCACGGGAGTTTTCGTGGACCACGCCCACTCCTCCGTTTTTATCTTTTTTCGATTAGACGAGTGTTCATTAGTATGCATTAATTAGCGGCTGAAGTGATACAAATTGTAGGAAGAGATTATTGCTCACGTTTTGGTTATTATAAGGTCATTACTTCCGACTCTGATATTTATAGCGCTACTTTTGAATGCTAGCTTCTGGCAAAACTGTCGGCTTGTCGAACATTCTGCGGAAATTTCTTCCTGCATTTGTGCATACGGCATGAGAAGAACTCAAATATAGAAATTTATGGCAGCTCTCTTGCAAGACACAATTTTCAGGAAACAAAGACTCCCTCGATGTAGCCCATCGCAATAAAATACAAAACGAGCTAGGTCTTTAAAGTACATGAGGGAAATGAAAATTCTTATCGTTTTTCCAATGGCCTAGTCCATATTTTACCCTATGCCTGTTCCTCTGTTCCCACTGTTCCACTAGTCCTCTGTGCGCACTGTTCCTCTGGTCCCCTGTACCCATTGCTCCTCTGGTCCTCTGCGGCCACTGGTCGTCTGAAACCCCTAGTCCTCTGGTCCTCTGTAATCACTGTTCCACCGGTGCTCTGAGCGCACTGTTCCTATGGTCCTCTGTACCCATTGTTTCACTGGTCCTCTGTGCCTCTTGTCCTCTGTACCCTCTGTTCCTCTGGTCCTCTGTGTACACTGTACCCACTTCCTTACCCTTCTGCTACATCTATATTTTAATTATTAGCTATTTCAAAGCCTGGTATAAGAGAGACTTCCCAAAATACATAATACGTGTCTTGATGAAATTCGCCACGGAAGCACATTTTGAGCAGACGTGATTTCCTCGTTTCTTTCCTATTCCGTTATTGCTTTTAGTAAACTGATCACTCAAGCGGATGAAAATAAAAGGTGAAAAGGTTGAACTTCCTGAAGTAGTATCATCCTGTGGCAGTGACTGTTTAGAAGTAGGTGGTTCTTCGAGTTAACTATTCCGACAGCTTTGAATTTTCGACTGAAGACATAAGTCGCTGAATCGCGCTCGGGCTAACTGTACTCAGCTTAAATGAAACATCGCAAGAGACTCGATAGCTTTAATGACTACTTTCAGTGACTAGACGTCAAAACAAGATGAAACGAGGGTCGAAACCGATGCCTGTTAAACGGCGAAGCGAAAGTGTTTTGGATGTGGCGCAAGATTTAGAGCTGCTATGTGTCAAAGAGGAGGTTACGGACATGGGAAAGGCAAAGGAACTGTGCGAAAAGAGAGTCGCTGAGTTGAGGAAATCAAACGGGACTTTGGAGATGGTAAGCTCTTATTGATCAATCAAGGCCAAACAAACATACCTCAAAAAACGGAAGACATGCAAAACTAAAACTTTTATATTTCATCAAACTAAAAAGCCAAATTGGTTGCATGGCCATACATATGCAGTGTTTTCCAGATCACTGCCTTGCTTTGGAATGTTATAATTTGCGTCAGACAGCAGACCTAGGAGAATTCTGCTAACATCATAAAGGTGTACACAAAATGTCAACATTGACGCAGACGTATGTTTTTTTCTAATTTTTCCGGTGCGGGATGCACTAAGTTTCACATAGACTTACATATTATACATAATTCATCAAAATATGAAGCGAAAATAAAAATTAACATCATAATTGATCATGAAAGATAATTTTAAGGACCTTGTTTTGAAATGAACAGAGTATTATTTATAGAATGTTCGCGATAGACAGCAGGAATTAGTAGTTTTATTTCACTAAATTCATGGATGTGTAAACAAAATGTCAATATAGATGCAAAGTTATGTTTTCTTTCAATCGTGGCTTGTTCTAAGCGCTGATCCCTCAATAGCAAGTTTCGTCTATGCTTAAGTATTTATAAATAGTTCACCTACGAGCAAGAGCGTCCATGAAACAATCAAAGTATGTAAAAATTTGAGCATGTCAACGGGTAATTAAAAACCAGTTTGCTCGTACTTTACATCGACAATATGTTCATTCCAAACATCAATCCTATCGGTTAAAAATAGGTCAAGGAACGAGCCTAATGGAAGTCAGTGGACAATTCCGCACACAAAACATGAATTTTCACGGAAATGAAAATTACAAACCGGACGAAGCAGTAGAGTATGCTTACAATGAAGGTCAACCCAGCGTCCAGGCAAGAGACAAAGAGCAAAACTTTTTATGTATGCGAAGCAAAGTATTAACTCTTTCATATTGAAACTAGTCTGTTTTTTCTAATAGTTCGCGAAATGCATAGCCAGTTCTGGAAACTTCGTGCATAGAATTTAACCTCCCGAAAATATGAAATAGAGATATCCTAGACCCGATTAAATTAAGATCTTAATCCTTGACCTGATACGGGTGAATAAACAAAGATTCAGTGGATAGAAACCGCCAGCATTAAGTAATCCAATACCGACGGAGCAAGCATTTACTACCAGAAATGTTGAATGACGCTTCTTCCTGATCTTCACGGTTTTTGCATAAAGTTGATGCGGAAAAGAAGCAGAAAGGTATACATTAGTCATTGCGCATTTGGATGAAACGGAAGCTGAAACGAGAAAGAGGTCTGAGAAAACAAGACGACTGCCGTGCACGTAGGTTATGAATTTTGAGTGGATTCTGTTGCCCCCGTATGCGAAGCAACAGGTATTTTTTGGATGTGCTCGTCTGTTCGAACGAAGAAAGTTAATCGAGGGCTGAAAGCTCTTAATTTTTTTCACGCACACAAATAGGCGCAAGCTTTCGACAGTATTCACATTCAGTTTTGCTCTTTAAGCTAAGAATATTTTGAAATCGACCGCGAGTGACAACATACATCCATGTTCGTCTGATTAGTTGTGCATCTTACAGCTGACAACAGAGTGTGTTTACCACATTTGTTATCTCTGTCTCACTGATCGTCTGCTATATATAAAAGCGTCCGAATATATTCATGTAACAAGAATGGGAATATGCTCAAAAGATCACTGGTATCTTACGAGCAGTTTTTGTGGTGGATTCTTCTCTAGAAATGGTCTATAACGACACGGATTTGCTTAAAACCCGGTGTACTTTGTCTCTGCAAAAAATCTTTTATCTCCCGTACCTCTTCCTTAACCTGAAGACTACTTCTCAGTCATTAACGCTTTAATTTGGCTGGATTTATTTCTATTTTCTGTTCTTCAGCAATCCCATGGTGAGAAGTATATATAAGTAAGGCAGCAATAACTGTGCTAGATTATGATGGATTTGGCCTCCTTTTAGAACTCTTACCATGTACATGTACTCTGATCTGAACATCGTTTTGAAAGCGTTTGTTTGTTCATTACTTTGTTTAAATGTTTATCTTTGCTTAAAAGTAGAGCTCATGTATACAGGAGTAAAATCCTCTAGAGTTTAATTACATCCCCCTAAATGTGGATGATCTAACCCAAGAATAGAACTCTTCCTCGAATCACACACATTTAATGTCATGCAAAGCTACGTTCGTAACAATATCTCGTCAGGATGTACATACCAGAAAGTCATTCCCTGTAAAATTTAGACTACATACAGGGTCAAAATGCAGTCGAAAGCCTGTAGATCAGCGGTAGAGTTAGGATGGTTACAAAACCAATCTATTTTGGCATCAGATCAATTGATGTGTCTGAAAGTTCTACAGCTGATGGAACAAATGAGAAATTTTTTAGGTAAAGTTTTCAAACTTTATTTGAAGCAAAGGAGTGGCATTGTTTTACCCTTGAGGCAGGACTTCATCCAAGGCCGAGTACTGCAAAACACTACTGGCTTAATTAGGGTTGGTGAGGTATTTTTGATCCAGGTTTATTTATTTTCACCTACCTTTTTATACTAGGGATATCAATGGATCTTAAAAGACCTGGAGGATACTCAAAATCAGCTACGGATACTGAAACAATACTATTTGAAAGTGAAGGAAATTCAGCAGCAAACTAACTTGATTACTCCGGAAGGCAATCAGGTATTTGAGGCTGGTGCTGAAAGACGCCTCGCAGACCTTGAGAGGGAGAAATGTACCATTTTCATTGCTGGTAGGTCTAAAAATAGGTACCCATAGGGCACACTTTTCTCCAAGCAAAAACATTTGTGCACTTGAAGCCAACATCTGTACTTCTGGCCAAAAGACACTTATAAGCAGAAAGCCCTACATACTGCTGCCCTCACAAAACCTAGTTTGAATTAGCACACTAACTTTGTATCTAAACATTCTTGCAAGTGGACATTGATGGAAACAGTGACGGATATTTTTAGGGGTTATGATTTCCTTCGTTTTTAATTTCCCCTTAGCAGACACTTGAAGTAAAATCATAGTAGCCTCCGAATTGTATTTTAAACAACAAAGGCTCCACATTGCTGCCTGTAACAATGATCTGAAGGCCAATTACTGTCAATGCACCAATCCAACATGTATGTTTTGTTCTTTGATCTCTATTAAAGGGTCATTCTAGTACTTTGGTTTCTGCAGTATTGTGTACAGTTAATAACAGCCAATTTTGGATCACATCCACAGAATGTATCTAATATTTTTTAACAGGTGAGACCAGTGCTGGTAGGAACAGTCTGATCAATCTATTGCTTGGTGAGAAACTTCTTCCTTCCAATATCCAGGAAGAGACTATGACTACCTGTGAAATATCCCATGGTTCAGAGAAGGAAATTGTGCTACACTTTTCCAACAAGAGTGAACATAAACGTATCCTCAAGGGAGGAAACATTGAGGACCAAATCAAAGAGTACATTCAAAAGTCAATAGAGGATGAAGATTGGTGCAAGAAAATAGAGATAATGCTTCCCAACACATTATTAGAGGTAAGAATGTTACTCAATCAATCATCAATCCTTTAGAATCTACCATGTATGAAAAGGAAAGTTATAATAATATCAATCATTTTAATCTTAACGAGACTTCATATTTTCTTTCAAGTTTACTTAATCAGATCACCAAGCCTTAACAAAACACCTGATTATGTTTCTTCATTAAGAACCTCAAACTATACCTAGAATGCTAAAAGTTTAGCAACTGTATATTGAAGATTCAAATAACTCTTTTAGAGCCTTTTTCCCAGGAGACTCACCACATTTGGCCTTTGAAGGACATTTTGTCACTTTTCTTTACTTTTTTCCCTTTGGCCTCCAAAAATGGAGCTTGAAGATTTCTTGAACCTTTTTTAGATTAAGATTTGCTTTAGATTTATTTCCCTGTCAGGAATGTTGCACTTTTTCGGCTTTTTCGAATTTCATAATTTATTAATCCTCTCTCTATAATTTAGGGTGGTATAGTGATTGTGAACAGCCCAGGAATTGGTGAATCAGATCATGTTAAAAGTATTTTCATGGACAACCTTTCTCAAGCTAATGCGTTCATTTACGTGATAAACAGTCCGCAGGCCGGAGGATTGCAAGAGGACCTGGTAAGCAATCTTAAGCATTTTACAAACCAACTTGCACATCGAAATTAAGTAAATATTACTTAAAATTAGTGGTGACGCCCAAGAATTCACGACATTAACAGAATGTTTAACTTTCATATATTCACCATTATTACTTGTTACAATAAACAAAGAAAAATAGCAAGCAGACCAGAATGCATCAATCAGAGTCCAGTACATGTAAGTCCAAGTGAAAATACTACAGGTGCTCTAAAGCCGAAATCTCACACCACAAATGGGGTGGCTGTTTAAGGCAACTTTTGTCATCCACAGCTCATGTAGTAGTTACTAACCTTTTTTATAAGGCCATGTATTTTTTATGTAATGTGACAGTGTACATGGATTCTGAAGAAACATGTTCAGGTAGTGAATACTCATAAAGTGATTATTCAGATGTTACTTATGACAGTAGTTTTATAGATGATAGTGAACTGGATGATGATACCTTTTATTTTGATGACTATGGTAATATTACACATTTCAATGCTGATAACATAGCAGAAGCAGAAGAAGAATTACATTATACATTGGCAGATTTAGGAAAACTGAGAATATATTCATAGGTATAATATCTATGTAATAATGTATAGAATGTATTGTAGCAAAATAATTCATGATGAATGGGAGGATATAGTATGTCCCTTCTGTTATAAACAAATAAAAAAACGATCAGTTATACCTGTAAAGTGTTGAGATGAACAGCAACTGGAAAATAAAGATCATAAGATGGTTTACATTAATTATGGACAAATAGATGGTTATGATCCAATGCATGAATTCTGCAGCTTTAATGATAACAAATGTAACATAGTAAGAAAATCTGTGTACTATAGAATATACTACCTCGATAAAGTCATATTTAATTTACATTAAATTTAATTGAAACATTAGCTCCACTTTTTAACTGGTCCTACTACAGTACCGTTATTATGTGAAAGGTTGTTGTAATAACAGTAAACATTTTGTTTTTTTACCATCAAACACTTTCTTTGTAATAGAATTATCATCATTAGTTGCATCTTGTATTTTCAACTGTTTTTTTGTCATTTTAACAGGTGTTATGAAATTAAGAGAATCATTAGTTATTTAAAACTTTTTATTCCACGTGCTCAATGGAACATCATCGTGATATCCCAAGATGCCATTAAAACTATGACATGAATGACCAAATCCTGTGAATAAGCCACACTTGACTTAATTTTCAATACCAAATCCATCATCACATGGTTAGTTGTTATATTATTGTACTTGTTTATATGAACCAATGATCTGATATGATCTGCAAATTAATTAGTTGAAACCCTAGAAATTGTCTCTACACCACTGCTGGCTTATAGGTGTCAACAGATGAATGGTCAATAGATGCAGAGGGGAAGTATAATTCAAATACCACTGTGTATTCACCAGTTAGTACTTCATACATATTCAAACCAACACGAGGTCAATAATACCCTTTACTGGAATCTAAATGGAGTTTCATTTCATAGGTTTTTTTTACTGAACTGATGAAAGTCTTGATCAATGAATTTAAGCCCTGTGATATCATCTTCATCACTAAACCGCCCACTTTTGCTCTTAATGTATACAAATGTGTTTTCCAAATCTGTACTTACAACAGACTGATTCAATCTATCATTAACATACTTCTGATAATTAGTAGTTGTTTGTTTATTATTATTGTTGATAGTTGTATTAATAAAATTAACATCAGCAGCATGTGTGCTTTCATGCACCTGTGACTGTTTGACATAATTCTTACTTCTGCTATTCATATTCAAATTACCAGTCATCACCCTCGTACAATCAGTTTTCAACGAACTACTTGTTTTTGTATCAACATAGCTTTCATTGCTTCCATCTGTTGCACTTGTTTGGTCCACTACATTAATCTCCTTATTGCCTTTCATATCAAAACCAAAGTAAAGGTTTTACTATCAACATATTTCTTGTTGACCACTGCATGCTTATCACTATTATCATTGCTGTCATAATCTGGTATTAATAACATGCTTTTCAATGTCTGGGGTAACAGATCATCTCTATCTATTTTCTTATTTGTGATATCTTTCATCTGCTTCAAGGTCACAGCCTCATCATCATATTGAACTCTACTCTGGTCATAAATGGTCTTACCATCAGAATCCCATCTGTTACCACTTCCAAATCTCAATAATTGGTTATCATCACTTTTTTTTCTGTATGTTGTCTCCCAAAATACATTAATAACTGCATCATCATTTGAGGTGGGTGTATGCACATTCTTAATATAGTTATTATTCAAATTAATATCAACTAAGAAAGTCTCAGAGCCATTCAGAATATTGTTTGCAAAGGCATCAACATACTTTTTAAAAAACTGAAAAATGAGATATCTGGTTATGTATGCAATATGCCCCAAGAACAACCACTGAAGAGCTTGGTCATTGGGCCAGGGAATGCCATGGTGATGTTTCCGTTCATCCATTTGATAGTACCTACAATAAATTCCTTACTTTCACAAACAGTAATACAAGAACGGGTATAACTGTGGTGTACACTGTTAAAGATCATCATTGTTGCCCTGTTACTGACTATAATTTGAAGATAGCTCCAACAAAGGTTAATCAGAGGAGTTTTAGTGATCTGTTAAAGCACATGTCGGATATCACATGGACCTGAAGACATGAGAACATCACAAAGTTGAAATCAGTTGATGACATTGAAAAAATGAATGAAAAAAATAATATCATTGTACTACCTGAAGATGTGAGAATGCCTGATGCTGTTAATGGTATATCAAGAAATCAAACTATTACCTTGAATACTTACATTGGAACAATAATAACTATTTAGATGGGTTCACTGATCATGATAAAAATATTAATGTGATGAATGATGAGTATGTATTATGTGAGAGATCAATATGTGATAAATTGCATGATAGGCATAAGATGTATGACTTTCTTTGGACCAACCAATCATATCCCAGTATATCCAATGCATTGCTCAAGCAACTAAATGTATTTTTAAGACTGCTAAACAAATGCTGGATGACTTTTATCCAAGGGCATTACAATGGTGTTCAACAGATGATATACCATATAATTTAGTAATTGTGGACATCTCTAATTCCTATCCCAATGTGCTATTAAATGATACCCATAATACCTTTGCACAGTATTTATGATGCGGTAGAGAACTTTAATTGTAAGAGTGATTGGGAAAAATGTGGTGAGTTTTATATTGATGAGACTGTATTCAACTATTACACCCATAATTATAGAAGCAGGTTTTTACAGTGCTAATCTGGTAGGATACTTAGTAGAGGTACTGCACATGCCAATCACACAGATAAAATACAAAATCACGACCAAAAGAGCCTTAAAACCAGATACTTTCAAGGGGTGTATTAAGTTCATTGGATGAATTACCAGAAGCTGAAGCCAAAAAGATGGCTAATAGTTTAATCCGTGAACTCAGTCAGCAAGATCAGCCATGGTTTTATGTGTAGAGAATATGATACTGCTATGTGTAGTTGGACATCTGCCATGAATAAAGAGAGGAATCTTACTATTCATCACTGTAAAGGCTTGTAAACAATTGTTTTCTGATAATACCAGTATTGACCCTTTTTGTGGTATCAGAAGCCATACTAGAGTGTTTGTAGCTCATTGATTGCTGTTGTTCAAAGAATAGTGTGTTTTATGGTTATAATAAAGTTATTATATATATTACAAACAGTAAAATGAAATTCAGGAACAAGAAAGATATTAAGGTTAGCACAAAATAGATTGGCAAAGCATTTGAGACAGATTCCAAGCCAACATACTTTGAGATGCATTAAAGAGAAAACATGTGCTTTGATGACTATGAGAGCAGATTGGGTAAAGGATGTATATATAATGAACAGGCTGGTAATGGTGAAACATAAAAGCTTGGTGAGTTGGTAAAACAATCAGATGATTGTATTGTGTTGTCATATACTAACAAAGCTTTGGAAAATGTTAAATCAAGGTTGCAAGCTTTTAGATATGAATAGACACAAGTTAATAACTCTTGATAATTACTTCTTTGGAATTGCTAAAGACAGGAGTATGGATAGCCTTGATGGGAAGGATATTTTCATAGAAGAGTTTAGTATTCTCTCTAATAGATGGATGACTATGATTTATAAAGCTTTTGCAAAGTTCAATAACAAGGTATACTCATTTAGTGATTGCAGTCAATGTGAACCTTTAAAAGCTGGTAGTCAAGTGCATTATAATTATCAGTTATCACCAATATCAATCAAATGTGAAGCAAAACAAAGACAATGAAAGACATTGAACATCCTAGTAGATATGATAAAGAGACTAATAATATGCATGGTACATTCGTTGAAACTGAAAGATATCCACTTACTTTGAACCAATTGGTAAGTACAATAAGAAGATCTGTTATCTGAATGCTACCAGGATAAGAGTTAATACGGAATGCTGTGATAGGATTGTAGTGAACAAGAAATATGAAACCATTGACTTGAAGTATGAAAAGAATAAAGTTTGCATTGGTACTCCTATAATTGCAACACAAAATATCAAAGAAAAACAGATCTTCAATAAATGGAGTTTATTGTTGAGGATATTAAACATATTAACGTTAAGGTAAATGGTAAATGGTTTGACCTTGCTGAGTTTGCAGAACACTTTATCCTCAGTTTCTCTGTTACAGTGTATAAATACAAAGGTGCAGACATATATGAGAACTATAATATATATGATGTCAAGCGCATAGATTAAAAAACAATTGTATACTGCATTATCTCGTACCAGAAAGTTTGAATTCATTCGTCTGAACTTCAAAGAGCTAAACAATAGATATGTTACCAGAGAACAACCTACGTTGGAACTGACAAATAGTAAGTTTAATAGTCTATACAAGAATGGTAATATATATAAGATAATTTTTGATGACGGTAGATTATACGTAGGTTCAACATGTGAAGAACTAAATACAAGGTTAAAATGGCATTTGTCTGACAAATAGAGCCAGGTATACAAAAACAGAAAGGATAACCCCAAAATTGAGCTCACTGTTACATCTCCTTCTGCTGATGAAAAACTTTAGAAAATGTAGAAAATTGTTATATCAATGAGTATGCTATTAAATACAAGAATTAGTTGATAAACATCAGATCCGTTAAAAAAGAGAAAGAAAGTGGAGTATAATGTTGATGTAGAGAGTGAACAACAACTAAGGGAAAGTGTGGGATTACTTGACAAGAGACGCCAAGAGTCTTCTGTTAGACATTTTATTTCATCTTAACTTTTTCACTTTTTAGCTTCGAGTATTGGATGAATGGAAGAAGCTCTACGAAGGAAGAGAAGAACCAGGCATCACTGCTGAATCTGCTCTTTTCGTCTGCAACAAGTGGGATGCAATGGAAGGAAAAGATGACAAAACCGAAACAGAGGAGCTCCAAAAGAACATCATACGCAGACTAAGGGAAAGAATTCCCAAACTTGATGAAGAATGTCAAGTGGTCAGAATATCTATGAACACAGCAAAAGAGGAGCTAATGGAGTCAGACAAGATGAATGATGATCTGTACACGCTCATTTGTGCAATTCAGGACCTTTTACTCCGTGATGTAAAAATGAAAGCTACCTTCTTCTATCTGTAAGTAAAAAAAGCTTCTTGTCTGACAATCTAATCTTTGGGAAACGAATTTCAGAACGTATTGATTCAAATTTACAAATTTAATCTTTTAAAAACCAGATTTGCAAAAATTCGCCCGCTGTCTTGAATGATTGACAGTGAGGCTCGTGCCCTGTCACACCTCAGTTAGTGGGTGATCACTCTGTGTCTTGGACTGTCTCCCACGATTTAAAGTCAGGCTCATGCCCTCCTGCAGCTCAGATGGTGGACTAGATCACTGTAGCGGGCGGATAGGGGAGAATTTTCAGTTTCCAAAGTAGGGGGCTTGGGAAGGGAGGTGAAACTTGCTGCACTTTTGGGTATGTTTTGTTGAGTCTGCACAGATACATCTGCTTGGATTCGCAAAACATGCCCGCTGTGTTGCAAGGTTAACAGTCAGGTTCCTGCCCTGCCCCACCTCTGCTAGTGGTGAACACCCAGTGATTGGGGGTGGTCGAGAGTCCGAAGTAGCAGGTGTACGAGGATTCGCAAAAACCTCTAAGCTGAAAATGGAGGGGCTTATTGTCAAGGACAGCACCGATACGCAGCACAGGGACTGGCCCATTAGAGGGTTGGTCAGCGGCTGTTGTGCGTCCAAAGCACAGGGGTGGAGAGGGTTGGTTTTGGACTCCTCAGCCTATTCTAAATTGCTCTTAAGGTGAACGGGGCTTCCAAGCTTACTTAGAAAATGCACTGTTTAACTTGACTAGCCGTCAGGCTTATTCCTTGTCACTGCTCCGTCAGTAGGCAGGGAAGATTCAATAGCGTAAGGGTGGTAGAGTGTCAAGACATCTTGGAAGGGGCTTCTATTGATATTGCAGACACTATCAGTTAGTATTTTCGCTTGAAGACAGTCATTGCCCCCTTTAAACCAGCCTGGCAGAGAAAAAGGCCAAGAGTTTAAAGTCAAGGGTAGCACCTGCATAACTTTCAGCCACTGGTCCTTTTAAGGGTGGGTTGCGACTTGATCTGTATCTAAAATGATCGAATACGGAATTAACTTTGTTTCAAATCAACAGCTGGATAAGTGGCCAGATTAGCTGGCTAAAGGATTTGGCAAATGTACAAATACAAAGTACTCAAAGGAATAGAAAAGAATGCCTTGAGGTAAGGGAAGAACTTAATGAGTTACTGCAAGAGCTTGAGAAAGGCTCTCACATCCATGAAATTGACAATGCTATTCATTTCCACGAGGAAGAACTGTGCAGAAAGCTTACGTCTTACTTGAGATCTGAAGAAGTTCAGAAAAAATTTTGCGATTGGTCCGAAAAGGACTTGCCTGTTATTGGTCATCGTCATAGTTCCCGAAGGATCAAATCCGAACTTGGTAAATGCATAGATCGAAGATTACATTCTTTGCTTAAAAGCGTGGAAAATAAAGAAAAACATTTCGCGAAAGCTCGTGCAGACCTGGAGAAAAAACGTCTCCAATATTTCTCTGATCTTCAAAAGGGCATTTGTGACATTGACCGTGTTCTTGACTCAGAGGATCAGTCTGTTCCCTTTGAATTGCACTCTGGAAGAATGTGTTTGCCTTTCTACGCAAGAATGAAAAAGATGATTGTGGCAGCTGGTGTAGTTTTTATGCCAGTGTTGATTCCTGTTGGTTTAGCTGCAGGAGCTCTCTTTGCACCCGCTTTCGGTTATATGGCCGTCGCAAAGTATCTCAAGGAACATCAGCTGAGGGAAGATCCTTGTAAAGCTTTAAAAGAACTTTCCCCACAGTTTCTAAAGTCTTTCATTAAAGAAAGTCTACGGGATCATGTCCAAAGAGAACTAGCTAACGAAAAAAATCAAATTTCCCAAATAAAGAGATGCCATTCAGCGATCATCAGTAAATACGATCAGCAATGTGAGGCTTTCAGGAGGATAGCAGATGAATCAGGAGATGAAGAAGCCCTGGAAGAGAAGGCCCTGGAAGAGAGGGCCATGGTCGACCTGTCTTGGGAACTGCGGAATATGAGCGACAACCTTTTGTTTGACGCCATCCAAAACGGAGTACCAGTCATGTACCCGTCTGGCCAAATCGATGGCAAAAAGCTTTCTTGCAATATGGAAGAAGTGCTAGGAATAGGAAGCTCAGCCAAAGTCTTCAAGGGAACACTAAAAGGACAGAGTGTTGCTGTAAAAAGGCTACAACAAGAGCTTCATCCACAAAGTGTTGCTTGGTTTCTTGAAGAAGCAGGAATATTAAGGTATGAGTGTCTGGATAGCTAAACAGATAGTAAGACAGTCAAACAACTGCACACACTGACTTAGGAAATTTTCCTGGTGTTACCATACTTTAAAAGTCTGCTTCTTGTCTTTTGAGCTGCACCGTTTTAAACGCCACACAAAGTTACCTCAAAGGTCTTCAAATATACCGCTGTTTGTCCGAATACATATGGGTGATAGGTAAAGAGGCACATAGTGCACCGGAACTTGGAAACGTTCTCGCTACGGCTTTAACACCGGCATAATCAGTTGTATTATATCGTATTTTCTGAGTAACTTTAGAAAGGAAAGCTTACATTGCAATGCTGAAGAGTAATTAAAACGGTTTTCTTTCTTTCCCGTCACACAGGCAAGTACAACATAAAAACATTTTGACTTTCCATGGAGTGTGCATGAATGTTCAAAATGGCCGGCTGATTTCCTTGGATATCGTCCTTGAGTTGTGCGCCTCAAGTCTGAAGGATCAAATCGTCAACAAAAAAACACTCTTTGGATGACGGAGGATGCAGGAGTCAAAATAGTTCGATGGACCTTGTATATCTTACTGGGGCTGGAATTTCTTCACGATCTTGGCACTGTTCATCGGGATATTAAGCTGTCCAACATGCTGGTTTGTTAATGCATTGGCAATAATCTATTTATTCTCTCGACCTTGAAAAAGCTGTCGTTGTTTTACACTTTTGAAAATGATGATTATATTTATATGAGCTGATTTAAATAATAATTACACCTGTCTAAAAGCTCGCGCTGACGTTTTTCCAGTTTCCTAAACTCGATCTGTGTTAGCTTTTCCTTAGATTTCCATGTTTTTTTTGTTACCTCTGTGGTTTTTCTGCGTTTTCTTTGGAGCTCTCTTTTAGTTTCAAGCTCCATTTAAAATCAATGATGAGTTGATGAGTAAATGAATTGAACACCTCTACACGACTTAACGATCCCAGTGGGATACACAGGAAAAATGGGTCTGCGGACGGAAAAGAAGGAAATAAACCCTAGGAGATATGAATAGCAAATTAAACGAGCTGACACTCAAAGGTGGAAACTTAGGGGCCTTCTTCGCACCTTACCTTTGTTACAGCTCCGACGGAAGTATACGTTATACCCTTTTCTTAAAACACAAGTTAAAATATATTAATACACGTTGTAGCAATAATATTTCCTGTTTCGATTAACATCTGAAATCTTTCTGTGAACTCAGCTATTAGCAACTTGAATAAACCACGAGGAGGTATGCGGTCGAACCTCCCTTTGCGACCATTTCTCGTAAGCGACCACCTCTCGTTGGCGACCACTTTTTCAAAATACCAAAAGTTTCCAAGTCAAATCACCATAAATAGAATCTCTCGACAGCGACCACCTCTAGGGAGCGAGTACTTCTAGAGATGCTTGTTTACAAGTTTCAATTGTTTCCTAATAATAATAATAATAATAACAATAATAATAATAATGGAGGATTTGTAAAGTGCTGTATCAATTTGCCCATGGCGCTTTACAACAAGTTGAAGTGAACTTTGGCCTTTCTGCATTGAGTATACAATGTTTTGAAGCCATTTGTGAGATACAAAACAATCACCACATGTACAGATACTAGGATTTTTACCCAGAATGAACCACTAAAAGTTACTACTATATATTGACACGTAGGTTTTGATAAGCGCTGGCAAAAGGGTCCGGTCACCATGTGCAAATTGATTACTTAAAAACATAGACCCTCCTGTGGCCTGACCTTGGGTAAGTGACCACCTCCTGGAAGCGACCACCCAGACTAGACATTACGGGTGTGCGCTTACGGTAGGTTCGACTGTATTTGCAAATTAAATGTTTCTTCTTGCAAATTTGAGATGCTGTCTTTCCTCGTTTGCAGATCTCAAAAGACAAAGTCATCAAAATTGCAGACTTTGGTTGGGCGAAGTCTGAAAGCTCGATCACGGGTACCCAATGCGGGACCTTGTTTTACATGGCGCCGGAAGTAAGAGAACGCATCCCGTACGGCTCAAAAGTGGACATGTACAGCTTTGGCATCATGATGTGGGAAATGTGGTACGGTAAAGAAATATTTTCCGACCTTATTGAGAACGATGAAGAAATCCCTCCTCCGACAGAGGTCAAAGGTTATCTATCTAGATGCCCCGTAGGGGACGGCAGCTTCGCTCCTCCGGCAGAGTGGACCAATCTTATGATATCTTGCTGCAATCCTGATCCAGACCAGAGACCAACAGCGACAGAATGTAAAGAGTTACTTGTGAAAATTACTCGAAAATACGAAAAGTAAGAAATTCAGAGAATTGCAGTCATATTTTGCTCTTACTTTCACAGTTGAATTCAGTTGTTACAAAAATTAATTTAAAAATAACAATTTTTTTAAAGGCAACTATTCTATACAAATTTAATTACACTTTAACTGTTTACAGAGAGGTTTTTTGAACACTCGTAGGCTTGCATATGTTAAGGTTATTTAAATGGAATTACCCATCCTCGGCTATGACTACTTGGTAAAATGTATGTTATAGAGGTCATTCTTATTAGAAGGTACCAAGGAGAAACTCTTTGCATCCGCCAAGTTGTGACTAGCACTTATTACCCGTCATTCAGATGAGCAATTTTCCTCCATTTCAATCTGTCTGAAGATTGATCCCTGAATTAAACTCGACACACAGTGGATATTAGAAAGGAAAAATCGACTAGCTCTAGCTCCTTAATAAAGGATCCGTGTGTCCTTAATTAGCTGAAATCAATTTGGCTATTATTACGTCGCCTGTCATAACCTTTTCGCTAAGTAACGAGTTATTATTGTAGGATATAAGGTAATTGTTAGTTCCCTTGACCATTGCGAGGTTTGGCAAAGTAGTAATTGCTTCCACGACTATGTGTAGGCTACTTTGTTTATACTGACCCGCTCGCTTTTACGTCAACGCTAAACAGTTTGATCAACAGAATGGTATTTTAAACTGAAATGGGGGGACCTAGCCAGTTTCGGCGTACAGTTGTTAAAAAGAATGGTGTTGTATCGAGTTCGATTTTCTTCTTTGCCTTCAGAAGGAGGAGAGGGGACTAAAAGCAGAGAAAATGAAGTATTGTAAATCTATTTTTTAGATTATTCGAGTGAATAGCTTTAGTTTTCTGTCATCTTTTTCAGATTAAGTATTTCAATTTTAAATAAGTTTCGTAGAATGAGGTGTTTTAAACAGATTTCATTATTCTAATTTTCATTAATTAAACGAGGAATAGGACTCTAAACACATTGATCTATACTAAGACCCGTCATCTCTCCGTCTTTCTTTCTCTTCCTCTCGGACGACGGGACGAAGAGAGATTCTGGGAGGCTATACGTAATGTAGAAAATATTGGAATAAATGAATATTGCAAAATATAGAAATATGCATCTTCGTCTTCAATAATAAGAAATGAAACGCTTCGTTGTGCTACAAGGGAGTCTCGTAAGATGCATGTGATACTCGCGTTTGGGAGCAAAATTTATAATCCATAACCAAAAAACCACCTGGGATGCTCTTGAGTGCCAGTAAGATATTAGTAAGCGAATCTCCCTAACGAGCGAACCTTCCTGCAGCCATAGTCTGTCGCTTCCTCTGCTTGCGATTAGAGCGTTTTTAAAATTTTATATCTGAGTAAACACAACTCAATAGCCAATCACAGTTAAGCTTAACATCGCAAAGCGCATATCAAAGCTCAGAGAAAAAAAACAGTGCATTCCTTGAAGCACAAGAAGACACGAGTTGTAAAGTCTCGATTGGTCAAGATTTGCATCGGATTGATTCAGAGGATGGTAGAAGGTTTCTGGGGCAACTACGTAGTTATTAGTTTCGACACGCCATCGAAGTTTCCTTCAGCAAAGAGATTAGGTTGATCAATTGTTGTGATATATTTGCGAGCAACTTGTAATCGTAAGGGACTGAGGGAAAGATTTCCACAGAAAAGTGAAGAGCGTCGGTCTTACGATTTAATGTTAAGGACGCGGGGAAGTGGTGTATTGGCTAAATTGCTAGGTTAGTGATATACATTTTCTAAAGAGAAAATATTACCTTCAATCGTAACTAGGGCAGAAAAATATCAGGATAAGGAGTCAAGCCAAAGAACCTCTGTAAAAGTGGTTGGATGTTATCCACCTGAACTAAAGAGAATTTTAGCCTCGATGTAGCCAACATTTACCTATTAGATTCCAGATGGATATGCATCCTACACAGGGCTGGGAACAGGAATTTCGAAAAAACTAATACCAAAATGATATGAAATTTAGAAGTGGTGTACGAGAAAAGGTAATTTACAATGAAGGTTTAAATATGTGCGTAATAAGACCACACCTTAGGATCACCAATGTCCCTGTCATACCGCCACCCTGCTTCATCTGAAAGCGAGGGAAAGAAAAACAGGATTAAGGCGTGTGCACATTCTCCATCCCTGAGAAAACTTTATGTTGATTGAGATTATTCAAAGGGCAAATCATTCACACAAGTAAGTCTGAAGAAAAACATAAAGCAATGATTATGTCCAGTATCTTAATTCTGAGCCCAACATCTCAGGCCCTTGTCACAGAGTAACAAAAAGATCTTGCACACTATGCAGGGCCCACGTTTTTACCACTCACACATATAGTTTGTCGCAGTCATTTGGGTTTGCAAGCGTCACTCTCAGTGGAAGAATAGAAGGAATGGGAAAGTGGGATGTAAATTGGAACTGAATCCCAACACATGTACTGTCGGCAATTTAGAAGTGTTCACTGTTGTTGAAATGTCATGACCTTGGACTAGAAACTTCCTGCATAACTGATATGTATTTAACTGTAAATCCTTCAGAGCTTCGTGGGATGCAACTTCTAGCTCTACCGCGACCTCCCGGAGCGCGACTACAAAAGAAATGTCGAAAGCTACAAATAAAAAATTAAACCTGGCAAGAATTTTTCATCAGCAGGGAGAGCTGGCTCACAAACAGAGCTGTGTTTGCTGTGAATCCTCTCAGCGCACTCAACGAACCACCTTTCGAAATTACTGTTTTTGACAAAGCTGCAGATTGAAACTTCCTCGAATTTCTCGCTATCGCGGAGACGAGGTTCAAGATCAAGGGTTTGACAACAAGGGGAAGGTAAACGAGAAAGTTTTCCTGGAAGATGTAAAGTTTGAGCTCCATCCTGAAGGTATGAAGTCACGAGTTCTGTAAGAGGAAGCAGGAGGAACCTCCTTCAGAGCTTACGTCCACGTAGATGGGCGAGCATGGAGCAAGGTACGTTTGCCCGATTAAATATCGGTCATACCATGAATCGTCCAGTAAACTTTTAAATCTACCGCCCCTTAAAATAATTGCCCTTCCTATCGGCAAAAAGATTAAATAGGGTGTGTACGGTATTAAGTCGTGGTTTCGCCCAAGGCACTTGATTCATCATTTCAGGTAAAAACATGATTTAATTTAATTGAAATGAACACAAAGTTCCCCTCATATGGGTACGTCGAAATAAGACGGCATTAACTCATGTATCCTCAAGTTTCCTTGTCATTTCGCTTTTTTTCAGACTTTCCATAAGACCGAGCACCTTCTTCTTAAAGTGACGTATCATCCTTACTGGAAATGCGCCGTCCGTTATTCGGCGGAAGTCATAGATGGTGCACCTGATTGGCACGAGGATCTGTTGCATCACGTGACACCGAGTCTGTTGAGCATTGTTTTACGGCCGGGTAATCACCACGTGATCTACCAGTACAAGAATCCATTTATCAGAAGATGAGTTTTGTATTGTTTGTTGTGGTATTCATCGCTCTGATGGTGAAAGAAATATTCGTTTACCTGCGGTGCCAGCGTAGATGATCACGAGAAAAAGTTGTCCTTCTTGGTTTCTTGCTCATTTGGAAATACGAAAGGAATGAACTGATCAAAAACAGCAATATCTGATTATTGCGCCAATGTATACAAGCAGGTGGATGATGGTTTTGGAAAAGACACGTTCTCAATCTTCTGCCACACCATGGGAAATTTTAATCAAAAAAACCAAACCTTGTATAGAATGCAAACCTCTTTATTTAGAAAAATAACTGTATGTCCATGTTATGACAATGTGTTACTATACAATAATGTATAATTAAGGAAGTTCGTTAAACTTTATCACAAAGCCAAGTACGCAAGAAAAACTCAAATAAACATCCTAAATGTACGCATAATTTTTCGGTGTAGATTCAGAAAGTACAAAAAAAGCATTTTCCGAACAAGTTTTCCAGTAAACTGTAACAAAGTGCTCAAGTATCGCTTGAACTTGTTACGACGATTCCCGATGGCTTAGCGATACAAAATTGAGTAACACAAAGTGAATAAATAATGAAGGGAGTGTCTAAAGACATATGTTTCAATCAACTTTCTCTGCGACATTTGGTCAGTTCAAATATTTCTCGCACCGTATCATTCTGCGTATGGCAAGTTGAAGCATAATGTTTCGAGAAATTGTTGTTGACACTTCTAAAGTATGTTGCAGCAACTTACAGTTCACATAGCAATACGCGAATCAAATACTTGAGAATTGGCGACAATGGGACGGGACAGGTTGAAAGAACACGCATGCTCATATCTATAAAGGATATTTACATTGGAAAATTTTCATAAACTCTTGTTTTTACGTAAGAGGTTTTTGATTACTTACAAGTTAACGGTGAAAAAGGCACATAATTTGTACTGTCTTCTTGAAGACTGAAACAATCTTTACAATCTTTACAGAAAAGCGTTAGGTAACACTAAGTCAACGCTTAAGTATTCTGGAAGTCACTCTGGCTTAGAATTGCTCGGCACCAGTTTCCAAGAGCTTGTTGAGTTGCCTGGATCTAACACGATGGCGACTCCAGCTAGGATCCAATGTTCCGCGGTGTGGGAACATTTGATGGGTAAAGTCACTGAACAGCACTGCCGAGCCTTGGGGACAAGAGACAAGAGATATGTTGATTAGGTATGGTTTAGATACAATGAAAGTTACAACCAAGATATTCGACCGCAAAATATAAAGCTCGAAAATACAAGGAAACTACAATGCGCTTATGTGATCATATAGAATAGCGCACATGGCTTGGACCGGACTCATTCAAGACCCTAACATAACATCAAACTAAACAGAACGACCTAACTTTACCGACGCTGACTAATCCCATCACGACGGATCAAAAACTCTTTGCTTAACTCTGAGAATGACTTACGCACAAGTCATAGAAACTACTAGGGACACACAGAAATTTTGTGGGCACCCTGCAGTCGAAACATCAGCTATTGCAACTAACAACAGTAGTCTTCAAGGCTTCCCTTTTCAGCACAAACATATCACGCGCACAAAATGCGCTCTTGATATTTAAAGCTGAAGTTTTGAACAAGAATTAAGCAAACACTTACCCTATTCATAAACACTGGGCAGTGGTAGATTTCCGTTTTTTCTGCCTCGTTCCTCTCATCGGATAGAGGCTCTTCCTCATCCTCACGAATGACAGTAGAAACAAAGAGGTCTGGTAGTTGTGATATTGCTGACCTGATAGCAAAGAGGAAAACAGCAGTAATCGGTCGTTAAACAAACCTTTGAATTGATTGGATAGTTAACTTGTGACATCAATTTTCGCGAATAAAACGTTTATCTTCTTTCATAACAAAGGCAGTATCGACTCTCAAGAAAAAACTGTCTATTTTCCAAGGAGCCGAATGGTAACACTAAAACTAACAAAACTTACGTCGGTTCTACGAGGCATTCTCTATCGAGGTCCAGAGACGCACCCTCAATATACAGCCCACTAATGACCAGGCCTTGCTCGGTCTCATCTTTTCTGTCGTCACGCGACAAGTAGGACTTTGCCAAAGAACAACGAAGTTCCACCTTTGAAAGATTCACCAAAATTTGTGGTAAATATGAATACAAACACAGAGATATTATCTTTACAATCATCCATAAGAAAAAAAAACAACAGAATCAGATTCCGTATGATATGGGAAATATATCGAAATTTATATTTAGTTTCCCTTATTATCAATACATTTATAATAGCACATAACTGTGATCTGTCGTCAACGATAAAAATACAACGCAAGTACTAGACACCAAGTGGTTCTGGATCACCTTAGACTAAAATTTAGGAATGCCCCTTCCGTTTCGTTTGTGATCGGTGGCGCAATATGTAACTCTCTTCCCTCCACTCTCCCCCTCCCTCCCCTCCCTTCCCACCCTCAACTCCTTTTCTCCTCACTTCCTGTCAAGCTTTGAAAATAATAATCAGGACAAGCCAGGGACATCGGCGAAGGATTCATCCATTAGACTTCCATACAGCTTTCATAAAACATCTCTATGGTGATTATGATAGAACTTTTTCTTGTGACTATCCCAACGCGAATTACTCCCATCGTAACAATGTTTAACTGAATGATACTCTCGATCGCTTTGGAAAAAAAAAAAAAAAAAAAAAAGGTACAACTTTACCTCGTCCACTCTACATCCAACCATCGCAGCCTTCTCATGTTTTAATGATGTTATCAGTGCTACCGGATTAGCCAGGCCACCAGGCCAGACGGAGGTAAGCTGACCACGCCCAACCAAGGGCTCCGAGTTTGGATTTGGAACAACGCCACGTCGCACCCATTCATTAAGCTGCTTGTGGCGACGATTAAAATCTGTTTGGAAGGAAAAAATGTTTAGTGGAAATTCTTCCGTCTTATCTTTTTTACATAAATGACAATCACCGATTTCACGGAGAAAACTCTCAAAATTACCGAAGCAAATTGAAGATTCGACTTAAAGAAGAACTTCTGAATTTCTTTTTGTTTTAACGTCTACTTCAGATTTTGTTCCAAAGTCTGATTTGCATTTTTCCTTTTTCGCTGCGATACACTCCTTTCAGATTAAGAAAAGATAACAAGGGTTTCTGATGTCTTATCAAATTAACATTTAAGTGATACACGTTATTCCTCACAGAAGCGCAAATCCATAATTTTCAACAAGCTTCCCCCTCGAATAACCAGTTCACGCCCTATGGAGAATATGCATACTGTTTTTAGGGTGTTAGGATAAGGGAAGTCAATGGAAAATGCATACTTGGTGGAGAATTGCAGGTTCTGTGAAAAAAAAAGGAAAAAAGGAAAGAAAAAGCGCATGCATTACCTTTGAGCCAGGATGTTAAACTGTGGGGGGAGGGTTGAGCATGCGGATGCAACCAATCACTAGGCACCATGTCCTGTTGAAGCGCGTCAACAATGCGTGCCAGGTAAGTTGGGATTGCTGGTGACCCTCCTAACACACACTGCTCCAGAATTTGCAAAGAGTGTCGAATGTGATAAAGAAGGCAGTTAAACCATTGGCATTCCTGAGAAGGAAAGAGAGAATATTAAGTGACGAATTTCCACGTTCATAAGTAGTAAACAGACAACGAAACAGTTTTATTTTGAGTTCATGGGCTTGCACAACCACAACTTATCAAAGGTTATAATTGTAACAAGAAAGAATACATCGGAACACGACTTTGGTTCCGCCTGAAAAAATGCTCTTATAACTTTTGTATTGGTTACCATCGTTTAAGGTCCACTCCTATTCAGATAATCCGTGAGTGGAGGTTCCCATTACCAAAATTAGCTTGTTTGTGAGCCTAAAACGCAACCACCATCAAAACCTTTTCCGGTGGCTTATCATTAAGAATCTTCATTTACATCATCATTGCGCAAATACAACCTAGTTAAGCGACCTGGCCTCCCACGAGTCTCCTCTAACGCAGTGGTAGGGTATCCGAAATAATAAACAGGAAGGTCCTAGGTTCGACTCCTACTGGTAACAGTGGGGGTTCTTTTTTTTCGATTATCCCTGTATCATTCACTGAACAACGTCATCTTTCACCAAAGTCGCCACGCTTGACATTTACCATCCTCATTTACATCATCATAGCGCAAAAATAAATGTCACATATTTGTACCTTTAGTAATACGTAGCTCATAGACTCTGATAAATGTTCTTCGCTCCCAATACTACTCCCAGACTCTGAGTAAACTGACAAAGCTCGCAGCTGAGACAGCACGCGAGGAAGAAGTTGAGTGACAGGCATGGCTCCCTCGCCTTCTATTTTTAATAACGTTGGGAGCTGTTCAAGACACATGTCCATTGAAGCACGCAAGCGAGGCATGTCGACTTTGTTGTCCAATACGGATTCCAGAGAAAGCGCAGTAGTGTTGTTGATGTCTCTGTACAGCTTGTCTAATTTGCAAATAAATTCCGAGGCACTGTGAATTCAGTAAGAAAAGAATCTAAGCATTTCAAGGTAATAACTTTTAAAGGAACGATGCGCAGAAAGCAGCCTATATTACTAATGCAACAAGGGAACGTCAGTGTGGCGAAAACCATCGTAACGTATTTTGAAAAGAAAGCTTGTAGGTACACTAACATATCAGCAAAACCCAATTCACAGCTGAATTCGCATTTTCAAAAAAAATTGGAAAGACTTATTCTTGGATACAGATATTTTTAACGACTTCGTTGATAAATGAGCTCAGCTGTGAAGACCATTCCCCTTTTTCTCATCCTGAGAGAGTTTAAGTATGTACTGATTAAAATAATCTGAAATCAAACACTGATCGTCTTCGAAACTAAACTCACCGCGCTTCATTATATTCCCGTTCTACACAGATATTCAGCCCCAGGGCCTTTACAGCGCTTATATCTGTGTCTTCGGACTCAGTCTTCTCACGGAACCATTTGCTGTAATCGGTCGGGTCCACATTAGTTGGTGGCACTGGCAGGCTAATTGAACCCAAGGTGAGCGAAGAGTGCTGTTGAAGAGCAGTCTCGCTTATCACTTGTCGGGTCAGGATTTCCACGAAACGACGATCCCATGTGTCTGTAATTTTCCCGCCATAAATTCCCTACAAGGATGTAAGCATTCGAGCAATTCTAAATTGAGAATAGACTACATTCATTCCTCTCCTTCCGCGCCTAGTATTTCATCAGGTTTCGCACCCTTTTCACCACACCCCTTTATACTCATGAAGGTGACTATACCGCTGTAGCTAATTCAGTAGCACATTAGCTCGTGTTACGAACGTTAGCGATTGTTCAAGTACATGAAATATCAGCTCGTTGCAGCATTTAAATAACCTTTATTATCTGCCCCATGAATTGAAGTATTCCTCAAACCAGCCGACGCTGCATAACAGTTTCAATACAAAACTTATGATTCATTTCTTAGACTGGGAGTTGACTTAATACCAGATTCGCGTTGAAAGAAAGTCCTCATCGATAGGTTTCGAATTGTTTAATAATTCCCAAAATCTTACCCTGGATATGACATCTGAAAGCGCCTTCGACTGTGACGCTCTTAAACCCTCTTCCTTTTTGGCCCAACCAATCACCATCTCAAACGACGTCAGTAAATCACGTGTTGTAATAGGATATCGTCGGCTGGATGCTCGCGTTCCCAGCTGATGGCGCATGAGCAGAGCGCTGTGATTGACGCACAGACCAAACAGAGTTGAACGAACTGCGAGGGACTGGTCACGAGCTTGTTCCCAGTAGGCCTGAGGAACGGCCTGTTAAAATAAAAATTAAAAAAATTTAAAAAAACACAGACAAGTTTAAAAAATATTCAGCAAACGATCTTTGTATAATGCTTTGTGTATATGAAAAATTTTTCACCATACCTCAAGTGTGGAGGTGATGACTTTCTTCAAGTTCAGGCCGGTAGATGCCAGGGGCTGATACACAGGAACTTCTCTTTGGACCACGTCCCAGGCCAACTGGTGCGAGAACAACAGAAGTCCCACTGGTAAGTGATCCGCGGGCTCACAGAGAAGGAAAATTCGCCATTGGGATGGAGCGGAAGACGTCTCTGAAGAGAGAAGAAAGAGATAATCAAACAGAGTTGCTGTCAGAGGGTTACTTCCTTTAACGTCTTAGAGATCAAATTGCAGTTACCTTGAAAGTCAGATATTCCTTCAAAACATTGTCAGAAGACACAAGCTACATGATTACAAGAATCAATGTACTTCTCTTAAGGTACATTGGATATCTTAAACGCTGCGTTTAGCAGGTGTAGTGTTTTTATATCAAAGGTCGTGAGATCTACGTTAAAAATTCAACGCACCCGCTTGTAACTGAAGTCTGGAAAGACGATTGTAGAGTTGCTCTAACCAGTGGCGGGAAGCCAGTTGAAGGTTCTCAATCACCAACCACGTATCAGTCCGGACGGCGGTTGCTAAGGCAACATCAATGCTTTCTTCCTGTCCGTGTCCAACAGATATCTGCTGACACTGCACATTGTGAGCCTGAAATGTTAAAAGGCAAGAAGTTTTGTTCGTTACAGGGACAGCTGTAGTTTCTCTGGCGGAGTTAAGAACGTGTTTAAATCGACCGTAAGTTATTAAAGAATGAAACCCTCTTAGATAAGGAACCAGTAATTATTTGCCACCGGGGTGGGGGTGAGTTTAGAGGCTTTTGGTTGCATTACTATAAAATTTACTTGATCCCCTCTAAGGCTCGGTAATACTCGTACAAGCCCCCATTGGAAACAAATTGTTTATGGCCCCCCTTTACACTCTCTTGGCGACGACTGATCACCCCTCTATTGCCCCTGAAGACCTGTGATCCCCTTTAGAATCCTCCACCACCCCAACGAGCGATAAATAACGACGGGTCCCTACAGTGGGTCTCTTCGTTTAGTCCGCACCTTTTGACAGTTAAAGTTTCCTTAGCTCTGTCAGGTTTGTTGACAAAGTAAAGAATGCAATGGGAGCGACGCGATAAAAACTGTTGTAATAACTATCTGCAAATCCTGTTTGAAGCGGTGGCATTGAAAGTTGACAATGAAACAGTTACTAAAAAAAGAAAACCAAAAAAATGAGTATGATTTTTTTTTTCTTCGTGTCCACTGATTCTTCATGAATTGGCGAAAGTGTTTCGCTTTTGTTGGAGTAGTTTTTTGGATGAGTCGCAGACGTGCCATTTGAACGAAAACCTTCCACTAGGAAAATGTCCTCCAATCAATCTGGAAAAGCTTGGGTACTATGGGTTTGTCGTATTTCATATTAAATTCTTTATCGAAACTTTTCGAAAGCCTCTAGGATAGTATTCCCTTTCTTCCAGCATTCGATAATACATTAAGACATAGGAAAGTAAAAAAACCGACTAGTTTGAACAACCGAACGAAAGAGAACCACAGCACCTCAATTGACACAGCCATCACAATCAGTATAACGAGTGTTACCTCGGCCATCCGCCGTATGCTGTCGACTGGAGAAATCCTGAACGGCGTATTCACGGTCGAGTGATCTGGCATCAGTACAAAAACTGGAATCGAGTGCTTAATACTGGAAAGGACTTCATCAAAATTCGGAAGAGCTCTCTCCATCAAGTCTCCAACTTCACTCTCCACAAGTATACGCATAGCACACTCAAATCTGTCGGATCGCAAGCAGCGAATCATCAACAGTTTATGAATTGCACTCAAGGAAGTGGCGTCGTCTGTGTCTCCAGTTTCTATAGGCAGCTGCCTCGTCTCAGGCCGCTCGTTTTCGTACCAGTCCCTCCATGGGCCAGGCTTAGACGCAATGTGAGTACAGATACCGTCCAAAGGACCCTTAAGACTAGAGACGGCAAGAACCAGCTCCCAGGACTCTTTCGGGATCCAGCTCGGTTGAAGGAGAGTGGGATCGAAGTCTGATAGTGCAGGGACTGGGGATGGAATCGTGCCTAAAAATAGAAGGGGACGGGGAGGTTAGTTTAGGAGTGAGATCCTGGTAAGAGACGTTCCTTATGGTCTTACCTGAGAGTAGGAGTGAGATTTCTTGTTGTGTTGGTCCGCCTTCAGCACGTTTTTCCATTTTGTAGAGAGTGAGCAAAGAGGCGAACAAAAGACGGTGATCTTGGTCTATGCTCCTGAGAGAGAAAATATCAACAAAGTTATCATTGCAACTTCGTGATTCCTGCTCTTTTTCGAAATTGGGGAACAAATGAAAAAATAAGGAAGAATTTTCTACAGAGTTTACAAGTTTGAATCAACCGTTTCTTAAAAATCTTCAGTTTTGCAACGTGATAGAAGAATCTTCGCGAATGTCCATTTATTTTTAGTAATTTGCCGCTTACAAGAACTATTACCTGCTAACATGACGATAAAATGACTGACTGAGTGAGTCCGTGAGCTGATCACTCTGTTCGGAACTGAGTGCTGTATATTCTACGCCAGGAGAAGGCAGCTGTACTTCAGCTGGCAGGACAACAGACATTCGCTTCCGTAATCTCTTACGAGAAGAACTTCGCTCTCCTTCACCTATGGAGTGAAAGAAATTAATAAGTAATTTGTAATACTCTTGCCGCAAGAGCTTAGGAGCTAGAACTGTTACCTCTTTTGCCTTTGCCAATAAACGAACATATTTTAGTATCAATCTGAACTTGAAATGGAATTACTTCGAAATATTCAACCCTGTGCTCACCAAGAGAAGGAAAGCCTTCAGATACGATGTCTTCCTTAGATTACTTTGAGTGGTTTCCCTATTAGTCACAATCAATGTATCACTTGTCCCCATAATAATATTGGTACGTTGTAAAGATAACAGTTTCAACAACTTCGTAAAATTCTAAGATTCTAAATTCACCGAACAGCCAGTAATTAACGAACGAATTTGTATCGTACCAATCTCAAGCAATTCACAATTTTCTACCAAGGTCCTAAAAACAAAGAACTCTCTTCCTGTTTCGGTCACTCGTTCGTCAAGTCTTTTTAGTCATAAGACGAAAATGCAAGAGTTTTTACTCAAATTATCATTGAATTGGCCAAGCAGCACATTCGCAGCACTGATTTTTTTAAAATATATTGTTGAGTGTGAGGTGACCTTTCCCATTTAAACTGTTAAAAGGGCAAATAAAAAATAATGATGATGATAACTTCGTTTAGCTCTAGCTTTGAATGAACGTTTTGAGGAGCACGACATACCCTGGACAGGTGTGTCTGTTCCTTCTTTTTCAATTGCCTTGATCAATACGGCAGTTCGTGATTCTTCCTTAGTTCCTTTGGTTTCTTCATCGTCCGATTCGTATTCAAGTCTCTCTTTGGATGGCTCCACATCCCGTCCGATTGCCGAGCGGAACAGGGACAGGAAGTACCCCAGGGAAAAGCGGTACTCATGTTGTACACTGGACAGGGAGCTCAACAAGGAGAACATCATCACCGCACGCTTGGCCAGCGGTTGGAAAAGTTCGCGCAGAGTCTTAAGTCTGTTAAAGTTGTTCAAGGTGTGAGTCAGACGTTGAGCAACCTGGAGCGACAAAAGGAAGCACGTAACTGAAGTCAAAATGTTATCTGTTTGTAACCCATAATGCCTTTAATTTGATGCAACTCAATGCGATTTCAATTTTGAGAGAGTTTATCAAAGGAAACGCACAAAGCTACGTATGAAATTAAAGTTCTGCGCGATCCTCAGCTCTCTTAAAAGCTTACACCGATAAAATGGACTATTCGTCCAGAAAAGCACTCCTAATGAAAGTGATAAAGCGGCTGCTTAAGCACACACTTGCCCACACGCTATGGTGCCCAGTCTAACAAGCCAAAACTAACACTCACCTCACTCCTACATTTGACCAGTTCAGCTATGATCTCAGTTTCCTCCCATATATCTGTCCCTTGCCGTTCTGTGACCAGCCCCATCAACTTGCCATCGATGTTCTCTAGTAGCCTCAACAACTCCATCATTACCATCAAGCTTTTGCGGCTCTCAACGTAAAGTTCAGGCTGTACGCGGTGAAAAGCCTCGATCCGGATCTCCTCGGCTAAGGCCTCCCCGTCCAAGCGCAAGTTCACCATAGTCGTGATTGAAGACACTTCCGTGCTGAAGGCCGGTCGAGAGGATCTGGATACCAGGTATAAGCGGAACTCCGGGTGACACATGACGCGACGGGAACCGAACTTTACCATCTGAAAAGCTGGAAGCAAGCAAGTGAAATGAATTATTTTAAAGTAAATATTAGTAAGTAAATATTTAATAATAAATAATAAATAATAAATATAAATATTAGTAAGTAAATATTATGAACCGGGATATCAAAACCCTTCTTTTCAAAAGGAGGCCCAGAGCAAAACCTTTGGTGTGAAAATGAGTTTCGTTTGGATGAGAACGACGAATTTTAATTATTTCCATATTGGAGGCTTTTTCCTTGCGTTCCTTTTTAAACAGAGGCTATGGAAACTCGGATATGTGTATTGCATACCTTTGTTGGTTGGCTATTGTGCTGTGAAATCTGCATTCCTTTTAAGTGGTGGATATTAATTACATTTTATCAACACTAGAGAGTGCACTACGATTACACTACCAAACTATGGATATCTCGTCCAAAAGAAAAACTATATATCTCTAATGAAACGATGTGTTCTCACGGCTAGGATCTAGTACTTAAAGAAACCACACCAAGAACAAATCACGGTTTAGAAAAACTGAAAAATTCACTAAATGCAAAGCACAAGTACCAAACATGAGACTATGTCAAACCTTTTTCTGTCTCTTCACTGATACATGTAGTGTTGTGATAAATAAGAGGCATGAACAGCGAGTCAATATCGCCATCGATATTATACAACACCAGGGCTGTACCACTTGTTATCGCCTTTTCAATCTTCAGAATCGCAGAAGGATCACTAAGGGGGGAAAAAACGACTGATAATCAATAGGCAAAGCATAAGCTTCCACGTTAGGGCTTCATTGCAATCCTCTACAAATGTATCTGTTTGACATTAAGAAAGCCAACCATTTTGGGTGATTCATTCGTGCACAAAATACTTTAAAAGTTTATATAGCGACCCGCTACTAGTACGGAAATATAACGTGACTATGAGATTAAAGATCGAAAACTTAACTTCTTTAAACTGCGAGAATCTAAAGGATTCCCTTTGTTCCAGCGAATACTGAAAAATTGAACGTATTTACAAAATATTATCTGAGTTACTTTATGCAATTCGACCACTACTGGGCCAAGGGAATTCCTTGTATAAGATGTTCTTGCTTTTCAAATTCTCAAACTAAATTCTGTTTGCATACCTCTCCGCCAAATCAATCTCCAGAAAGTTCTCCCCATCCTCGATGATCCTAATCAGCTCAAGTCCCTTATCGTAAGGGTCCACGAGCAGAGGGACACGTTGCCATGACGACTTAGACAAGACCGCATTCTCAATTTTTCTTGGTCCCATTCCTTTAGTGACTAGCCTCCGCACATGATTTTCGCCCAGTAAAAGCTTGAGTACAGCTAAAACAAATGAATCATATTCTGTAAGTTTTGTTCGACGCAAAGCTTGATCTCTACCGACAGACATCATGTACTCCTCAGATTCGCCTTCTTGTTGCGCTTGCGGTCCACTGTCCTCTTTCTCGCTTTGTTCTACGTCTTGCTTTTCTATTTCTGCGCTGTGTGGTCTTTCATGGTCACTTCCTGGTTGAGTATCGTCTGTATTCTCACCTATTAAAAAACACAAAAGGATTCTTATTACTCAGTAAGGCGGCTTGGCGGGGTGGCGCTAGGTCCTCGGGCCAAAAATTCTACTTTACCAATCAATTGAAATTATTTTTCCATACAATCGGGTTGAACTCCTCCGATAGCCTTGTCCCCCTTTCCAGGATTTTTAGCAATTTACATCCCAAAGTAACCTATTCGTGTGTGTATTAGAGTGCCCCAGTTATAGCAATAGGCACAAGTTGATTCCAGGAGAAATCAAGGTGCCCTTTGAAAAATAATTTTTTGTCGTGAAGTGTCGCGACGTTTAGATTTTCCTTGTTGGAGAGAAAGTTAACGTATATTTTACCATTATTTTCATTCCCCTGTTCCTTTCCTTCGTCTTCTGCATTTTCCTGTAGCTGCGCTTCAGCTGTTTCCTGTCCGCCTTCAGTCATTTTAGCGCTTCGCACGGTCCGTAACTGCTCCATCATGAACATTTCTGCACCGCCATGCGGACTATTGCTGTCCACAACCAACATCACACCCCGCTCGTCCAAACACTGGGGCCAGTGCACTGTCAACATATCTCGGCGGAAATTGAACGAGTAGGGGCCTAAGTAGGTGGCAAACGCAGCTGCCATGGCCACGCCACCTGCAACAGCCGCTACACGTGTGTTGATGGATTCGAGGAGCTGCAGCCATTTTTGACGACCACTTGAGAGCACCTTGTGAATAAAGAAAACCGCTTAAGGATGGCTTCTATGTTAGACAAACACCGCCAAAAGAGCTAAAGGGACTTTGCTTTAAGCCATAGTGTATCTTCCAGAAACAAAAGACTATTCCCCAACAAATAGGTGATACTTAGAGTATGTCGTGCGCTTGTCACATTTGAGCCTTGTATGAGACCTTGCTCGCTAAGGATTTCCTTAAGGCTCAGTTGGTAGAGCATCTGACAAATTTGGGCCCAGCTCGAGCTTAATACTAAGCAACTTTCTATAAGAAGTAAATAGCAGTTCAAACGAATAAACGTAATACAGTTATTCATGTTTGGCAACACAGTTTAACATAACAACAAAAACATGATATAATTATGTTTATTTAATTAGCTCACCTCTTCAAAGTAAGCTGCTTGGGACAGCTGCGAGTCCAAAGTCTCTGTGAGCTCGTACTGCCGGCACTTGTCAATCGACGCCTCCTCGTAAGCTAAGGCCAGAGATCTTAAGCGTTCTTCAAGGTCCTTCAGTTTACTCTCCATAGAGGACAATTTTCCCACAGCGAGCTCAACTGCAGAGGACGTTTCAGACACTTTCGCGTGAAGCGGTTTGACTTTGGACTGCATCATGCGATGGTATCTTGAAAGGAAAAGGAAGTGTCAAAAAGCAATCTACAATCAGTGAAGAGTTGACCAAGGCGCGAAATCGACGGAAAAAAGAATGAGAAGGCAACTCAGGCACCTATGCCCAGGGATCGACTCTTGGGTCCGACACGGGTTCATATGTGGGGTGAGTTTGTTGTTACCTTTCGGCCTTACTCCAGGGGAGTTTTTGCTGGTTTTTTCCCTTGACAACTAAAACAACTACTTTCAACGATTCGATCTGAGACGAATGGACTAAGAGCCACCTCATGATGTGACCCTTCTTAAATCTATTTCATCCCTATTTTCATAATATATCTTTAATCATCCTTAATCAATATGTGTAAAAGGGTAAGTTTCTAAAGAAACTGTGGTGCTGCGTCGGAGCGCTCTGACGAAGGGCTAATGCTCGAAACGTCAGCTTTTTTACCCTTTACGGTGGCTAATTTACGTTTTCAACCCAGTTGTTAATACTAAATTACCTGTTAATCAATATGTGCATTCGTGTTTTCAAAGCTCGACTCTTCCTTCAAGATATCACGTTTAAAGATTTATCTGTCATCAATTTCATACGCAACGTGATACCAAGTTCAGCAAGGTTCACACAAAATTGTCGCACTCGTCTTCATATTGATGAATTATATTCCGGTAGCCAGGATCTTGAAAATTACTCAGGAAAAATCCGTAAATGCACGATTTGGTATCACTTTAGTGTCTGGCTTTTACCTGACTACTCCTCTGACCCACTGTAACAGGGATCCCACTGCAGGGTTACTGGTTTTCTTCTCAAGATAATCGCCAATGAAGTGAGGTTTCTTTAGGTACGGTTCCACCACTTCTAACGTGCTCGGGGTAAGTTCCATCTCGTCAAACACACCAAGTTCCTCCCGAAACCTGAAATTGAGGTAATAACATTATAAAAATTAATACATGAAAGATAAAGGTATAATTTTCATCAATGATAGCATCTTAACATGCTAATTAGTTGAATTTAGCCTAAAATATTGAAATCGGATTTCTACAAATAACAGAGGGAAATCGTTGGGCCATGGACGAGATAAATCAGTAATCCTTACTCGTATGTGATACCAGGTCCAGAAATCGGTCCCAGGCCACCACTATGTGAGGGGATCGCTGTTATCCTCTTATTTCAGAAAAGTTTCCTTTCAGCGCCCAGAATTAAAATCATGAACATTATTTACGGCCTCACCTGTCTAAATTGGCCATAAGGCGTTTAGCTCCCTTGTTCCATGTCAAGTCAGATGATGGCGATTTCACTGCAAAATGAAAAGAGACCAATAAAATACATCTGCGTCCCAATGACGAATCGAACTTCAGAGGATCAGATTCTGCGCTCCTATGCCCTGGTGAGCTGAGACATCACCAGGTTCATAAATGAGTCACGTTCTGCATTTTGTTGGGACCAGAAAATTATTTTCGTCTTCGCTAAATGTATGATTCGTTGAATTTACTTACAGTCTATAGCGCCGCTGAAAATATACCTAAGGCGCAGTTTCTCACGCCATGTGCGTTTTGCCGTTTTTCGCCAAGTTTAGTTTTTAGCTAAGGATTTTGAGACTTTCCTGTAAGAAGCAATAATTTCGAATCGTCGCCGGATAAATCCTGGTACGTAAATCTTTGTTTACAAGAATACAAGGAGTCTGGACGCATGCAAGTTGTTGTGTCATATTCATTTTCACCAAGGGTACGCTGGCCAAGGGTACACTAAACCACAACTTGCCATGCTCACCTATAATGATGATGGCAGCCAAGAGATCTTCAATTTCATTATCTGGTTTCTGCAGAGCGCGTAATTCTGCCAGTCCCTGTCCATCGAGGTTCTTTAACACTCTTTTGGTATCAGATACGACAGCAGCAGCCTTGAACACCGCTCGCTCATGTGCTATTTGGTATTCAGGTAAAGCCTGGGAACGACAAAAGACTTAATTTCGCGGAACATTCAGAACTCATTTGGATCTATGATTGTCCAAGTGACCCGAGAATACTTAAGTTTTGCTCTGTCAGGCTCTATCAATGGTCGAATAAACTCTTTCCATTATCTCAACCAACTCCGCCACAAATCTAAAATGACTCGCAAACTCGCATATCGATTTGTGCGTCAATTTAAAAGGTCTTAAAGGAGATAGCTGAGAAATTGGCAAACGTATTGCATGTTAAAAAAGATGTTGCTTTGCTCCTTTGCGTTCACTTGTGTATCTATTCCACTCGACAAAAACAGCCATTTGTCTACCAGCTAAGAAAATATTATTTCCAAAGGGCCCAGTCTCTCGTACGATACGAACAGTTACAGTCAAGCTGGTTTACTATCGCTTGAAAACGACTAAGTGTAGCTACTGCGTTTGGAATTATCGATTTACCTTCTTTAGTTTCTGTATTCTCTCTTGCTGTCGCTTCACGAGTCTAACTTGTTCCTCAGCTATCGCTTTGTCCTTAAAAATAAAAAAAAAAGCATATTCTCTTTATCATACAAAAAGCTCCCAGGGCCCATACAATTTACTAACGCTGTTCAATAAATAAAATCGCATTTTCGAAGTACTATCTGTTACCTGACCAATCTGCAGCAGTAACTGAAGATTTCCCTGAAAAGATAGAAACGAAAATAATTACAATTAAATCAAAGCCAAACGAAAGCTGAGAGCAATAGCATGAAGTTGAAGGCCGGTCTAACCAACACACTTCAAACGGGAGATATGTATTCGAATTACAGAAGCTACAGACACTGACAAATGGTTGACGAAGTGTTGCTTATACAGAGTTGAATTTTTCGTCAGTTGTACAGAAACTGCCTATTTCTTCAATCATAAGTTAGAACTGTCCAACTTTCATAATATTTAATTGTTGGTTTGTTAAAGTTAAGTCGCAGAAGCGGTGGCAGAACGAACGAAAAAGTGAAATTTCGAGCTGAATTTACATTCGGTGGGAACAAACCTCTTTCTTCTGTTCAAGCACCATCTTTTCATGTCCAAGCTGTGTCTTCAGTTGTTCTGCCAGCTGTGTTCCTCGCTCGATAGTCTGAAGAGCTGCCGCCATTTGTTCATGTTCGCTTCGTAAAACTTGTTGGCGCTTTTTGATCAAACATACAAACCTGGAAAAATGAATCGTTCAAAACAACGTTGAAAGTATTTTGCTCTTGTACCTTTTGGCCTCTGGGTTACTAACATTGAATCTCGTGACATTGAACACATTTTCAGAGTTAAAGTTACACTGAATGTCTCTTTCAGCCTTGAGTTATTGTAGCTATTTTTTACCCTGATACAATGAGCTCCTGTTCAACATGTGGCTTCATAGCTCAGTTGGTAATAGCACCCGACTAGTATCTAGGAGGCCTCGGTTAGAATCTTATCGAAGCCTGGATTTTTTTCAGGCTTATCTTCTGCAATCGCTTAAATTGCAGCTCACAAGGCTTCAATCGATTTTTTTATTCTCACCTGAGAAAGCAAATAAAAATTTCGCAAAATTAGCTTTAAAAAGGCTGGTTACCTCTCTACGAAGACTTCAAATCCCGTATTGGTTATATGTCCGTATGTTCCACACTGTTCTTCGCCAGAATCCTGTTGTTTTATGGACAAGTGCATGGAAGCCAGCAAGTGGGCTAAATTTTCTGTCTGCACTGGTGAGAAAGTCTCGACATCTAGAGGGAATGACAAAAATGATCATGTATCATCACACACCAATCAGAGGCGTATATAAGTAAGCAGGAGCCACGCCTTGCATTTTGGAGTAGTTAACATGAAAAGCATGAATGAAGTTACCTTTGAGGACATGATACGCATGCGTCACCAACGCTTCCTTAGACCAGTGGGGTAAGAGGATGATGGACACTGTGTTCATTAAGGAAGGAAAATCACGGCAGCGCTTCTGAAACCTTGGTCCCAGTGATGACACGGTCAGAATAACACGGAGGTTTTCTCTGACGGTCCTGGGGAAGAGAAGTTAAAGTATTTCAGGTTAGAACAGCAGCTGGTATCGCGTTTTCGATGAAATGTTCTATTTTATCCCATGGACGCTTTGGCCTTCATAGCTGAGTTTGTTTAAGCATCACACCGCGATGTCATAGGATCAATCCTGGCAGTTCTGACTATCTGTAAAGATTCTTTAAACATCGGTTCACAACCAGTAACATTGAGATCTTAACGAGATACACTTCCCAAAACATGTTTCGAGACACAAAAAAAGCAGCGTAGAGCTTACTTGAGGAAGAAATCCCAAGCGACATCTCGTGTGTACGCCAGACCGGCCTGCGTGACTTCAGTTCTGACAGCGTTGATAACTGACGTCTGTTCTTCCTCGGTAAAGAGATGCGATATTGAGGAGGACACTAGGAACTCGCTTACATGAACAAGGAAGTCTTCGTCAGTCAAATCTGACTCCGGTAACAACAGCATTAAATGTTCACCCTACAAAAGGCATTAAAAAGGGTTATTTTGGTTAGAAATTCTGAACTCTTAGCGTGGCGATTTCAATGTTGGTATTGAATTGAACTGGTAGCTGATGATCACCTTGACACCTGCCCTTGTGTAGGCCGACACCAAATCTCCCTTGAAACTGTCCAGTGTGTATCTTTCAGAGGTCGTCAGAGCTGAGGAGTTGATTCTGAACACAGAGTAACCACACAGATGAGCTGCGAGCTGGGCCAAGTTTGTACTCATACCAGGAGAACCCTGTGATATCAACAGGGCGTGACCACATTCATGGGGGCTCTGGAGAACTCTGACCAGGCGGCAGATGGTTTCCATCACATCCTGTCAACGAGAAAAACTTGACAGTCACTACCAATTACTTTCCATGCCTAATAATGGCTAATGAAGAAAGAGTGCGTGATTAAAGAAGAAGACTTTGAAAAATATTTAACATTCAAAATTTCCTACTAAAGCCTTCTGCATTGATATAACCAGTCATTGTGAATTAGGCAGAGAGACAAAAGATGCATCTAAAAGGGAACTTCACCTCATAAAGAGTAATTTTAAGTCTTGGAAAGTCCTTGTTATATTCTTCAATCCCGTGCTCCAACACAGCTTGAACCTAAACAACGCAAAAAAAATGCCGTTGAGAACATTGATAAATCTCATTTAGCAGAAACATAGAAAGCTAACCAATAGCGACATCCTCGGTTTCTTTCTAAGGTAACAAGTTAAGCGTAATGGTTTGGGTCCTGAGCCTGGGGTCACTTGTGGGCTGAGTTGGTTGTTGATTTTCGACCTTGCTATGAAGGCTTCCTTTCAGTTGTCTAGTTTTACCCCTCCACAAAAACCACCACTCCAAATTCAGACTTAAACACTCTTAACTCAGAAACTCCCCACGTTTCTTCTTAGCCCAGTATTACCTGAGAGGCATGGGTTCGAATCCCGTCGAAGCCGGAATTTTTTCAGGCTTCTTTGCTGCAATTGCTTCAATTGCAGTCCATCCGCGAGGATCATTTCTTTACTTGAGAAGAAAGAAGGTCACTTCGTAGATATGCTATTTCATCAATAATTAATCATCCCATAGCGACCGAATGTACTTTGCAGAGAACTAGAGTTCAAGCTTACAACACTCCTCTCGCCTATTCATGAAAGGATAACCCACCTTTGCCATATCGGAGACATTTCTATACGACAAATGTACGTCATCTTCGGCACCTTCCGACGATCCAGCACCAATCACCTCACCCGTGCTTTCTTCAGAATCCACTAGGTTCGTGAAGAAAGGCGTGGGGCTGGTCACAATCGACAGCTAAAAGAAAGTAGAGGCAATCGACAGATTTAAGAGTACATATTGCAAAATGAAGCACAGACTAAAGAACGAACGCGCGAATGCGCCGGAGAAGGACCGAAGGACCGACCGACCAGTCGAACAAACGAACATGAAATAAAGAATGACCGAGTGGAATTATGAAAGAAAACCGAATAGACACGAGCAAAAATATTCAAATTGGGATCGATACGAGAACAAAGTCTGTAAACTCCACAAAAAAAACAGAAACCATTCATACATATCAACAAAAAGAACTAAATACATGAACTAATCTATTCATGGCGTACAAAAACTTTCATACATACCTGTTCGTCCTCTGTAAAGCGTTTTTTAGCAGCATTCAGGAATGTCTGTTGAAATCTCTCCTTGTCGACTGAGTCAATCAAACGGCGCCCGTAGATCCAGTCACATTCATGTTTCCATAGTAACAAGAGGTCTTGAGAAGCGCAACCCGGGCGTAATGTAAGGCAAAGGTTTCTGAACAGAATCGAAAAGGAAGTTAAGATAAAACAAACCTAAGAAATTTAAGAACTTTTTTCCGCAATTTTAATTTCTACTAAGGCCGTACGGGTTTTCCACTTAAGCTAAGTTACCAAATATGTATTTTTTTAGCAAATTTTGAGCGAAGTTAAGAAAAGGAAAGGATGTCTACCGCCTTGTGATGCGCGTGGGGCAATAATGGGGAGTCCAAGTTCTAGGGTGTGAATCCACAGGGGGCCTCAGATTCAGTCTTTCTCTCTCGCTCATGAAAAAACGAATAACAACGTTCTTTACGTTTTAGTTATTTCAAGGTCCTCCCAGAATTTCTGAAAACGGAAATCTAACATGAGATTTTGTTTTTTTCCTTTGCATCGTGATTGGGCAAGAAAACTTGCGCAATTCTCTCAATCAATCAGATACAGAACTAAAACCAAACGTCATTTAGTCACATGCGTCCTCCCGCGCTTCAAAAAAATTGCGTGTTTTTACTTTATGTGTTCACTGGCCCCTTTAGAAATTTCCTTGGCCGTGGAGGTTACTCCGGTTTTCCTTTTAGACAAAAAGAGACTCAGTCCCTTAGTTCGATCTATCCTTCTACAGGAGAGTCTCTATAATTCCACACCTGAACACCATGGTCAAATCCGTCATGGTAAACATGTAGTGACATCTCTGTGACGTGGGCAGAAACATGCCCCGCAGGTGATCCTGGAGCTCTACCGTCACGTGACTAACGTCAGACAATAGATCCCGGATGGCCTTGTCGTGGTCACCGGTCCCGTGGTGTTGGGAATGACCCTCAGCAGCTTCTTGTGACGCATTGTCGTTAGTTGTGTGCTGGGACTGAGTTACATGAATTATAAAGTGTTTCTCAAGCTGTTGAGTGTAGATATGGTGCAGTTCATCTTGGCTAAAAGAGGAAATTAAAATTCATAACGTTAGGCTCAAATGTTACGATGCTATTAACCAAGAAAACCAGAGATTAGGGCTTCGTCTTCTTTTCAAGATCACTGGTATTTAACACACCTAATATAGGGACTTGACACGAAGACGGAGGTAATCTTCATGAGGCTTTTCACTGGGGCTTATCTCGTCATGATTACAGCGCAGTTAATCTGAAACCCCTCTAAACTACTTACTTAGGGAACGTGACGTTGAACAGCGCAAAGTGACGCAACAGTCGCCTGTTTAGTCGAGCTGTTGTAGGCGGAGTTTTTGGATTGTATGATGACAGGTAAGTGACGTCATGTATTTCCCGCCATTGGTTGGTTTCCGGGTCAATAACACCGCCATGATCAATGTGTTGGCGAACTAACTGCTGAGCGGTCTGGGCACCAAAATTGTTTGCCTACGAGACGAAACAAAATAACGAAGATTACGAGCTTTCAAATGATTTAAGGGAAATTTGCGTTTCTTTATGCTAATAACTAAATCAAGCAAGAGTTTCCCATTGCAACTTCACGAAAAAACGGCAACGTAAAAGAAAAAGGCTAACACTGACGTTATGGGGGACAACGACAAAATAGAGTTTTAACAGGCCCAATAGCATGATTCAAGGGCGGAGTATGGCCGAATAAGTCTAGAAATGTCTCTGTGACGATTTTTTTTAACCTAGTCACTAAATTTTGGATCTCCTAAATCACACGGCTGCAGTCTTCAGATGGACCTATACTGAAAGTTCAGAAATTCCCAAATATAGTGGTTAACTTACCCTGCTCAGATTAAGATCGTCAATCAGACAAGTTAACCTCTTGTTTCCTTTCGGTACGAAAGTTCTGGCGTGTTTCCATTCCAGGCAAGATGACAGTTCTTTCCACAAGCTTCTGGATGTGGTGAACTTATTACAAAACACTGTCAAGCTTAAAACCTCACCAATATCTCCACCGTGTTGTTTGATTCGATGACGTAAGATGGATGTCTTTCCGCAACCGGCTTCGCCAACCAGTAAAACCGGTTTTCCGCCATCGCTCAGCAAACCAACAAGGTGAGAAATACGCTGTTAACAAATTAAGGAGTTAAATTCTTTAAAACTGTACGCAATTTGATGTGGACCAAAATTCCTATTTAGCCTAAATAAGACAAAATGAGCATAATTCTGACCTCATTCTGTATCGTGTGAACATATGCTTCATTAGGAATGCCTTCAGCTGCTGTCTGTGAGTAAGGAGGAACTGAGTCGGCCCAGCTGAGGAATTCGTGAGTCTCGGGAAACACGTAGTAATTCCACACCTGTTAGAACAAAGAGAGTACGCCACTAATGAGAGTTTATCAGGTATTTGCTATATTTGGTTCAGACCAATGACAGGAAGGCAAATATGCTCTGTGCAGCCGCAGAAAGCACACTAGGGCAACATTGGAGGTGGCGCTGGATGTTGAAGATGAAAAAATAAAATGATTAAAAAGTGAACTAACAAGTTAGCAGCCCTGAAAGACAAACGTTAAACGTTAAAAGTTAACATAATGGCTGTCGAAAATTTCGGTTACAGCTAACCTCAAAAGTGCATAACTTCAAATGGGTAAGAAAATAACTTTCACACTGAGCCTAGTGGGGCGACTTGAAATACTGAGCGTGTTTGATGGTAACAAATTCTGAGAGCTTGCATAAACAGCCCTAATACATGAAAGTGTGGCCAGTGCCTCCACTGCTTATCAATACAAAGTTCTCTCCGAAGCCCTCGTTTCGGTAACTTCTAACATATCTAACCTCAACAATGCATTAATTTAACGGGGTGAGTGAATTAAACTCATACGCTGCGAAGGGGAATGATTTGAAGAATTCTTAGAACTTGCATAAATAGGTAAAATATACGTATGTGTTGCTGCTGCCTCCATTTCTTATCAATTTAAAGTTATTTCCCAGGCTCTTGTTGAGTTTAGTAGTTGTTACTACTTAGGGGGTGAGCACGAATAAATTGATCACCAACCTCTTCGTCTCCAGGGAGCATCACATAATCTTTCCACTTTTCTCTCCACCACTGACTGAAAAATGGACGATGTTCTTCCACTAACGTGCCACCAAACGCCCACATGGCAGAGTAGCAGAAATAATTTTCAAGCTCTGGTAGCATCAAGTCTGAATAGTTTGACATGATTGCCTACAAAATACAGATCGACATGCCGAAAGTAGCTGAAGTGAAACTATAAATTTCTCGCTGTCAATCCTCATACACACTGGAAGCTCTGGGCTTCAAATCTAAACCCCTGGAAAAGACTCTTCTAGATTATAATTTCAATGAAGGCTAACTGTGAGAGGAACAAAACAGAGTTCTCGGTATGTTATTGCTATCAAGATCGATCAACATATGTGATTCAGGTCAATCCTTTAAAATAAATTTATACCGTGACTTGATTTGCTAGTTTTGTACAAAGGAAAATTTCCTTTATCTTTCACAGTGCCCCTTTCTCCCCAGTACGATGTGTACCAATGAGGTGCTACGAATACTTTACAACCGTACTAACATCCTGTCCACCAAGAGTACCAATTCTCGATGGCTCTTCATACTGAACCACAGGGATATACTTTAAAAATAAAGTACCACAAAGTTCTTATTTCCCAACCTGATAATAAAAAATTTTACCAATGCACACAACTCACAGGCCTACCTCTACTAAAGTCAGCAAAGTGTTCACCATACCCATCTCGCTTACAGGTACCACGTGACGCAACTTTGAAGGCTTGTTTTGTGTTGGCGGTACTCCTGAAATAGGTGGGACCGATGTTTTGGATGCCAGGTACGCCAATGTTGGACCAATATAGCGATCACAAAGCTCTCTCAACGGATCTGCCTCGCGTTCGGAGCGTTTGGCGAGCCAACGGTCAACCAAAAGTGGCCAATTGACATCGGAAGTGTTCATACAGAGCATGCCCACGGAGGAGAGTACCGCTGGACTGAGATTCTCTAGAGTTTCCAGCTTTAATGGAAATTCAAAGGGATATTTAATAACAAAGTCTAATTTGGTTTTCACGAGTATTAATCAAGAGTTGTTGACTGAAAATAAAACTTAAAAAACATTCTTACTTCCCAAACGATAAGCAAAGCATCTGGAATTTTAATTCGTTCGTTGTTACCAATAACTACTGTTCCTGTAAATAAATATAGATGAATAATTACTGATGATGATCTTGAGGAATTATTCTAAAATATTTCCACAAACTAAAACGTCGAAGTTCAAACAAGTTGATAAAATCACATAAATAAAGCTCGAACTGTGCAGAGAGCGCGTTTCAATTGATTGTTGTAAAAAAAACAACCAAAGTATTGCAAAAAGTCATATGGAAAAGAGGAAAATGTAACAAAGAGGTAAAGGAAATAACTAAAAGGAGCAAGCTGCCTGATGTTCAGGGAAAGGTGAGAGACCAAGTCGCTATTGGTCTTCGTTTGGGATCAGGTTGGCCGAGGGTTTGGTGCAAGTTTCTTAAATCAATCACAGAACATAATAGAGCAACATTAATACAATCCTGGACAGGTGGAGACACACAGTTGAAAATCAAATTGCTCGATTGCCTCATCGCAGCAAATCAACGACCGGAAACACTAACCTGTATTCTGTACGACTGAACCAAACAATTCCATTTGCAATGGATCGATCTGCAGTAAGAAGAAATTAAACAAATCGTTGGTAAGTAATAGTTCTGTTGAAATAACTTAATAATTCATGGTGGGTACATTACCGTCCCGTCCAAGTGAAGCCATTTCATCAAAGGCTTTCCCGCAGATTTGCTCTCTGTCTCCTGGAGACGAAGTTGCTGAGCCTGTCGTCTAAGTAACACAGTCAATACACCATCTCGCCATTCCCTGGATAAAAAAAAATAAAAGAGTGTTTACCTTATTTCTAGAATTCCGTTCTTCCAGAAGGTATCTAACTTTGAAAAGAGCTGTTGTATACCAGTGATGTTTTTGAAAATCTAAACCTACATTGTAGGTCTAGATTTATTCTCTTTGCAACGAAAGATCAAAGAAACAAAGATGTAAGAGTTAAGCGAGAACATCGCTGAAACAAACGCACTCTGTATCGTTTCAAGAGTACAATGGAACTGTGCCAAGCTTTCGCCTTAACTGGGTACTACGCCGTGCATCGAAAACTTTATGAAACGACAAGCCAACCACGTTTAATGGGTTTCACTATCGCAATCATCCATTCCCCCTTCCCTCTCCCCCCCCCTCCCTCCGTTACACACCTAGTTTCAGGGTCTACATATCCGAGTAGCTCCTCAGACTCTACAGCCTCTGTGCACACTATGTCTGTCTTCACCAAGTGTCCCATCTCTCTGTGAGCCGCACCCAAGGTCCTGATGCACTCGGTCTTCCCACACCCACTTGGTCCAGTTATACACACCTGAGATAACAAGAAGGTTTATTAAACAAGTTTGTGTCTTTGCTATAGTGATCTTAGTTTGATCTTTTTGCTTGTGAGTAGCTAGCCAAGTGGTCAAATTGACACAGATTAGTTTGTGACGGCTTTATTTGACTCTAGGAGGATTTAAAGCAGGTAAGTCATAATGTCTGGCGCTGAAATAAAGTGAAAATTATGTACATTTGTATAGTTGTGTACGCAGTATTTTCCGCGATTGCTTCATCGTCACGAAAGAGTTCGCTACAGTCGTCTGTAGCTCAATGTTAAAGCATCGAAACGCTATATATAAAGGTGTGAGGTTGGAATCCTCGTCGTCACATGCTCGTGACAAATGAATCACGTCTTTCTTTATTAGACGACCGAGCTTAAAACATTTACCACCCTTCTTCATTTATTACCAAATGTGCCTAACAATAATAGATTCCTGGCGAAAACGAGCACTAACGAGAAACCAAAACGAAAAGTGTAAAATTAAGGATGGAGAAGATTAAAAAAGATTGCAAATAACAAATATTAAAATGTTAGGATAAATGTTTCAACTGAAAATACAGACATGGTGACGCAGGAAGAGAGTAGTAGAAGAACGCGCACAAGCTTGGTCCAACCGATTCAAATCATCACGAACCAACAAATATTAAAAAGTATAACTCACCAGCTTGTGCGCTTTGACAAGCTCGGCCAACTGAGCCACTCTGGCTTGAAAAGCAGCACCGGGCTGCAGACCAAGTTTGCTCGTAGCCACTTGTATAGCAGATTGCATATCACTCAGCACTGAAAACACAAGACAAAACTTATCAATTTAGAGCCAACGTATGTATTTAGGAGTTTGTACGTTAGTTTAATGTTCTTTGATTCCAACCGTATGATATTACTCTGACAATGAATTCTTGGGGTTCAAAGTATTCCACATCGTAGCCAATGTACTTGTAGTTGGCTACGTGCTGGACAAATAATATCCTTCGACTCTTTCCTCTTGTTTAATTTATTTCATTTTTTGTGTAAATAAATATACAAATAAATAAATAAACAAATAAATTTAACGAGGGTAAACACTTTACAGTCATAGACTGACAAACCCCTGGCCCTCCTTATATTACATGAGTTAGTCCAGTCAACATATAATCAATAAAAACTACAATTCCATTTTTATCCCATATAAATTCATGCTGTGACAAGTAAATAAATAAAAATAAAGAGAAAATGAGTGTGATGAATATAATGAAATAGTTGTGGCATTCAGTTAAAAGTTCAATCGCTAAGATATTGGTGATCTCTATCTAATATATTTGACTGCCACAACTAGATTATTTGATTTGCCACATTAGATTATCTACGCACCTTCCGTATTATTTACACCAAGTTCACCAGTCTTGGAGAGCACAGGAATCTCCTCTAAGTTGCTCACTTGCTCATTCATTTGCATCTTAGTCCCTTCCGAGCCGTAACTTTCAAAGATCATTGGAACCTGAACGTTGGGGAACAGATCTGCTAACAGAGTGGCGAACATGACGGCATCACTCCCGTCCAAACCAGGCATAAATGCGTCTCGCAAGGCAAGTACAACGGCACGTTCCTCAAGTTTTAGTATCTCTTGCTCGTCTTGCACATTGGATGCATCCTGGTTTTCCATTGGTCCCAGAAGTTCTAATTGAAGAACAAACCCAAGACAACATAGTATCATAAAAAATATTTAAAACATGATAGGAGTTGCACTCGTTCTTAACCAGCTGCAAAGGAGGGAAAAGGCTCTGGGGTTTACGTTGGGAACAAAAGCCTGCAATTTGAACACTGACAAATTCAGTTATGACACAACTTACCATCGTGTCTGAGTGCTTCGAGTGGTACATTCACAGCATCAACAGCTTCAGTCGGAGACTCTGCACGTTCTGAGACATCTTCCCCCTCGTTCAAGGGTCCTTTATTCGTAGCTAACACGTGAACCTCTTCAGAACTTGTCCCTAAATGAGATCCTGCATCCTCAATCATTCTTTTCAAAGCATAAGCTCCCCAGCCGACACACTTTTGAAGACATAAACAGAGGTCTGCTGGGAGAGGTTTAGAGGAGCTCGGAAGTAGCTGCAGACAAAGGTTCCTTAGGGTCACAATCTTGGATGCCAGAGAGGACACCTGCGTGAAGCCCTGGCTTAACAGCCACACCTGAATAATGACCTGCAGATCAGGACCAACGAGTTCCACAGGGCGGAACTTTTCCCACAGATCTACAGGAAGAAAAGTGGCGGATGACTTGAAGGACGGGAAAAAACCCACCGATGGATCGTATTCCGTTTTGTGCTGGTCAGCAGAGTAATTCAGTGTTCCAAAGCAGGCGCCTTGAGGCACCAGTGTTATCTCATCGTTGTGAAGAACAACCGTGGACTTGCTTGCTTTCAAACCATCAAGAACTACTGTCACAAGTTGTGTTAAAACAGACAAAACGGGCGGCTGAATGGTCGAAATGTTATTAAGGCAAATCCATGCACCTAATGATAAAGAAAAGAAGATGATAAAGAAAACTAAATAAACAGCGAGCCTAGTTATTCAAAAGGATGTCACGTGCGATGACCACATAATCTTAAAGGATCACCAGGCGTTATCGTCTGAAGCTTTCTTGAACCCTTTAACTCCAAAAATCTGATTGTTAATTCTCCCCTCTAGCTGATACACATTTCCTTGTAAACTAGGTACGAGAATTTTGCGTTAAATCAAGATAACAACTTCTATCTGATAGGCTTGAGTATTCTCATGACCCGTTTGCTAGATAACGTATGGATATTATATGTAGAAGTTATATATTACTCTTCTCTGGGAGTTAAAGGGTTAAATTGTATTTTGGGCTGAAGAGTTGTAAGGAGTCGCCAGTTGGAATGAAAATGAACAACAAAAACTGAGATGTAAATATTTCCAAAATAAATCAAGGAATTAATCGAATTGAAATCACATTTCGTTTTAAACCCGCTTTAAAAGAAGGAAAAGGCAGCTCAAGAAACACATGTCGGGGAAAAATGTTGTGTACAAAATGTTTCCGAATAATGTTGGAGATGCCTGTGTTGAACACTACAGCCGCACATAAAGGAACAGCAGTATGTAAACGAGCCCTGGAAGTTAGAAAAAGGTTACATAATTTCTTGTTATGTTCTGTCTATATTCTCAGTTCCACTCTACCTACTCACAACACGCACTAAACATACCAGAACAGGCAAGACCTCTGAAGATGTCGATAAGAGTACTTCTGTTCATTGGCGTGGAGCAATTGAATGTGTACAGCGGACTGCCTAGAATCCTGGCCAGTTCAGTGATGGTTTCTGTCTTTCCAGCTCCCTAAAGAGAGAAAACCGGCACTTGAACCACTTAAGGAAGTATATTAGTCACTACGCTAATTCAAAGGACCTGACATTGACTAGCCTCACTGTGGCAGCTTATTGCTCCTGGCAGCATGCCCTACAGAATTTTGTCCTGTTTTCCCGCCTGTTCACCAGCTGTAAGCCTAAATCCGGTATCAAGTGCACCATCTACAAAGCCACTGGGTGTACCACAATTGTACCCTTGCTATTTAACGACAATTTCATGCTGTTTTTGGTCCACTATTTGTCACTGGGGTTAACCGCTTGCCGTCTTGATCTAACGTGGCAGGCAGTAAACATCGTGGACAATTAATCTGCAAATACAACGAGAGAATTTTAATACTTACGAACTCGCCCGTAAAAACTCCAACCATTCGTGTCTTGACTGCTTGAGCTAGACCCACAAAACACTTATCCGTAAGAGGACTGAGAACCAGTCTCGATGTGGTGCCCTGGTATTCGAATCCGTAATCAAATTCCATGTCCAAAATGTCGACTTTGAAAGCCTGCTGTTCTTCTTCCCAGCGGCAACGCGCGTGGCACTGCCAATCAAAACTGTCTTCTGGGTTCTTAAGTGCCTCCCACTCTTGTCTGTGTTCGATCAGTCTCTGAACCAAGTTTCTCTTGTGTGATAACATGGCGATGATGTTACTGATCTTCTGAATCTGGCTCGGAAATAGCAGCATCTTGTTATTCACGCCTTGAGGTTTTGCTTCATCCGGTTCAGGTGGCACCCTCTGTTTTTGCGACACACCGGAAATGTTCGAGACTTCTTCGTCGTTTTGTGCCACACCTGTACCAGGCCGGTCTTGACTGGCACTAGTGTTACGACTCATCTTTTTCATAGCTGCTTCTTCCGGGTCATTATCACTGTTCACGCCACTGTCGTATCCAGCGTCAGCTCCCTGTGGCTGGCCTTCCTTATCGACACCTTTAAGCATCATCGCTGTGGCTTCTAAAATCGTGGTTAGCTTGTCATAGACTTCGCCTAGGGCTTCTTTGTTCTCGCCGCTTGCCACCTGGGATGACAATATATTTAAAATATTCAAAGTAAGTTACTGAGTAATTTTCGATCAGTAAATGTATAACAATAATAATAATTATAAAAATAAAAAAAAGCAACTTGCAACAAACATTGCCTGTGATACCAAACAGAAGTCAAAAACAGTCTGGCAAAGATATTTACTACACATCTACGGTAAAAATCTGACCCGAATGTGCGGACGAAGAGATATGTGAGTCTCTAAAAAGAACTTAAAGCCATAACATTCCTTTCGGGGATCTGAAGCATCACCACTAAGCGACAGAAACTCGGGATGAGCTGCTCAAACATTTTGTTCGCATCACATTATCGAGCTTTCAGTCATCACCAGTAGTCTCTCTCTCCGAATGAAGAAATAAAGTCAAGTTACCAGCACCACATAAAGTAAACATTATACCTGTTTCAGTGACTTATCGATCTTTTTGCACAACTCAATTTGCGTCGCCAACAAAATCACTTCAGAACAATTGTCCAGAGTGAACGATCTCTCCACTCTGCTCATACTTCCAGCTGTCCGGGGGGGCTCGTCAAGCTGGGCTGCACCCTCAGCGTTGTCAGGCTGGGCTTCGTTACTTACAAGTGGGGCAGGAGAAAGCACTGATGTGAGTTGATCCAAGAGTGTTTGCTTCAGAGAACCGATCAATCCAGGGAGCCAGCTATCAATTGCACCTTCACATAGCACGGACTGGAATGAAATGATACAGTGATTAGCGCCAGATTACACGCATTTCAGAAATACTTAAGAGTCAAGGGCCCAATGGTCAACTAACCCCTCAACCCCTACGAGTGACTGGCATCTAACTTCTCCTTACAAGATTACCCCTGAATCGAACATTAAGATCATGAGAATGAAGAAAATGTTCACTGACTAATGAAGCTCTTGATTGTTAAACCAATTCTCCTTGTCAGCCCGTTAGGAAACAGTATGGAGAATATGCATTATGATGTTAGAGTGAAAAGGTTAATATGGGAGTTTATCCCAATTTCAGCGTCACGAAGCGACACAGCGTATTGCTTTTCCTACTCTTTATGATACTAGTCCCAGTCCAACGCATATAGCCCCGCGGCAATTCGTCCAGTGTTCCTCACATCTTACTGTCATCAGTTTATACTCCTGGGTTTTTTTCTCATTAGCATTAGAGAGCCAATGTGAGGACAGGGCGTCTTGCCGAAGGGAAGACCATTCTGTTCCACGGAGCTTGTTTGTAGAAAACTACCCGTACTATATGACGACCATGTTTCCTCCCCGCGCTGCAAATTACAACCTACGTGGTCACCACATCCTGTCACTTTCTAAGCCGAGTATGTGGTCTACATTCTTTTAATTATTCAGCTGTTAAACTAAGGAATTCCCTACCTCTGACTAAGGGCTAACGCTCAAAACGTCAGCTTTTTTACCCTTTACGGTGGCTAATTTACGTTTTCAACCCAGTTGTTAACACTAAATTACCTGCTATACTCTCCCACCGACGCAGCACCACAGTTTCTTTAGAAACTTACCCCTTTATCCCTACCTGATGGCCTGAGAGCTTGCGAGGATTTATACGAATTCTTAGTTTGTCAGTTAACATTTGATATCACAAGCATGTATTTTTATATCGATTGTAAATTACATCGTATTTTATTGTATTAAATTATTTTATTAATGTATTAATTGATAGGCATGTAAATTTAATATTCTTATCAAAATTTGTATTTTCATTCTATTTTATTATATTTAACCCGAAGACGTTAGCTTTTTAGCAACATTCAAATTCGAGTCTAAATAAAGTTTACGTATGTATGTATATATGTACGGAAATTAAGCAAAAAGCGTTTGTTAGAAATAGGCAATATTTCATTAAAATCTCAGGGAGACCTCAAGACGAATTTTACCTGCTTATGGTGCTTTATTGACTAAATCTACCCATCACTGAGATACCAATTACTTTGGGGTTACTCACCTGTTTAAGAGCAAGTTTTTCTCCATGAGAACTGACCACAGCGGTGATGCTAAAATAAACTTGTCCTTCGTTTTCAATCTCCTCGTAAACAAGGGCACCAAGGTTTTCCAAAACTTTCGGTAAATATGGATTCACGAGGCCTGGATCGTAACCTTGGGAACGGAGAAGCAGCAACAGTCAATCACAAGAGTAATTAAATCACTTATTGTACAAACAAAACGAAGCATAAAAATGATCAACAATGACACACCGTTGCATACAATATGAAGTACATCTTCAGTAGAGAGGAAGTAAAAGCGCGGAAATTTCTGGCGCCTTCGTTCAAGATGATTTAAAAGAGATTTCCAACACTGCTGAAGATTCATGTTCAACTTCTCTAGTTTGGCTTGAATATCTGCAAGAAATATGAACCACCAATATAACGGGAGTAGAAATGGTTTATCATTTATGAAATACTTGTGCCTTTAAAACCAACACATTGCTCCCTCAAAGAGAACAAAAAATGTCCCATGGGGGAAAGGGGGAAGTATGAAATTTGGTTGTCGCAGAATTTTAATTGTCTGCCAGCTTCCATACTGAAGTGGAAATGAATATTGAACAAGAAAGTTGGAGAAACTGGGCATCATCCTCTTATAATATGTTACAACCTTTCCCTGGACAATAATCCGAGTTTGTTCGCGAAAACCTCCAGCTCAAGTTCACAGAGTCGTTATCTTAAAAGACTCTTGTCGTTTGGAATTTCATCTGCCCTTGAAACTTTTAACTTAACATATAAATGACCACAAGCTAACCAACCTCTTGGGAAAAACAATTTGTAAATAAGTAACGGTAATAGTATTACCACCAGGCTGGGGTACGATTTAATACCGCTGTCCACTTACTTATCCTCGAGCATGCCTGTAGCACGTTTGGATTTTTCTCTGTGACTTTCATCAAGATTCTGAAGTCGCGATTCACAGCAGAAAATAGGTTCGTTTCATGAGGCATAGCGATGCGGAGATCCAAACTGGAGAAGACCTACACAGAAGTTTAACTACATCAGAACTGTGCAGGACACTTAACTAACCAGAGACGAGTGAGGAAATGATCTTCGCAGGTAAGCTGCAGTTTAGATATTGCAGAAAAGAAGCCCGAAAAAGGCACCGTTTCGGAGTATTCAGGTTTCTTTTCGGAAATTGTTTAACCCTCTCAAGATTTCATTAGTAGTTCTCCTTACTGTCTGTCAAACGATTCTCATCATGTTGGTTTGGAGAGTTTGGTATCGGATCAATTAGTAATCCCATGATTGATTTTTTTCCTTTATTCTCATTACTTGTTTGCATGATATTGTACCGATACAGTAAGGAGAAATTCTGTCTTGGTCACTCGCGGAAGTCAAAGAGCTAAATTGCACCTCACTTGGCAGGATCATTTCTTCACTTGCAGTTCATCCGTTGGTCAAATTAACATTTATTTCATTAATAACCAAAGACTTGCGTGAAGACATTACACATCAAGGGAACAAGTGCTGTTCAAAGCTAAACAGTCAGTTCTATACAACACGAAAAAAGCTCTCTAATTAGTTTGATAAGCCTCTTTTTAGAAAACTGTCATATTATTTCAAGTGTTGTAATAATCGACGCCTATAAAAGCTTCTACAAGCTTATAAGTTATAACATTTACTATTTCACGAGCAGAAATCTATACGTACATCCTCCAGTTCTATCCATTTTTCCTGTACTTCAAGCCAAACACTCAGCACAGCTTCTATTGTCTGCAATCGCTTCTGCCATTTCATGATGTCGTCTGCAAATGAGCCGGCGGCACTACCACTGAGCATGCTCTGAAGGGACACCTGCACAAAACGGAAGAAATCCACGTCACTAATTCTTATACTTTCATTTTTAAGGAAATTTCAGCCAAATTCCCAATTTTTAAATTGGATGATGACATTAAGTAACCTAACGTCCATTTCAGCGAAAAGTGTGTAACAGACATCACCATACTCAAAATACCTGATGATCTTCGAGTTCTTCAAAAATTGGTTCACACTTATCCAGTAAACAAATTGGGCCTGTGTCCTGTGGAGATCACATTTGGTGTAAGAAAAATGAAACACTGTTGTATGAAAAGATTGTAGCTTGAGTCAAATAATAGGTACTCTCAAACTAGTTGACGCCGTATTTTTTTTAAAATACAAACAACGAGTGAAAATACTCAGCAATACTATACACTAAAACGACTAATAAGTTATTTATAATTCCACCGCTTAATTTTAAATGCACTTCTTATGAGGAAAAAGCGAAGCAAATAGACAAGCGTAGCGAGTGCAGCCGACCGGTTAAACAGGTTTCTTTTACAGTACAAACTAACTAACTACCCAATATCGCGTGATGTTTGTACTCGACTCGCGCTCTATCTGTACTCTACTTAGTGTATTTGGATAATACGTGAGAGCATTGCCCGAGAACGCATGAATAAAAACCACAACGGGCGGTACAATATACCCTGTACTTTCGGTAAAATATGCCCTTCTCTGATTGGTTGTGTACTGTTACGCCCCCTTATACCCCTTAAAGCGACTCTCACAAACTCTCTCGCTAAATCCTTTGCAAACTAAAATCTGCCAAGAATCGTCACCTGAGTTAAATTCATGAGGGAGTGAGAGAAAGTAGCTGATCCAGCGATCGACGTCTTCCTTGTCTTGTGGCTTCCACCAGCTCCATCCTTGACGCTGAAGCCTCCACCACTGCCATGACTTGTCACTGATACTCGACTGGACAGACCGCGGGGAGCATGCATGTTCATATCAGAGTCATTACCGAACTCGCTGCCAGGTGTCTGTGGAAGCAATCCATCATCGGACATACATGAACGCCCACACTGTACATTAATTTTCAACCGCCTTTACTGCTACTATAAATACTGTTCCTACCCGCGAACAACAAGCGGCAAGAAAAAACTTTCGGGTACAATTTTTTTCGTTTGTCTTCGCAGAGACGGAGTTCTACTTTTCCGTAATTCTTACCGTAAACTAAAACCTCAAAAACTATCCTCATTCCAGATGCCGAAATGACAAATTGCAAAAGAGTTTAAATAAAATAGCAACGCGGTCTTTTTAAAAAAATTGAGAGTTCTGTTATGTTATGCAGAAATAACTAAATCTGACAAGTTGACAAACGATATGACAGAGGGTAAATCTTAAGTTGAATGAAAAAAGATGACGCTGGATCTGCAACGAGCATAGGACAAAGAACATCTGGGTAACCACTGTGGAATCGAGCCTCAGACCTGATCTACGCTTCGTCGCCATATTTACCTCTTGAGTGGCCGCAGCAGCAGAGGAGGGGCCCTTCATTCTAGTGTGCACCCTGAGCTCAAAGATCTTACTCAGCCAGACTTCTTCGTACGTCTTCAGTGAACTCTCAATAGCCACATCTTTTGCAGCCCTTTGAATTATGGACCGGACCTCTTCAGCATGGTCTACAAATAACAGCAAACAAACACAAATTTTGAATTTAAGTCTTTCAATGGCTACCAAAACTTGTCGTCAGAAACCTATTATTCTAACTTCGTTTTAAATTACTATTGGAAAAAGTAAAATACTTACGGATAAGCATGAAATGATAGTAGCAAAGCGCTGATTAAGCTTGCTTAAGTAGTGGATACTGCTGATAATTGAGACTGTTTTAAATTTCTAATGTAAGTGCTTTCTCCCAGAGAATGGATATTTTGAGATATTTCTGCAACATGCTGAAGCACCTTCGACTCAAGAGAGACTACAAATACTTGTTCATTAAGAAAGAAAAACACAAAAAAGCATTACAAAAAACTAAGAAAGAACAACCAAGGCCAAAGATGGAAGAGATTGAAATGGATCGTAACTGAAACATTGACACTAAATTTTTCACAATGCACTGACAATGACCTACTCCTTGAATCAATAAAGAGAACTTCACTCTATTAAGTAACTCCTTACTGTGTAGCCCCAGCTCCAGGAGCTGTCCCAAAGTCATTCTCGTCAATCCTTCATTACTGATCTGCACGGCTCCTCCTGTTACACGTAATAGTTGCTTCCAGTGTCGAGGCCGCATGGCCGAGCGACTGAGATCATCAATGATTGGTAGGCAAGCCTAACAACAACAGATGCAAAGGAAATGAAAACGATTTTTTCAACCACAAATCTAAGCCCACCACCGATGCAAGAGAAATTAAAACGACGTTTTCAACCACAAATCTAAGCCCAATGCCAATAACTTAACTTCAGGGTATTAACTTTTCATTCCACGCTAGCTTTTGATCTTTATCTAGGCGGAAAAATGAGGACACTTTACCTAAGTACTACGAAGATATCACCGGTGACAATTTACACTTAAAACCCGTTTGTTCCCTTGATACGAATTGACCCAGCAGCTGAATCTACCAGCGAAAGTGACCCTAAAAGACGCATGCCGTTCCGAGAGCTATTTTGGTCACAGTTGCAAGAAAAAAAGGCACAAGATCCAACTTAACCGATTGTGACATTTCTTTTTCATAGATGCACAGCGCATAGATACATAGCACAAAAGCGTCAAACCCTTGAAGCTCTCGGAGGGGGGTTCTATAATACCTGAATATCAAGGATAGCATCATGCATGCCAGTAAACACGTCCCACTCATGCGCCTCAAAAGGCAGAGCTGTGACGACATCAGTTTGCGCCTCAGTGGCTTTCTTCATAAGCTTTGTGTTGATTCGCTGCCAACGACCTCGTTTCCATTCCGTGTGTTGTTCCTGCACTGCCCGCCACGTATTCCAGACCTCGCGTAAACATTCCAAGTCAGAGCGAAGTCTAGGGGGATGAGTAAATCTTTTAGATGGCACGATGGCAAGGAAAAGGTTCCTTAAGAATAAACCACACACTGAAAAGAAAATTCGACGCTGTTGACGCAACTTACCGAGGGAGAACAGAAAAGTTAACCACAGCCTTTTCAAACAATTCTTGAAGCTCAATCAGGTCCTGTTGATAAACAAGAGTCAAATTGGCCTACTCTTAGGAACAGGGTAATTCAGTATTATCAACTGAGTTGATAATGTAAATCGACCACCGCAAAGAGTTTCAAAGCAGACGTTTTGGGTGTTAGCCCTAGAAATCATTCGCTCAGACGAAGGACTAACGCTCGAAACATCAGCTTTGGAACTCTTTGCGGTGGCCAGTTTACGTTATCAACTCAGTTCATCATACTAATTTACCATGTTATACTCTCCCACCGACGCAGCACCACAGTTTCTATAGAGACTTACACCCTCATTCATTTAGCCTATTCTTATTAATACATTTTATTTATTTGCAATATTTCAAAAAGCTGGCCCAGTTCAGCCTTAAAGCTGGTTTAAATGGAGTCTACACAAGAAGTCTAACAAAGCCACACCCAACACCAGAAGCTACGCTCCCTACTCTTTTGCGATAAGTGCGTGGGTTCTTGAAGTCCCCTGCTAACCAGTTTTATTTTATTTCTCCGAGAGAACTAAGATTTCTAGCCATTTGCAAATGTTTCACGTATGCAGCACATTCTCGTCAGTTATTTCAAGACCCTGAGTGTCGGACCGGTTTGGGACTTGAACCGTCGACCTCAAGCACGAAAGTTCGGCGCTCTAAGCTAAGCGCGGTATACACCCCTTGTGTACCCCACTGCATACCGCCGCTTTTAACAAAAACCAACAGATGGGACTTTTGCGAGAGAAGCTATACCAACAATAACTGCATCTATCTACGGTGAAAGAAAACATCAAGCTTGAGAAACATGTCTGAGTTATTGACGTATCTAGAAAACTGCTCTTACAACCAATAAAAACAAAAAAATGTCCTAGTACTAGCCTGTGCCTCGCTCTCCATAATCTCGAGCCTTCTGCCAAACGTGTCCATAATGGTGAAAGCAGTATAAATAGGACACTTTCTGTTGAACGCCTCGGAATCAGAGAACTCTCTGGCCAGAGATTCACAGCGATCACCAAATGCTCTAAGCTCCTGTAGAATGGATAGGATAAAAGCACAAAATTTACCGGTAATTTGTGGGTGAGATTTAATTAGCAGTTTTGTGTCCTTCCCTTAATTGCACTCTTCAATCAACATTTTTTAAAGTATACCATCAGAATCAGAATGAAAGAACACGCTACGGAGAGCACGCTTCTGACGGGGTCAGCTACCTGTGTGACACTGGAGGCCTCAGCTTGTATTCTTGGTCCCAGACGTTGTTTGGCTTGATTTACTTTCATCTTCAAGTTGTTCCACCTGTGTAAAAACGAAGATCCTCATTAAGAACTCGTAATCACAAAACAACAGTGAAGATCATTTTGAAGACTCAAGCTTTCTCATCAGAACAATGTACACTGTTTTCTTTTAATGAGCAGAAAAAACTAAGCAAGCTCAACGTTTTCAAGAAGCAAAAAAAAAACAAAATTCAGTGGCTTTCTGTATTTTATTGGCCCAAAACAGACAAGGAAACCGTTCTTACAGCATTCAGAACCGCTTTTAAAAAAAATTTAGCGCTTTTTTAACACTTTACGCCCTATAATCATTATGCATATTCTCCATACTGTTCTCTATACATTTCCCAAGGTGCTAAGAAGGAGAATTTGTTTAACGATCAGGAGCTTCGTTAGTTGGCGATCATTTCCTGTATTCTCATGACCTTAATGAGGGGTGATATTGTAAATTAGTCGCTAGTCACTCTTAGGGGTTAAAGGTTCAAAATGCTTGGTCTCTTGGGTGACTAGATCCTTATTGGAAAAAGATGTTTGTCGTCTTGTCACGAGCATGGGACAAACAAAAATTTTCTGAAACTCAGAATTTTTTTCTAAACTTAGCATCTTTCCTATTCTATTTACAAACATGACGCTATCAACATCGCTGATTCTAGCAGTATGCGGGACGCGAGTCTATGTGGCTCAGTGGTAGAACATCGGAGCGTGAAAACCGAAGGTCTAAGGTTTCATTCCTCATGGGGACTCAGAATTTTTCCTTTGTCCCACGCTCGCGACAAGACGAAAAACATCTTCTTCTATTTTTTTACCGTGCTCAAAATTTACAATCTTTCTTATTCTATCTAGATCCTATTTGTGATGAAAAGTACGTACCTCTGTGGTGCTGCAGCATAGAACTTTTGAGTCATATCTGGTAGTTTCTGATCGTATTTTTCTAAGAGAGTAATGGTTCTTTTCATCGCTACAAACTTGCTGTCCATCTCCGCTTGCTGAGTACTCACCTATAAAACCCAAACCCAAAAGTTACTCTCTTTTTTATAGACAATGAATCTGATATACCATCAAGAACCTACCTCATTAAAAACTCTCATGAGGCGCATAAAAGATGCAATGTCTTGCTCTTCTCCTGTAATCGCTTCTATTCCAGGTTCGATGCGTTTCAGGAAGGAATCAAGGTCATTTAATGTTGAAGACACCTAGAAAGAAGGAATCAAGGTCATTTAATGTTGAAGACACCTAGAAAGAAGGAATCAAGGTCATTTAATGTTGAAGACACCTAGAAAGAAGGAATCAAGGTCATTTAATGTTGAAGACACCTAGAAAGAAGGAATCAAGGTCATTTAATGTTGAAGACACCTAGAAATGGAACAATAGGAATAGATGAATATGAAACGCCAATCGCAACGAAATTCAAAGAGAAAACACGTATTACATGTTTCAAGGACCCTTGAACAAGAAAACAGAATATGTAAGACAATCATTCCACAGCCAAGATCACTGAATATCTAACGCATAGCTGCCTTCTGTCTATATGAGAGATATAATCCTGACGCTTTATCTGACCCTCAATCTTGTTACTAGATAACTGTTTGTATTACCTGATCCGAAAGATATTTGGTGTAAACAAACATCCACTTGCTGGCATAAGTGCCAAGTACTTGTTTGATTGGTCTCATGTTCACTCTCATCCAGCCTACATCGCACCAATCCTGCAGATTGTAGATCTCGTCTCTTGCCGTCTAAGAAAATGGTAAAATTCAAATCTCAACCTTACCCTTTTATTCTGTTAACATTTATTGAAAATTTAAAGGTGATGACCTGGTCGTGAAAGCCGTCAGCTTCAAAGCTTCCACGGCTTTTCTGACTTTTCTTTCTCAAATTCATTTTGTAAAATTGAATATTTATTTATTCAAAGTGTAAATGGTAGTTGTATGTTACATTGAGACGATCGTGTTAGGGGTAAATAGAGACAATGTTGCCTTCCATAAGAAGGGCAAAAAAAGACTCTTCTTTTGACAGATTCGCCGAACAGTCTCATCTGATGTCAATGAAGAGGAGAGGACTACGACTTTACATACCTGATAAATCTCTATCTCTTTGTCGAAATCATCCAAGGATGGTCCTTTTTCATCCCTAACCTCCTTAGTAGCTGTCATTTTCTTGGGGTTGAGGAAAGTCTTTTCTGACAATCCCATAGCTCCACTGGTACTGAGTGTGGAGGCAGCAGCTGAGCTGCGGTTGGACCTGAGTATAGACAAAACCATAAGTGAGTGATATGACTTACAACAAAGGCCTGTACTGACCTAAATTTCTTTTCCAGGCCTTATTTTCATCATTGCTTAAGAAGTGTTCATTACTGCGAAGGTCGCTTTCATATTCATTTCTTAAACCGCAATTCAAACATATGATTTTCATATATTCACAGTCATGAACAAAGTTCGTATAGGAAACGCCGGACAGAGAAAGAAAGGAATTGAACGGGTAATCAATGTAGGATTTCACACGCTATCCAAAGCCTTACATACGGTCCAAACATTTTCGCCATGTGTCTTCTACAATATCCGTTCCAGATTCCAACGATATACCTTGTATTTCGACAAGCCAACAGCTCATCGAACAAGTTTAACCACCTTATAACAATGATCCGTCATACAAAGTGGAAAACCTGATGTGAGAACAACCTACCTCGGGTCTCTTTCTTTCTCTTTCCTGGATTTTTCTGATGTCTGTGATGCTCTGGATCGTATAAGCTCGGATCGGTTCATCTTCCTTGGATGAGCCACTATATTTCCTGCGAGAAACTCCTCAAACGTTCGTTGTACATCTTGTATCCATAAAAATGCATACTCCCGAAACGTCGCGAGAAAACTCTGCAATCAATTTATGATAATTTTTTTGGTTGTTAACCCTTTGACCCCTAAGAGTGACTAACATCTAATTTCTCCTTACAATATCACCCCAGAAACACAAAATTATGTCACAAGAATAAAGGAATTGATCAACAACTAAAGAAGTTTTCGATTGTTCAACAAATTCTCCCTGTCAGCACCTAAGAAACTGACAAAAGAACCGTATGGAGAATGTGGATACTGATGTAGGGGTGTAAAGGGTTAACGCAAATCTACAGCCTTTCTAAGTTGTGTTGAAACACCCGCTCCCCTCATAATAGTTTTTTTTTTTACCAGTGATTCAGCGAAGAAAAGGGCAAATTTTTCTATGAACTTTCCTTCTCGCTGCTAAAACTCGGATCTAACGAAAACACTTTAGTAGTATCAGTGATATTACTACTTCGGAGCAGCATGCCATGTATCATTCCTACCTTGCATTCGGAGGCATTTTGCTCGACCACATCTTTGGTTTGTTTCACCAGTGTCTGTACCTCATCATCATCAACAATGACTTCCTTGTAGCTCTGAAGGAACGGGATATGTTCTTATACGTTATTAGCTCCTCAGATATAAAATGCGGTAAACGTTTAGACATTGAGGTATTTCTCTTATTTATGAAAAAAACACCTCTGATTCTGAGACACCTTTATCGGCGGCATTTGTTTTCATTTGTTTTTCCTTTTTTTTCTTTTGAACTAAGGACTTCTTTTCTAATCTAAATTCTCTATGGCTGACATTTAACAACTAAATAAAATGCAAAACCTAATACTCATAACGATACCATAGGTTGCATTTTTCTCTAAGAAGTCACTTCTAAACCGAAAAAAAAGATTTCACGTAAAAGTCATTCTTGAGAGCTCCGCAATTCCTTAAAACTTTACCTTTAGATCTTCATCCACAGGCCTCACGAAATCACCACGTCCGAGAAAGTCATTTAACCATCCTTCTACACTCTCTTGGACGCTGGATGAGGCTGACTTGTCATCAAGTGATGGGTTAAACAAAACCTGGGAACCAGTTAGCTCCAAGCGAATAGTCAGTATTGGTAGGACCTCAGAATCCTGCAAGGTTAATTGAAATGTTCGCAATATAAGTGAGACCCATCTAAAATCAACAAACTCCAGCCTCTCTTACTTCTTGAGGATCAGCTCTAAATTATGTTACCCACTCAAATCGTAGACAACTTGAGAATAGGTCTGGAAAATCATCAGTAGAATTAGGGCTTGTTGGAAAGAATAGAACTTTAACTCCCAAGACAGAATTTCTCCTTACAATATCAATACAATATCAAGCAGACCAGGCATAAGAATAAGGAAACAATTATCAATCAGTAGATTATAAGATGATCCAACCTAATTCTCCAAACTAACATCATAATTTATATGGCAGACAGAAAGGAGAGTGAAGGGTTGTGAGGAGATCCAGGGTCAAAATACGGCAGAAAATTTTTCTTTTTAATATTTTTCCTGCTTTGTGTTCTCACAAACTCATATCTGTCGATCAGATGGTAGGATCGATTAAATTTTCAGTGTTGCCGTCTTACTATAGGCTGTAATACTTAAGTAATGTTCTTCATTTAGGACTGTCCGGTTGTGATCAGTCAGTAAAGTTAGGAAGTTCTTTTTGGCTCACTGATTATGTAAATGGAGTGAGAAAGTTGTTTCTACGGTGCCGGTAGCTGTTTCTATTTGTGAAGAGGTATACCGCGAGAACTCACATTTGACATATTGGAGAATACAATCTGGTTCAACATGGATTGCAATGAGGTTTGAGTAGATGTCTTCAGTCCCTCCATCACGACTCCACTGACATACTTGATGTAACTCTGCCAGGCAGGAGAAGCACGGCTTATCTGCGCCGCCTGACAGATAAAAACAAGCAGTTGACAGCCAACTTTATATCACCTTTTATTCAATGAACACGTTGTAGTGTACTTGACTCAAGGCTCATACATTACATCCATCCCATGGAGTTAGACGACTAGGAAGGGATGGTAATCCATAGCGGATGACGCCCTTATTTTACCTCAGGTTACCCTCATAAATCGTGCTACCCATATATACTCCTGAATGACGAGGAACAATGAGAGTTAAGCGCCTTGCTCTTGAAAATAACTCAAGGACCGAGCCAAGGCGCACAGTCTAGAACCAAATTACAGCGCGCTAACCAAAACGTCATCACATCCTCTAGGGTTCCCAAAAAGCTTTAAAGTCGAGCCAATCTCACCTCAAACGTAGACTGCAATAAGGCATGGATTCTGTGCCCTCCTACAGTGACAGCGTGCTTATGCATCTCGTAAATCATCCTGCGAATAGTAATTAAGCAAAGATTTTGTAAAACTGCAATTAAGTTCGCAATTACTTTCCATGTTTTATTTATTTATTTTTTATCTTTTATTTTTCAATTTACCCATGCTGTTCCTGTAGTTTGTCCATTGAGAATGACTTGCTAACATCACGTGGACTGAACACATCCAATAGTCCATTGTCAGACCACGAAGCTGCTATGTTGCAGATTTCTCTGAAGTTACTCTGGACCACGCCCAGGTTGCGATGGAGATCGTCACAAACCAGGTATGACGCATGCTCAACAAAATCTGCTGATTCAACTGTCTTCCATGTGAATACATGGAGTCCTTGGCCGAGCAACTGTGATAGCAAGATAGAGGATGAAAAAGAGAACAAAAAAGATAACCTTAGTCAGAAAATATTTATGCAAAACAGTATAATGTTAGAAGAATTATTCAAACGTTTTGTGTTATTACTGGTAGTGTTGTATTTCAAACAATACAACTGTAACTTTGGAAAGGTAGAAATCGGAAAGTATTTTTAGCTCAGTATAACATTCCAGGTGCGACAGGAACAGGGTTTCAAAATTAGCCAGTTACCAGCGGTTTACCGCTGCCCCTTAGACCGCTGACCGCCGTCTATTTAGTCCACGAGCAGGCTCCCGTGATTAGATTTCACCTTACGGCCATTTTACGGCCATATTTAATTTGCGACCATTTTCCGGTACGTTTACAAAAATAAACTATTTTTTTCAGTTTCTATGTATTTTATACAAAATCTTTTCTTCACCTCAGCGTCGTTGAAAGTGGGGGATATATACCTTCACTCCAGTGAATAATTCTTAACCACTACATAGTTTACCTCATCAATTTTTGCAAGCTTCCTCTCAAACAAAGGCCTCTCGAACTCCTTCATGTTTGCCATCACAGAATTGTACCGTGTCACGATAGTTTCAAGCCTCGTAGCAGTGGACCTTAGAAGACTGTCATCTGTTGATCTCAGCAGCACTCGGGCGGGGTCGGGAAGACGTGTCAAGAAGGGCTCTCCTCCTAAGTAATGAACCTCTCGTAAAAGAAGCATCAATTCAGGATCAAAGTTCACGTGTAGAGTGGGTCTACTTCCCTCGCTTGCAGGTTCCGCAATCTACAATTAGCAAATAAAACAAGTTATATCTCTCCATTATCGGCCATCTTTGCCCATCCTTGACCATTGTTGGCCATCCTTAGCCATTTTTGACAATTATTGACCATCATAGGCCATCGATGGCAATTCCTGATTAATTTTGGCTTATGCATACCTCTTGACTGTTCTTCGATCTACCCCAAGTGATATTTTGTGGTTTGATTCACATTTTTAACTTCACCGAAACGACTCAAATATCGTGAGGTATTTTCCCCTTTCAACCTTTTTTTATGAATAAGGGTGGATGTAACACCTCTTCCAATTTCAATTTTGATCTTTAGTTATCAATTCTTCATCTTAAAATAATTTTCTGTGCCAACCCTTTTTATTTTGTGCAGACCTGGAAGTAAAGCGATATCCAAAGTTGCTCGTACATGCAGAAACAACGTGTCTTTTATAAAGGATGCCTTGGTCAACTCACCAAAAGAGGCTGTTTTAATTTGGTCCTCAATTCAGGCTCCATTTTGCTTTGCCATTGACGAATAGTTTCTGCTTCGCACCTTGGAAAGGAATATAAAAGCTTTCCCTTACATCTGAACATCACGAAATAAGATTTTGTTATCACGTTCCCGTCAAATGTAGGATCATCACCACCCCTGTTGTATTTTCCTCAACTCAACTAAAAGGTAACCACCTACCGCGCTTTTAGATCTAAAGACAAAAGACCGAAGCCTACCAGTACGAAAATTGTCTTCAAATGTGCTAATAAAATATTGCCTCTAGTTGCCTTTACCTTTCAATGTCTTTGATCAGATCTGAGTATGTATCTCTTAGACGCCATCCATCGTCACCTTTAAGTGAAGCTGGAGAGACACGATGCAGCCGAGACATGGGCTCCTACAAAAAACACAATTTAAAAACTGTTTAAGCGTGATGAACTTAGCACAAGGCCGAACTTCTAAAGGAGTCTATCATCGATTGGCTATTGCTCTATTGGTAAATCAGCCCTGAAACTACTCTTCGTGGTTCGTATGTATGTCACCCTCCAATTGAGCCTATCAGACGTAGCAAGGTTACACATATAGTGTTCCTTCTAAACTTCCAACTGAGTTGTAAGTTTGCAAAATATCAGACAAATCGGACGCTTGCCTTTCTATAATCCCAGATATGGGTTGAAGAAAACAAGGGTCAATCTAAAGATTCTTTTAGTGTTGCTCAAGTATTATCAAGTACCTGTATGTGTATTTTGAATCCGCGAAGCCAAAGTAACTTGTTTGACACTGGAGGAAGGTGAGGATAATTCGGAGGGGAGTCCATGTGAGACTCGAAGAATACTCTCATGTCCAGTAACTCTTGAGTGAAACCAAGCACCAAAGCAGTAAACGTAACCTTCAGATTTGTCTAAGGTGTTCGGAAAAAAAAATTGGAAAGGTTACGTCTGTATACGGGACTGACTTGCATGGCTACCACAAATTATTCTAGCCTCTGCATGTGACATGCAGCTCCCCAAGCTATAACCGTTTGGATCGCTGAGGCGAGTGGGAAAAAACATAGGGCACTACACTTGCCTCGAAAGTCCCAATTTGGCGATCTGTGATTGGTGGCCATAATACATTTGACTGCAACGTACTTATTAACTTGTGTTTATGGTCAAGATAATATAAGATTGCATACAATAAAATTTGAAAATGTTCGAAAGCTTTCTTGTATGTAAAGTACCTCTTTTTCTTTGGTGATCGAGTATCGAGCCTTGAGATACCGCCTTTACCTCCAAAAACGAGTTTTGTTTTTCTGACGACTAGAATTTTATTCCTAGCGACCGTTTTTCAAATTTTGGTTGCCAAATGGCGGCCTTGGAAACGGTTGAATTTAGAGTCCGGACATGATGCAACCAAGTGTTGCTAATCTTCCTGGGTACGACGTAACGTTAGGAGAATTTATCGGATATGTACTTAAGGCGCATGATTCTACTAGAATACTTCATTGTCCTTCTCTTTGATTCTCACCTGAACAAGTTCTCGTCCACTGATTCCTTCAAACACTTCCAGAAGCCTCAGTTTGGCTCTTGTGTCCCAGCACTGCTTAAAACTTTGTCTCATCACATCGGCTAGGTTGTACTCTAAATCCTGAGAGCGATGGAATAACATTGCTTTAAGTCCTAAGAAACTGGTTGGATAAACTTAAATCAAGATATAAAATAAACGTCATCAAATAGAACGACACAAACAAAAAACTTACTCTTGTTACAGAACGGAAGGCAAAGAATTCTCTTTCAAACTCCTGAGTTTCATTTGCGTTCAACACATCCTGAAAAACAACATTTTTTTGTACAATATTACGTGTAAAACATCATTCGCAGTTTACGACGGAGATATAGCTCCAATTCTGAGTACGTCATTTAAGGTAAATGTACGTCTAGCCTTATTTCCCATTCACACCATCAAAACACGTTTCCTTAAACACGTTTAACCGAATGAAAATCACAATCAGAGAACTGAAAAATTAAATTTTTCATAAGATTCAAGTAACCACCAACTTATATCGTCAATGTGCTAAATTTCAAGTAACAAACATTTTGAGTTTTAGTAGCTCGATGAAGAAAACAAACTTAAACCGTGTTAGAAAAAAAAACCGCTTGAAACACGTTTAAGCTTCAGTGTAAATGGGGTATGTCTTTTATACACAGAGTTGAAAATAAACAAACAATTCTCTGTGGTCTTACATGTGGCATCTGCTGAAAAGAACGCACAGCCTCCTTAAATTTGCGATGGATCTCCCTCACTTGAATGTCCAAACTGTTACCACCAGCACCACCAACTTGAGCAGTACACGTTAACATCTCAAAATGTTGAGTTGTCTGAACGAGCTCCAGTACATCATTACAACGCTCCATGAAGCTGTTTAGCGATGTAAAACACGAATTGTTTCGAGCAGGCCACGCAGAGTCAGTCCATAGTTCTAGAGTATCATAACCACTGTTGCTTTCTGAGAGGCTGTTACGTCGATTAAACATCTTTGTATTTCTGGGTGTTAGGCTGTTGTTGTATAATTTGCTGTGCCACACAACACCTCCGCTGTCTCTACTGGGAAAAAAATGCAACCGCAATGCTCAGGATGTCAACGATGTAATACTCTTTTGTACATATTTATCCCAAGCTGTCCTGAGCAATAGGGTAAAAATACGCACGCTGAAAACATATCTTTGTTGACTAACAGTAGCCTTACCTCAAACACAATTTATCAAATTGGTTCCGGTTGTTCGAGAGGTGGATAACACTATCCACTGGATAAATGGCTAAACGGTGGATAGCACAGTACATAAATTGTTCAACATAAAGAGTTTCAAAGCTGACGTTTCGAGCGTTAGCCCTCCGTCAGAGAGAATGATAAAGGGCTAACGTTCGAAACATCAGCTGTGAAACTCTTTACGGAGGGCAAATTTACGTTATCAACTCACTTGATAATACCAAATTACCCTGTTATACTTTCCCACCGATGCAGCATCACAGTTTCTTTAGAAACGTAACCCCTTTATTCGTTAATACAGCACGTTTTGTAAACACATCCGCTGGATAGCGATTTATGTATTAGATAGCGTTATCCACCCTTTGAGTTATCAATACTAAACCCCTTCAGACCTCTCCCAGCTCGCGTTGCTCACAGCTCCATACTTTCCCTCGGGCAAAAAAACGCTCACGCCAAAACGTCAATAATGAGAGGTTTCGCCCAGGCTACCAAAAGTTCCTTTCACAAGGAATCGAAAATGTGAATTGTTTACTTTCAAATGGAGAAGTCTCAGAGGTGGAGGAATGTCTTAATTGTACACGGACTTACTTAGTTCCTGACTGTTCAGATAATCTTTTTTGATTTGTCTCATCAGCTCTGTCCTTTTTATCCAAGTAACAACCTCGGAATGCAGCACACACACGCAAGGCATCTTTCAAATTGGTGTAAGACTAGAGAAAGAAACACGAAGGTTACCAGAGCGATCATCATCAAGAACATGTCCAACTTAATACCCATGCAGAGGCTGATGTTCTTTACCTGAGTTTCCAAAGAGTTTTGGAGCAGATGAATACAGCTGAAAAGGTGTAGTTTGGAAGAGGTAACAGAGAAAATTCACTTACTGCCAAGAGATTTTCCAGCACATGTTCTCCCACAAGCTGCCTTGCTCGAGCAACAACCTCATTTGACAACATGGTCAGTAATCTTGTGAAATTTCTGTGGTCATGGTAATACCTAAAATGGAAATGAAATCACATGAAGTACAACCAGCCTCTTTTTCCTTTAGTGCTGCCAAAATAAGTTAAACAAGTCTGTTTAATGGAAGTCCCATCCTAAAAAAAACTTCCTTGAAAACCGCATTTAAACATGATTAGCTGAAAGCTTCTATTAGTTCTTAACGTCAGATTTTGTAACAAAACTTACCTCGAGTGAACCCAGACAAGATACAGAGTGTGCATTAACGGTGGGAAAACAGATACCATATCAGCAGATTTGGTTGCATAATGAAGCTTCTCAAACCAAGGTAGGAGAGTGCTCAGAAACTGCAGGTTATCATTGGTCTCTGCTTCAGCCTTGGTATGAAAAAATACAAAAAAAATTGAAAACATGCATTGGCAGATCCTTTTTTCGTATTAGAGACATCTTAGTATGAACTGCAGAGTAGAAAATAAATGAAGTTTTCAAGGAACAAAACAATTATTCAGCACTCCTTTCCTGAAACATCTGCAAGTGACAATCCTCAGACAATAATAAACCGCTGACAGAAAACCATAGAAGTTTACAAAAAAAAAATGTTTTTTTTTTTCATTTTCTCCAATAAACCAGACATTAGATATGGGTTCCCAGATACACAAGTACAGAATAATTGGTTGCTAAACCTCTCACTTTATAGTAAAAGCATTTTTTTTCATTGAAGAGATACATTATTGCCAACCAACCAAGGACTTAAAACTATGCCTTTTATATGATCACAATTTTCCAGTATTTCCATTAAACATGACCAACCATGAGGAAGAGAAGAATCAATTGTTTAGACACAAAATTACTGTTCACAAATGTCTAACCTTTGCAATTTCTCTTTTGACAAGATGAAAGGACTGTGCATATGTACTATGAGCATCTTCCAGGTTCATCATAATATTAAGAGCCACATGTGAACACAACTGCTCACTCACTGATGTGATCTTCTCTAGTCGCTCTGACCACATCTGATGAAAAAAAAAGGTTATTTCATGTTTTTTTTTTTAATTTAATGGAAAATAAATTCACTCAAAGCAGAGTATAACACTTGTAGTCTTCTCCTAAACAGGTTTAATATTATTACACTTTCCCCAAGAGGGCACTAAGAAATTTAACTCTCTTTAACCCTTTGATCCCTAAGAGTGACCAGTATCTCACTTCTCCTTACAATATCACCCCTGAATCACAATTTAAGGTCACAAAAATATGTATGGAGAATATACATACAGATGTTGGGGTGTAAAAGATTTATTGCCATATGATTTCCCTGGTTTCCCTCCACTGCCTCCATTACAATATGGGAACTACTACATGCTACAGTATGTCAAAAGAGAAGAACAAAACTGCAAAGTGGGAGGGAATTATGAATTTTTTTCATCTTGAAAAAAATTCAGTGTCCCAAAATAAAAAATCTGGACTCATTTTAAGTTTCAGGCAGGTAATACACTGTTCATTTCCCCAAATTGAAGTCGTTACAGCATTTCCACAAAAAGGAACATGTTATGTTAACTTTGTGCAATTAATGGGCCATTATACACAATGATGTGAATACAAGTTTTAGCTTTGAAGTGTTGTACTCTAGAGTAGGAAACAATACCTCTATTTCATCCAATGGACCTGGTTTTGGACCAAACTTTTTTATTTGGATCTCTGGGTCCAGCTTCAGAGTCACCTATAAAAAAAAACTTAAAAAATTAATAGAGAATCCACTTACAATTTATTTTCAAATGGCACCAAAGCTTCTAGATAATGTATCTGCCAAACACACACTGTAGAAATTTCATTACAACTCTTTAATTAACATAGTTTCCCAAGATTTTGTTTTACCTTGATCTGTTTTATCCAATTAACCACAGCTGTCTCCAACACATGAATGACAGCAGGCCGTCTACTACTGTATGCTGCTGCCTCTGACAACACCTCAATAGATGGCAGCGGTAGAGTGACCTGATCTTTTGAACTGCCCTCGCAAACTTGCAGGACTGAAACCAGCCTGTGGACTAGGTCCATAAGTTTGTCAGCACTCACACCTCCACCCATTTCAATACTTAACAGTGGCAAGAACACATCCTTTGTCAAAGTACTTGCATGGGTCAAAGGTTGATAAGAACAATCACAAAAAGCAACATCTGTCACTATATTGTCTCTGGAGAGTTTTCCTGCTTCATGAATCTTGACAAAGTAAACAGACTTTTCCTTTGAGCTGCTGGGTGGAGTAAGTGATGCCACAAGATTTTTGCCAGCAGGAGATGTTGAGTAATATATAAACAGCTTTTTCATCTCTTCATTGTTGCAAAATTCAAACATAGCCTCTCTACAAAGAGAAATAGTCAATCATAATAAATGAAACTTGCAATGCTCTTGCATGAGTACAGTTTGGCTGGAAAGGAGCTACATACACAACATTTGCTCAACTAAAATGAGAAGGAGGGATGTTGAGGACTCTCTCAAAATTTAGTCCTTGTAAAATTACTAGATGTAAATTTTGAATAAGTGACTTATCACCTTGCCTTAAATACGTGCCCACTCTCTACTAGGCCCCCTCTCCCAATGAAGCGCCCACACCCTGCGCCATAATTTCAAACAAGCACCCCTCTCAAATTAGCTCCCTTTCCATCCTTCTTCACTTTCAGAAATAGCTACATCTAGAGATACAAGGAACTCCTGCTCATATCAACACTTTATTTATATCTTTTAAAGCTTCAATTACAGCAGAATTAGTACAGGTTAATAGCTTCTTAGTAAGCACCCCCCACTCTCTATCCAATAGGTGCACCTCCCCTAAGCCAAAATTTTTAACGAGGAGTGGGGACGTATTTGAGGAAACACAGTATTTACATTTTATTGAATGGAATAAGGCAATCTAGTAATGTGGTCAAAAACATTATATGGTGATCCTGAAACAGGCACACATCTTGATGCCTTGATTGAAGCTTGGTTCTTAAAAGTCTTACATAAAGTCTACAATCTCACTGGAAGGCAATCAACCCAGTTTCCATACTCAGTATGAACTAAACTTATAGCTATTCTGCTTACAAAAATCATAGTTTGGAACCTCAGCCTTTAAATGTTCTGTATCTTGAGATATATATATATATAAATGTATACCCTTGAGTAGGGAGTAAGTATCAGAATCTACCACAAAACTACTTTCAACACAAAGATTGATTGCAAAATATAATTTAGGTTGTATGGAACTCTTATATCATCATAGAAGCAACAAAATCTATGGCTAATGCTAAAAAACATTACCTGCTCTTTTCATTGGTGAACATGTGCTTTAGCTCCTCTGCTCGTGGTTTGAGAGATGATGTCACCCTAGTCTCTATCCACCTCAGCCTCTCATCCAACTCCATGTTTCAGTCTTTATTTATTTCTCTTGACTGGAACTTGATTTCATTTCTTTCTCTGAAAAGTACATTTAAACACATTTAACTGAACTGTTCATTCACCAACTCAGGCACAAATGGGAAGACATCTATGACTTGTGATCCAAATCAAGAAAGACATTTATTTAGTATATAAAGATAACTCTCTGAACATTTTCCTAACCCTTTAACTCCCAGAAGAGATTAACATAAAACTTCTCCCTAAAATATCCATACATTATAATAGCAAACAGGTAATGAGAATATTCAAACTTCTCAGGTAGAAGCTGCTATCTTGATCTAGCACCAAGCTCTCATAACTAATTTACAGGGAAATGTGTAGCAGCTAGAGGGGAGAATTAACAATCAGATCTTGAGAATGTGCATTTCTACCTGGCACACTCCCAGCATTAATGATCCCTACATTTCCCAAAGATCTACCCATTCTCGCCAACACTCTCATTTTAGGCAATCACTTAGACATAGAGTTCTACACTTAAAACTGACTTGAAAAGATAACTTAATTAAGTCGTGATCAATCACGTAACTCGTCGTCTCTGTTATCAGAAGAAAAATAGTTCTGCATGTGGTGAACGACTTGTAGCAAAGGTTCGAACATCAAAAAGAAAATACACTTTTGACAATTGCATTTCTTTCATGTGTTACAAATGAAGACGACAAAATCAAACAAGCCAAAATAAGCCAGAGATCAAAACCTGCAAAAATAAAATCTGAAAATATACAGGAAATCGATTATAATTGGCTGTGAAATGAGCAAGGTTTTTTTTTTCAACTTTAAGCTAATCGTATTGAGCTACAGCAGTTCGCATATAGATCAGTGCACTTTCATCTTCTAACAGTATTATCGCGCATAAGTAAGTTGTCGGTCAAAGCCTACTTGATAAGTGAGAAATTTGGAATTCGCGCCTACTCTCACAGCCTGCAAAAGTCACTTCTGACTACATCTGAAGCCAATACTCTCCACTTGTATACAAAATAAAAGTAACTTACAGCTTACCTGCATGAATTCATCCACTTCCTCGTCTAAGAATTTAAGAAATGATCACATCTGACAAAACCTTGAATGCGTTTGTTGTGCTGTCTTGTATAAAAAGTCCGCCATCTTTGTTTGACTTCGTTGCCAGAGTTATAGTCACGTGACCTGATATCGATCTAGTATTGATTGCCCGAAACAAGTTAAGATGGCGGACGGAGCGGTTGGAAACGATTACAAGTGTTCAGCTGGGATTATCATCATAGGAGACGAGATCTTAAAAGGTCATACCAAAGATACAAATTCTTACTATCTCTTTAAGAAATTATGGTCCTTAGGAGTTAAAGTGGGAAAAGTTTCTGTGATTTCAGACGACGTGGACGAAATTGCCCACGAAGTAAGAAAATTCTCCTCTAGATATTCTGTCGTTATAACTACTGGCGGAATTGGCCCCACTCATGACGATGTTACAATGCAAGGCATCGCTAAAGCCTTTGGAGAAGATTTAGTTCTTAATGATGAATTAGTGGAACTAATTTCGAATTCTTATCAGCATGAAATTAACTCGTCCCATTTGAAAATGGCTCGGGTTCCTTCGTCAGTGAAACTGGCTTTTGGAAAAGATCCCTCGGGAAAACCGAGCTGTTTTCCTCTCATATCTGTACATAACGTGTATGTTTTTCCTGGAGTGCCGAAGTTCTTGGAAAAGTCGTTTGGCCTTTTGGAAGATATTCTTTTAATTTCCAACCGTGAGAAGCGGTTTCTGCTGCGAAAGATTTACCTCTCAGTAGATGAGACAGAAATTGCTTCCATTCTAGATGAGGTGTGTGAGAAATTTAAAGGCATAGTACACTTAGGGTCATACCCTGATTTCTGTGACCAAAATTTTAAAGTAAAACTGACTGTGGAGTCTGCTAGTTCAAAGGATCTCCAAGAGGCCTGGGACTGTCTCCTGGGAAAGTTACCCAAAGACTATGTGGTGAAGACTGAGGAGGACGCACGTGTCTGTGATGCTTCACCTTCAGAATGTAAGTTTTGTTTCACAAAAGTATATGTATATTACTAAGCAGGAGGTTATCATGACTGCAAGTCCTTTTTTTGTATGTTTTACGAATTGAGATTGAAATCCATCTTACCTCCTAGTTAGAAAATATGATTCACTTCATCTTGTTTGATTGTGGGATGAGCCTCTAACTTTTTTTTTTTTTTAACTGTATTTGCAATGAATGTTGCAGTGATGCAGAGACAGTTTGTCATAAGAAGGTTAATCATGAAGTGTGCTAGCCCTGTAAGACTCCTGACTGTGTTTGTGACTATAAGGCTTTGAAAACCTCTGCATAAGTCATTACTTAAGTCCAGTGAGTAGTCATTTGTTAGAGTGGGCCCAGTTGATCAAAGGGCAGATAAAGTGATCCAACAGATAAATTGCTATCCAACAAATAAGTGTTAACAAAATATAATGCACTATCCATCAGGTAGAGAATTATCCATTGGATAGCATTATCCATTCTTCAAACAACTGGGGGCAGATGTGTTAAGCTGCACCCAAGAGACCTTTTACAGCAGAGATCTCAAATGAATTCTCCTTTCTCGCTGTGATACATTTTTAGTAATGTCAACTGTGAGAATTTGGAGTCAAATCACAAAGCACTCCTTCATTAATGCTGATAAAGGAAATTCTTGGAGGAAAAGGGTTTGAGAACTTATCACTGACAGTAACCAACAACAGTCCTTTTGAGGATAAACTTTATCTGGACAATCACAGTGAAGGAGCACTTGATACTATAATTTCTCCACTGAGAGGTCTCTACCTTCTCTTTCCTTAGATCTGAAAATAAGTTCTCCTCTCTGTCGTTAATAAATATTATATAATTGTAGCTCTGAGAATTTTTTTTAATCAAACAATAAACTCTTCTTGATATTTTGCTTCTTTTCTTATCACGTTTCTGATTGCGACAATATTATTGGGAGAAATTATGGAATGGTCATTCACAATTTTTCCATTAAGGGGTCTCTACCCTTTCTTTTGTTAGATCTAAACATCAATTCTCTTCAATGTCTTTGTACAGCTCTTATCATTGGAGTTCTGAGAATATGTCGTGTAATCAAACAGTATCATCTTATTGATATTTAACTTTCTTCTCATCACCTATCTGATGGATGATGTACCAACATTGTAAGGAGAAATTACTCATTAGTCACCCCCAGGAGTAAAAGGGTTAACCTTCTCTCCACTTGGAAAATAACTAATATTTTAATAACCTATTACTATATTTTAGGTCCACCCAGCCCTACCTCTCTGAAAAAAGATGCTAAGCAGGTGGTGAATGTGGAGAAAGTGTACAGCCTCCTTGATCCCGAAGATGAATCAAACACAAGTGCTTGCCTTAAAGGTGCCTGGGCTATTATACAACAGACACTTCAGCTGTATTCTCTTGATGAGCTGTGCATCAGTTTCAATGGTGGTAAGGACTGCACTGTGCTGCTCCACATTTTGCATGCAGCGCTGAATAAATTATCACTACCTGCCCAAGAGCTAAAGGCCGTATACTTTCGCTATGAGTCACCATTTCCACAAGCAGAAGAGTTCATCTCAGAAACTACCAAAAGGTACAATTTGAATCTCATAACATTGACAGGGGACATTAAAACAGGTCTGAGGACATTGAAAGAAACTCACCCAAAAGTCAAGGCAATGTTTTTGGGCACCAGAAGGCATGACCCATTTTCTGATATACTGCGCACATTTTCTCCAACTGACCCAGACTGGCCACATTACATGAGGGTTAATCCAATTCTTGATTGGCATCATGCAAATGTCTGGGCAGTGATCCAGGAATGTAATATTCCATACTGCAGTCTATATGATGAAGGATACACATCACTAGGAAGCACCCACAATACTAAACCTAACCCTGCCTTGAAATGTAGTGATGGTGGTAACAAGTATAAACCAGCCTACATGTTGGAGGATGGGAATCTAGAGAGGGCAGGGAGAACCTGATTGACTTTTTTGTTAAGTAAAGAGTACTTTTGGATTAACTTGTGCAGCAGATTTCTCACTTTTGGAATGAACAGTTGGACAAAGACTGAGCTGTGCTGTAGATTGAGAATAGAAAGGGTTATGTCAATTAAATACATGTACATGCAGGTACCCTTTTTTTTTTTTGAGGGGGGGTTGGGAATGGTTCAGTTTAACACACAATGTGTGTTGCTTTTAACTACTCCTGTCCTTAAAATATGCAACTTTGTGTATTCAGAGCAGATAGCTCATCAAGATAATTATAGTCTGCTATGCACTTTGTATCTTTGGTATGCAAAAGTTTAAAAATACTTTTCTTTTCATGGTTGCTTTGAAAATTGAATAAATAATGAAATGAGTAAGCATACTCTGTTTTCATTTATTTCACATTACACTCATTTCTAAATTGAAGCAGGAACTTGTTCCTGAAAAATGCCTAGCGACTAAGATATTACACTAACAGACATGGTAATTGCATAGCATAATATCGTATACAACATCCTGCACTGATTTGAATTGAACCTCTATCTCTGAATTTTCTTTCATATTTTTTAACATTTCATCAATGTATGAGCAGAAAATAATCAAATAGCATGGTTTAAAAACCTTGCATAGTACAAAGTTGGACTTTGCTGTGTACCTCCAGTAGGAACTTTTAAGGTACCTACAAACAATCAGAGCTTGGGAAAAGTTTGAATGCCAACCTGCACATACCTGAGTCATTCTCCTGTGAGCCTGAGCTTATTAAAAAATTTATAGGGAGGAGATAAAATGGAAATTAATTAAACACTAACAAGTGATAGTATCAAACTGCAAGATATTGGATATACAAAGGCATTATACCTAAGTTGTGTTTCCCTTGTCTTCTGCAAAATATTTAACATTCAACTTTTGATACAAAATTTATATAAACTGCCATTTTCAAATGGTTGCATTGGCTATTGACAGGATTTGCAACATTCTACCTTTGCATTTGAATCCATCTAAGTATGGACTTTAATGATCATTTGAAATACTATCACACTTGACAATTTAGATGTTCACTTGTCACTCTTATCCTACTACACCACTAGGACTGGATCCTTTTACCTCCTTGTTGCGTTAGCTAATGTCCTATTTAATTGGTTTACTTTCTTTATTAGGTTTATTTAGAGCTGAGCTAACAATGTTACAGTCTTCACAATCATTCCTACAGTACACATGTATGATTTTCATATATCTTCAGCCATTAATTACTACCTTGAACAAACAAAATAAAGTTCAAAACTCCTTCAGCTCCCATTAAATTTACTGGGGAAAAACTGAGGGATTTGAGGGAAATGAAAACATGATGTCTCATTGGTGATCACTCGTGCAGAATAAAATTTGACACATTGTTGATTAATGCTGATGATTGAAATAGACATGACTAACACTACTTCCAGTGAAATGATAGGACTGTTTAAATCAAGTAAGTTTTTTACTATTGAGATCTTAACTAATTTGAAATTTGGCCCCTATTGCTCAATCTAATGGTGAATTTCCTTGGTTGCTTGATTACTCAAGTTAGAAATCTACTTGACTCCCTCACAACAGAAGGAGGCTATTTTTTTTCCTTGAAACATGGTTGAAGATGGTTTTGAGCAAAATTATTTCTACAGCCATTATTCAATTTTACCATGTCTTTAAAGCCCACTGCTCTAGCCTATTTGATATGATTAATGAACTGTTTGATTCCTAAACTCTTTCGGATACTGTCACCTTACTTTGGTATTCCTACATTATGAATAGCAGCACATACTTATCATATTCCAATTTTTGTCCTTCAGTTTCTTGTCACAAATTTGTTCTTTGACTTCATGCAAATAATCAATGTACAAAATGAAGTAAATGGGGTAAGTTTTTAGAGAAACTGTGGTGTTGCATTGGTGGGAGAATACAACAGTAATTTAGTATTATCAACTGAGTTGATAATGTAAAGTGGCCACTGTTAAGAGTTTAAAAGCTGATGTTTTGAGCATCAGCCCTTCATCAGAGTGATTAGAGTTTAAAAAGCTGACATTACCAGCGTTAGCCCTTCATCAGAGCAATTGGAGTTTAAAAAGCTGACATTTCGAGTATTAGCCATTTATCAGAGCAATTGTAACTTAAAAGGTGACGTTTCAAGTGTTAGCCCCTCATCAGAGTGATTGGAGTTCAAAAGCTGACATTTTGAGCATTATCCCTTCATCATAGGGATTGGAGGTTAAAAGCTAACATTTTGAGCATAAGCCCTTCACCAGAGCAATTGCTACAAAATGAAGTATTTTTAGTTCTACCTTGTGAGGTTAAATCTGATATCATGAATTCTACCAATAAAAAATACATATATCCTAGTAGATGTTTTGGTGTGTGGTATCACTGAATATTTCTACGAGTTGTGCCGTATTTTGACAAGCCCATAGGGTAAGTCAAAATACAAACAATGAGTAAGACTACTTGGCAATACTACACACCAAGACATTAAATAAGTTATTTATTATCCAACTGCTTTTTTTTTCTGCAAATTCTTTCTGCTAATTTCACATTAGGTGGGAAAAGCAAAGTGGGTAGGAAAGCATAGCTTGCGCAGCCAACTGGTCAAACATATTTTTTTTATAGTACAAAATAACCAACTGTCCAAATAACCATACAAAATCACAGGATATCTGAACTCTATTTGCCCCCTATTTGAATTCTACTTTTGTGCTGTTGGATATTAAATTTAATTACAGCTTTGAAATTCTTTGATATTGAACAATAATTGTTCAATATCAAAGAATTTCAAAGCTAAGTTTGATTATTTATTACTCAATAATATGCTGTTAATACCAATAGTCATCTTTCTTTCTTTTCTTTTCACGATGTACTATATTATTTTTCTCCTCACTGGAGAGAGCATCCTCAACATCACCCTCATTTTCCTGCCAATTTAAGGAAACAGCCTCTCTAACCTGACAGAATTGAAAATAAGGACGCACTCCACCTTTGACACCTTGCCAAGTGTCACTCTCTTGGGTGCGCTGATTGAACATCATGAATGTCTCAGTATCACAGTCCAAATAGCATTCAATTACATCTTTGTCATTGCAGTTAGTTATTGAACTCAGTTTGGGCACTGATAAAGCCTGACTGTACTTAGTTTTGGATTTCCACATCCAGTGAGCTTCCAAATTCACTGAATTGTCAGTTACAGAAGTGCTTTCAACAATACCAAAAGCAAATTCTTCAGAAATGTCACATAGCTGGACTTTCCATGAATGTTTAGCATTGGAAAATGTATTAGATCCAACTACTGCCATTCCGCTTTCAAAGGTTATTCTACTCTTGCCCCAGGAAGTTGGTTCTGTGGTTAATACCCTTATTGAGTGTTGTTTGCATACCTTTTTTTTTTCCTTAAACTTTTTTTTGGCTATTGGTATACTGCATTTACAGGATGCCATCATAGAACCATTTGTTAGATGACACCAACTACCTGAGCAAAGATTCCACATTTCATTAAACCACTTGTAGGGACTTCCCTTTATATGACAACCATTGAGTTTCACAGACAGCTGGTACTGCAAATTTTTAGCATTTGGAGTTACACAGAATGTATACTTTCCATTTCCACAGTCTTTAGGTGAATCATTGAATACTACATCATCTGCCTGTGTGCAGATTTCTACTTCACATCTATCACCACCTTCCTGCTGTTTCCTCCCATCGTGCCCTTTTGCAATAACAGTGAATTCAACACATTGTCCACATAGTGTATTATACATCACACCCTCTAGTCCATTTCCCATAACAACTGTTGATGTACAAGCACATGTGAGTCTATCAGTGACACTTCCAAAGTTGGTTATCATCTTCTCCAATTGGTCACCAGCAGAAAATTTGAAGCCATCATGTGCGCATGGCTCCAGTTGCCATTTTGTTGAAGTTAGTTCCTGTAATCGACCGGTCATTTGCTTGTGCATGTTTAAAATCTCAACTTCACTACCATTTTCCAAAGCCTTTTCTGTGAATTCCAAGCTGCTTTGCAAGGCACACAAGGCTGCCTCCAGTTCTTCCTGTTGATTATTTAAAGACTTCTGCTTGGCTTCTTTCAGCTTTAAAGTGCTATGAACTAACTCTTCACAACGAGAATTCAGACTAGCCATTAGGCTCTGAAAAAATTCAATAACTTCTTGAACAGTCTTTTCTGAGCCCAATTCAACACTTCTCTATCAAACTCTATCAATTGCCACCTTAAGTAACCCTGCTTTACTTTTTGTCTCTGAGAGAATTTTCAACATGTTTTTCTTATTCTTTGCAAAAGCATCTTTTACAAATGTATACTTATGTTCACGATGCTTCACAATTGTACAGTCTCTACAGATAGCTTCATTGCATGTCTCACAAAACAGCTTCAATAACTCTCCATCATGTTCCTTGCAAAAAATGGGTTTTTTCACAGCCTCAGATCCCATCTTTTTTGCTTCTTCAAGTGACACCACACAATGTTCCCTTGTGTTACGTAAACGACGGTGAGCCTGGGTGCAAAACTCACAGAGGAAGTAGCAGCATGTGGTACATCTGTTCACAGGAGGGTCCCCATTATCACAGAGATCACACTCCAAGTTACTACTTCCAGAATCACCATGAAGAGAAACCATGGATAATAAATTGTTGAGGAAGAAGTTAACTGGTAGGAAATCAACGTTGCCATCAGGAATCTGTGTAGGCCAAAAAAAACATACATTTGTTTGAAATTTGCTTACTTCAGTTTCTTTTCCATCGGGGGTGGGGGGTGTTATGTCAATGTCGAGATGCTCAACAATTATACTAAGAAACAGAGGGAGCTGCTTGTTTGAAATAATCTTTTAAATTTCTCTCCTTTTTCTATTTTTCAAACTGGGAAAAAATCTTTTCCAAGCTACTCAATTTATCAGAAGCTTGGTTTGTATTAGAAAACCGTTGTTGCACAGATTTCCATATGACTCCAACCCCATACTAGTCTGAAACAAAGAAGTTCTCCCAAGTGGAGGGGTGGTATAGCCCAGGAGAACAACTTGTGTACATGTACGACTTTGCGCAGCTAGCCAAGGTTTAATTTAATAACACTGTATCTTACCAATAGCACTAGACATGGGGAAAATAAACAATGCACACAACAGATAACTGATGTATTTTCCTTCATGTTTAATTACTGAAGATGCCCTTGTGAAAAACACAGGAAATGGCATTCTGAGACCCTAAATTTGAAAATTTTCTGGGGGAGCATGTTCCTGGTCCCCTTTAATTTCGTGTACCTTTGCCTCATGATATTTTCTAAGTGTCAGTTCACCTTAAGAATCTCAGGTTAAGCCCCTGCGAGAGGATTTCAACTCCTCAAAAAAATCTGAGTTATTTTAAAAACAATGTGATAACCGGCTGAACAATAACATGCAATAATGCTCAACTAGTGTTTAAAACAAAGGCTGAAAAATTCTTACAGTTCAATAATTCATTGGTGTCATATACTGCATAATTCTTAATTTTGTCTGTCTATATATACAAGCATTCATGCCAAGGGAAGCCATTAAATTTGTTGTGAATATCATAATTTCTCATATGCAATTAGTGAAACCACACTGTAGAAGTAGGGAATATTAAGATAGGAGTACTGAATTCTTAGCTTTACATTTGGCTTTTTGGTTTCATTTCTAAATGGCTTAATCCCAGAATTGGGGGTTCCTTAATGCAAGTGAATACACATTTGAAACTGCAATAGCTATTAGATTGCTAGAATCACTGGTCAAACTGAGATAACCAGGTCTGTGAAAACTAGTCTGTAATAATGTTCATCTTGAGAAAATTATCTCTTCTCCCACGAAAAATGGTGACCCCAGAGATTGGTCAAAAATGATACATTTAATCACAGCTTGCCAAAAATACCAGGTTTCTGATCCTCTTACTAAACTGAAGATGGGAGTAATATAATGAAGGGTGGGAGTTGGGAGGCAGAGGGGAAAAAAAGTATGGGAGGTGGGAGAAAGAAGTATGGAAAGTGGCAGGCTGTGACCTCCTCCTTTCCCCCTTCCCCCCACTCCCAAAGGCAGCCAATTGTTTTTGCGTTTTTTCTTTAATCCAAAATTAAAAACTGTATGCATCTTTACTGAAGTTTGGGGCTGCACTGAAATCTTGCCCTATGGTCTTTTAAGCCAACTTCAATTAAGGCATTCAAACGAGATGAGAAATTTAAGATAATTAAGGGCAACCAGACGAGGTCTAAAACAAGAGGTAATTACTTGGGCTTTCCAAAGGAAACGCCCGAGGCATAAATTCGGCTTTTTTTTTTTTTTTTTTTTTTTTTTTTTTTTGTGTTCAGTCACAAAACGCAGTTTCACTACAGTGCATGCATAGAATGAACACAAGAGCGTATGGTTTAAAGCAATGGCTGCCTTCATGGGAAATTCCTAGCTTGATGTACGCGAAAGAAATTCAATGGCTATTATGCTCAATATACATACAAAGTCACACACCGTTCGCGGTAGACCCACACTAAAACTTGTGGAGCATTTTGGAAACAGGTCGGTCCGCGAACTTTATGAGAGATCAATTTACAAGTGATCCTTTACAAGTGAACTTTCTATCGAGAAATATCAAGCGAAACCTGCTATGTCAAACGACCATCTAATATTATGTTTACATGTAAACACAACCGTGTATTTAGACGTGATCAAGAACTCAATAGAAAACCAGAAGCTACTCTGAAACATCTCAGAAGAAAAGGCAGAAAACTGAAGGAATTTGTTTATGAGTGTATTCATCCAAGCATACTGAAGTCCTCTTGGCTATGTCGTTATGTGAAGGTTAGAAGAGTTACAAAGAATGTTTGTAAGCTTAACATGAAGAGGGTAAGATTAAATAAAGTGACACGACATGAGAAGAAGTATTTGTTGAATTGTTCTGTGAGGGTATATCAAAGGATAATTAAATTGAAGTGTGGAGCAAGTTGGTATTTATCAATGTTCTCTTGTAATGTGACCCTAACAAAACAAAAACGGCACCATATAGCCAAGTGAATGAGTTGGTATTTGGACAAAATTCAGGACAACAATGTGTTGCAATGAGTCATACTCTTTGATTTACAATAACAAACAAGGAATCATTCTGCTGATGATCTTGTGTCAATAATGAAAATTGGAAATCGGTTGTATTCAAGTTTGTCTCAGTTAACCAGACAATCATTTTTAATGCAGACAGAATTACCCACACTTTAAAAATGTGTTAGAGACTGACTATGAACTTCAATACAGTGAGAACTACACTGGTACTATTCATCAAGAAGCTACAGTAGAAGGATATCAGCACTGTACCTCCTTAGATAGAGCCTTTCAATCACTAATATCCAAAAATTTCAACAATTTTGTATTGACAATGGGATGTACTGCAGTTGCTATCTGTTGTAAAGGTAATGTGGGCATTGAAAAGTCCTTGAATTTCAACCTTTGGCATCTGTAGGAACCTACTCCTATATGGTAATATATTATTTTGATTGTTGTCTAGTACCATAACAACATTCATTACACTCCAGCAGACAAAAATAAACACAAGTAGACTTATTCATGACCGGCAATGACGAAATTGCGTGACGACAGTAACAATGGCAATATGACAGTCCCCTAAAGATAACTCCAGATGTGCTATATTGAAAGCACGAGTTCACGCAGTTATGCGTCTAGTTTATATTAAAATTATGTGATGTTTTCCATCAAAAGAAATCAAAGAATGTTCTACCTTCAGTTTCACATGGCTTACATTCGTTGTTCTCATTCAACTTAAAGCACGCAACTCCATCTCGTGATCACCCCTTTATTTCCTCAAGTCAAGATTAGTATTGCCCCTAATTCGTGCTCTGCCACAAAGCAAAGCACAGCCTTCCTTTGTGAAGGTAAATTCGAGTCACGCGATGGCAGAAGCTAATCTTAAAAGTACAGCGTAAGGACTCTGCTAAAAAATCGAATGATTAACAAGGCTACGTCAACTTAAGTGTCATTTCACAACCGCTTTTCACGATAATCTTGGCCCAGTCATACAATGTAGCGTATTAGATCAAGTTCCATTCGTACTAACGAGTTCTGTGATCGAGTATTAGGGTACTAAGTTGTAAGACTGAATCACCCGACAAGTTAACATCTACTCACTAAAAATACTAACCTCTACACTGATCCAACAAGAAGGACAATTCAACTTCCAAGCGTTTCCTTCTCTACAGACCAGCCCCTCCAGACATATTTTACAGAAGGAATGAAGACACGGAAGAACTTTGGGATCTTTGAACTGTTCCAAGCACACAGTGCATTCCAATTCCTTCTCTAGATTTTCGGCCAACGTTGAAGCTTTAGCCATTTTTGGTAGATCTCCTTCCTCTCTAGAAAAAAAAATGAAAAAACGCACAAGACAGTTCGACGACCGAGTGGAAATCGAAGAGCTCAGAGTTTCTAGGAAAGCGACATTCTGGAAAATCACGTGATAATATTTCGTCCACCCTTTTTATTACCGTAGGTACGCAATGCGTACAAGTATGTCTAATTGCTTGCAGTTCAGAAGGCTTTGAAGTCGCGGGTTTTTGAGCAAGTGGAAAAAATTAATTAAAGATTTTCTGGCTACCTATGATCTTAAATGGCCAATTTCTCATGGAGATTAACTCAACTAATGATTAACATTCCAGCCATAATTATTATTGCCAGATGGTGATGGATAAGACAGTTGAGCTTCCTAAGCCACAAAAAAAAAGACTAGAAAAAAGAAAGCCAGCTGATTAACAAAGGAGTCGGTAACCCAACAGAAAGAGAAAGAGAAAGAGAAAGACTCGTAGCAAAAAAATGGGGTACAGAACATGAATTGAAATATAAGCTATAAGTAAATTTTGATGTTTTAGGAATAAGGTAAGTTGCTCTGGGTGATTAAAAAATATATCCATTCTAATGGCCCATGTGCTATTTTAACATGTCTTGAAACTGTGAGGAGAATTTATAAAACTTTTCAGATTTTGGAAAGCTCATTAAGCATTACAAAATAACAAAGCAACTAAAAAAGATGAAAAGGAGACATAGATATCTTTATAAGGATTTAACAGACTTTCACAGCAATAGGCCATTTTATAGTTGTGTACTTATTTGCCAAGCCTTTGATGTGGAGTGGAGCTGAAGGTGACCTTGTCGTGATAGAGACCAGTATCTAGTTAGCACAGTAACAAAGTGATTTACATTTGAAAAGCAGCAACGTTTGTATCATAACAAGGCCACCCTTAGCCTCACTCCAATTCAAAGGCTTGGCAACCAAGCACATAACTATGATATAGACTATAGGAAAAAACACAAAGGGACATATGATGCTTTAAAAATCATCAACTTGAAATGAATAACATCTAAGTTAATTTTCAATGTCTTATTTATTTTCATTAAGACAATTCATTCTGCAATGAGCTTGACAATTATAAATGTATATATCTGAGAAAAAAAACCCAGAATTAAGCAAATAGGTGGGAATTATTTAGCTAAGGCCCATAGTTAAAAAGTTTCCCTTATTTGATACTCAATTTTAGGTAGAAACTATAATTTTATTATAGAAATTTATAAGTGGAAACTTAATGTAAAGCTTGTGATTTAGAAATAAATTTACAAATTCATACAAATATGTGTGAATTGGCAGAGAAACATTCCAAATGGTTCTAAAAAAAATATCTATCTTGCTCCAACTTTGATACCAGTATGTTAAATCAGATCTCATGCACAGCTTGTAACCATCGGGAGACAGAGGATTAGGCTGGTATTAGTCACCTAGCACCCACATCCAATGCAGAAAGGAAGAGCTGGCCTGAGGTATCAAGGGAATAATACCAGTAATTATTTAGTCATACCTGCAAAAAAATTCTGTAAGGCCTGTTTTCAGCATATTTTTTCTGACATTTTTTATTCATCATCAACTATAATTATAACCACCCAATAAAACATCATGCCCCAAAGTAAGATGGACTGTTGGAATTTAACATCAATGTCAAACAATTATTCCAGTGAGTCACTCATCAATAATTATCAGATGAGACCTTAATCCTTTAACCCCTGGAAGTGACTGGCATCTAATTTCTCCACACCATATTACACCTGAATCAAACATGAAGGTCAGGAGAATAAAGGAGCTGATCACCAACTAAAGAAGCTCTTGATTTTTAGACAAATTCTCCATGTTAGCATCTTAGGAAACATTTAGAGAGCAGTATATGCAGAATACTGATGTATAATTACTTCAGTGAGTAATTGTCAAATAGGAAATATTTCAATAAAATAAATTGATACTAAAATGGAAAAGTTGAGAGACAGCTAAGCCTAAAAAAACTAAGTATAAAGTAATTGTTAAGCAAAATTTAAGATTCAGTGTCATAAAAACCAAATTTAAGCAACAAATTTAAGCAAATGAAAACTTAACAGTGAAAAAAATTGTCGCATAAAAAAGCCTAAAAGAGCCATAAGTGAGTATAAGGAGAATGCCACAGGCTTTGAAAAGACAGGCTTACCATTGATGCATATTCTAGGTATGCATATCACCCAATAATTGAGCTTACAGTATTGCAAAATGAGTGCAATCCAAGATTAATTTTGACACAATTTAAAATTGCCCTCAACCTTCTTAAAATGTGTTTTTGGTTTAAACAAGGAATAATTTTATCTCCTCAAATAAATTCTGAGCCCTCTAAACTAGTTGAAACATCTTTGTTTGACTTCGTTGCCAGAGTTATAGTCACGTGACTTCGTTGCCAGACTTATAGTCACGTGACCTGACATTGATCCAGTATTTTGATTGCCGGAATTAAGTCAAGATCAGGCCTGAGCTAAGATGGTGGACAGAGCGGTGCGAAACAATTCTAAGTGGACAGCTGGGATTATCATCTTAGGTGACGAGATCTTAAAAGGTCTTACCAAAGATAACAATTCTTACTATCTCTGTACGAAATTATGGTCCTTAGGAGTCAAGAGTTAAAGTGGGAAAAGTTTCTGTGATTCCAGACGACATGGAAGAAATTTCCCACGAAGTGAAACAATTCTCCTTCAGATATCCTGTCGTTATAACTACTGGCGTAATTGGCCTTAAAATGCACGGTATCGCTTAAGCCTTTGACGAAGATCTGGTTCTTAATGATGAATTAGTGAAACTACTTTCGAATTCTTATCAGCATGAAATTAACTCGTCCCATTTGAAAATGGCTCGTGTTCCTTCGTCAGTGAAAATGGCTTTTGGAAAAGATCCCTCGGGAAAACCGAGCTGTTTTCCACTCATATCTGTACATAACATTAATAAATCAGGGTTACCACAGTCAAGGAAAAATCAGAAAAAAACATATTTCTTCAAGGTCAGAGACGATTGTGTCAATGAATTGCATATAATATATATCATTTCATGGAAATTCAGAACTCTACTTGGAAGTCAATTAAAGGTTGGGACACTTTACTCTTTGTTGAGCCATTAGGTTTCTGAAAATATTTCATTATGTCAACACTGTTTCAAAGATAGGATAGTCAGATACCTTAGCTTACATTACTTGCCATAGAAAAAAAAAATGGCAGAACCAAACATTGCTCAAAGTTCAACATTTATTTTACTTTCACTGTATGCAGGCCCAGGACAGAAGCTCAAAAAAAAAAACAAAGAAAAGTACATGAGGTAAGTAAAGTGGAATAAACAAAGCTTAAGTAAAGTTTAAGTCAGTGTGATCATTATGAACACCATGCATAAACATCATCCTGGCTAATTAGAAACCCATCTATCTGGCCCTAGAGTTACTAAGATTGAACCCACATGTCATTGATTGCTCTGTTAGTTGAATCAAATCTTCATTGAATTTAACTATAATCTGCATTCAAAAATTTGATTGACATAAATTCCAGGTCTCAAGTTGATAGTTGCTGCATGCACAGTGTGAACAGGTAAAGGCACTTGTAGTTGATGAGGAAGAACACCTCCCTCCCATGCCAGAACCTAGTGTAGCAGTTATTGACACTGAATCCAGCATGGAAAGTGACAGTATCCATGGAGGCTATCATAACATACTCTGCAGAAAGGAAAGGCAAAGACTAAGGGATGAAGTAAATTCACACCTTTATTCCTAGGAAAATCCTAGGAATTCCTAGGAATTCCAAAAGCAATTTTGCAAGGGAATTCTCCTGTTGATATCACTACTGGTGGAATTCGCCCAACTAATGACGATATTACAATGCAGAGTATCGCTTAAGCCTTTGACGAAGATCTAGTTCTTAATGATGAATTAGTGAACTAATTTCGAATTCTTATAGGCATGAAAGTAACTTGTCCCATTTGAAAATGGCTCGTGTTCCTTCATCAGTGAAACTGGCTTTTGGAAAAGATCCCTCGGGAAAATCGAGCTATTTTTCACTCATATCTGTTCATAATGTGACTGTATGTTTTTCTTGGAGTGCCGCGGTTCTTGGAGAAGTCGTTTGGCCTTACGCCTTGGCCTTTGGTCATTTAACAGTATGAAGATTATGTACAATGCTGTTAGGGTGGGAGGGTGTAAACATGATGTCTCTTTTTAAGCTTTCTCTGGAATCAGGCTATGTGACGACGTATTCGGCACTAAGGGCAGTTTGTCAGTACACAGTGTAACAAATTGCAATGCAGGCTCCTTTTTTCGCAACTGAACACTTGGATGTTCTTACAAAGAAGAAAGTCAAACTTTATTACAGAAGTCTTGTTGAAATTTTTCACCTGATCAAAATTTAGGCCCATAAACTTAGTTAACCCTTAAACTCCCAAGATCTCATTACTAATTCTCCTTACTGTCTGCTATACAGTTCTTGTGATGTTAGTTTAGAGAATTTTGTATTGGATCTACTTATAATCCCCTTACTGATATTTTTCTTTTTTCTCATTAGTTGTCTGCTTGATGTTGTATTGATATTGTAAGGAGAAATTCTGTCTTGGTCACTCATGGGAGTTAAAGGGTTAAGTAAGTGTTTAAAATGTCTTTTCTAACAAGGAATTTCAGGCCTTGGGTCATTCAAAACAACAATGTCTATGATTTGTATAACTAGTTATTTGGTGTTTTTCCTCTACACTCTACAAAAAAATCTCAGAAAATCTATCACTACATCATACCTGCCCAAATAGGTGCATTGCACCTCAGATTGTCACACAGTTTTGCTGCAGTTTGATTTTAGTATGAATATTCTAATGAAAACACATAAATGGCTATAACATTTGATACAACTATTCAATTATCTTAAGAGATTACCATTAGACAAAGCTAGACATGAGACCTCCAGGAATGACTTAGGGGCCGTTGAAAATAGTGGCAATCTCATTCAGTTAAGCCTTAAGAGCACCCATGCATCAAAGGGGATTGCTCTTTAATTCTAAATAAATGACATAATACTGGTATTTACATAAGGCCACAAAATGAGTAACACAAGCTCCAAGCTGCAACTAGAAAAAAAGTTGGGTAAATTTGCAAAGTAAGTTGCCAATTTGGCAATCTAATATTTGGCAACTTGTGCTAAGCAATTGTGTCGCAAGTTGTAATGTTTTCACTACTGTTATTCAAATATGAAGTCAAATTTAGATAGAAATCTTCTTAAAATATTACTCAAGCTAAGTCGTCATATTCTATTAAAATTTTCTCTTTTGGTATCCAAGAAAACCAAATTCAGCTACAAACATGCACTTTGCTATTATTGGCTCTGTGCATCATATAATATTCAAAGTGTCCTCTTTAATTTCTTTTCTGGTAACAAAAATTCAGTGACCAATTTGTCGTTTTTAGTTTCTATTCAAAAGTGACTTTGAAAACATTTCAGCTAAGATTACTAATTATACAAGACACCCTAAAAACTAAAATCCATCCAAATTTGATATGGTAATAAACTGATGGATTGCAATTGCACCAAAAAACAAGGCAATAAAAAATAATCCTATTTTATTTTACAGAGGAGTACAATAGCATAATCAATTTCTGTTGTGTTGTTGTAACAAGAATTGGATGTGTCATTGATCAAAATTTCAACAACAAAAAATCGGGGGGAAAAACAATTTTCAAAATATTGATTATTTTACTAACTTCACACTTTAACTTGTCTTGTTTTCTTCAAAAACCAAGCTTTTCTTATTGTTTTTCCAATTGTGTACATTTCAAACACAGGATGCTCTATACCCTTGACACTTTGCTAAGTGTCAGACTCTGGTGTGCTATGCACTAAGCAGTTTTAGTAGCCCAGTGTCCCAGTTCATGTAGAATTCGATCATATCATTGCTGCTACAGTTTGCAATAATAATTTTGTTCTTCTCTGAGAACTATGCCCACTGGGCTTTACTAAGTAACTTTGCTTCTAGAAATTAATATTCAATTGTTATTGTTAGTGGCTCATGTTTAAAGATCTCTCTTTACTCCCTCAAGCTTGAGAAGACTCTCAAATAATCAGTCCTTATTTCAAACATACCAACAAATACTTAACTTAGTTTTTGCATTTCAGTTAGTTGTTGCAAAGATGCACCTTAAGGCTCTTAAACTCAGTCTGGTTTTTCTCATGTTACCCTATCACAGAAACAGATTTCTGTTTCCACCATAGAATTTGCCTGAAATAATAACGTTATGAAATATATATTTGCATACAACACTATAACTTAGATTTAAAATGAAATCGAAGTGTAAAATGAATTTTATGTCTTCTAGCATAAGCACAGTGACTGCTTTTGGAAACAAGTGGAAAAAAAATCTTATCATGTAAAAGCAGTATTATCTGAAATTCTTAACCCTCTAACTCCTAAGATCTGATTGTAAATTCTCCCCTCTAGCAGCCACACATTTCCTTGCAAATTAGTTATGAGAAGTTGGTGCTAGATGAAGATAACAGCTTTTACCTGATAAGCTTGAATATTCTCATTACCTGTTTGCTGAATAATGTATGGTATTATAGGGAGAAGTTTCATGTTAATCACTTTTGGGAGTTTAAGGGTTAAGGTATTGACAATAACAGCAATAATGATGATAATGATGACAGTAATGATAATAAGACTAAAATTTTACCTCAATATTTCATTTTGGCAAAATTTGCCCCTATTTAACATTAATTTCCTTCCACTTTCAAATTGCATTTATCCTGTAATGACAAATTACGATGACTGTATTAGATTTTTGCCAGTCTAGTTAGATTGACATGATTTTAATTACACTCCAATAAATTGGTTTTCCTTTCCTTATAAAATTAAAGAAACCTCTTGACCATCTTTAGACATCTCAAACACAGGACGCACTTTACCTTTGATACCTTGCCATGAGTCACTCTCTTTGGTGCGCTGGTTGTAGATTGTTAACTTTCTGTTATCACAGTCCAGATAAAATTCAATGATGTCACCACTTTTACATTTTTTAATTGTACTTTTCTCAGTGTATAAGGGGTGGTACTTTTCTCCTGCCTCCCACATCCACTGGTCCTTACAAGGGCACCTCATTTCCTTGCTGACACCAACACCAAAGGAAAATCCATTAGAAACTTCACCAGATATTTTGGCTTTCCATGAATGCTTTCCAACTTTAAATGAAGAAGTACCAAAGACTGTGAGTCTTTCAGTCAAGTCTTCATCTGGGTCTGTGTCTTCATCAGTGTCTTCATCTGTACCTTCATCTGTACCTTCATCTGTACCTTCATCTGTACCTTCATCTGTACCATCATCTGCATATTTATCTGAGAAGACAGTATGTCGGTTTTTTAAAAAGGTTTTCATTGCTTTTACAACAGTTTCTTCATCTAGGTATTCATCTGATTCTTCATCTGTGTCTTCATAATCGTCTAGATCATTTTCCTCAAATGCCACATAAGTTGCCACCCTTGAATTTTTGTCCAACTGAATGAAGGAAGCTTCATGTTTTTCTGTGAAGAGTAGCCATTTTTCGGTGGGCCAGATGCAAGGACTACCTTTAACTTGACAACCATTCAATTTCACTGACAACTGGTACTGCACATCCTTTTGGTTTGGAGTAAAGTTGAAGCTGTAAGTTCCATTGCCAACATCTTTAGCTGGAAACTGAGCCACATCATTAAATCTAGTTTTGCCTTTTGGTACACAAATTTTTATTTCACATTTGTCACCACCTTTTCTTCGTTTCTCTCCATTCTTCTCTTTCGCAGTAACTGTGAATTCAACTGGTTGCTTGATGATTGTATCATACATCACATCCTCTAAACCATGCCCCATAGTGACTGTTGATGTACCAGCGTCTGTACAGAGATCGGTGATGGTTCCATAGCTGGTTAACACTTGGTGAAGTTGTTCATCAGCATGAAACCTAAAGCCATCGTGTGCACATGGCTCTAGACACCATATTTCAGAATTTAGTTCCTGTAATCGGTTGGACATTTTTTTGCGCATGTTCAAAATTTCCACTTTGCTGCCATTTTCCAGAGCTTTCTCTGTGAATTCCACACTGCTTTGTACACTGCATAAGGCTGATTCTAGTTCCTCTTGCTGGACTTCTAGTGACTTCTGTTTGGCCTTTTTCAGCTCTTGCACACCATGAATTAATTCCTCACAGCGAGCATTCAGACAGGCTATTTGTTTCTGAAAAGTATTGGTCACTTCTTGAACAGTCTGTTCTGCATGCAATTCAACACTTCTCCTCATCTCTGAGACTCTATCAATTGCCTCCTTTAGTAACACTGCTTTTCCTTTCGTCTGTAAGAGAATTTTCAACACACTTTCCTTTTTCTCTACAAAAGCATCTTTGACAAAGGTATACTTGTGTTCACGATGCTTCACAATAGTACAGTCTCTACAGATAGCTTCATCACATGTTTCACAAAACAGCTTCAACAACTCTCCTTCATGTTCCTTACAGATACTGGGTTTTGTTAAAGCTACAGATCCCATATCTTTGGCTTCCTCAAGTGACACCAGACAGTGTGTCCTTGAGTTACGTCCTCGCTGATGTGCTTGGGTGCAAAACTCACAAAGAAAGTGGCTGCATGTGTTACATCTGTTGACAGGAGGGTCTCCACTATCACAAATATCACATTCCAGCTTACAACTTCCTGAATCTTCATGAAGTGAGACCAGGGACATTAAATTGTTGAGGAAGAAATTAACTGGCAGGGAATCAACTTTTCCCTCGGGAAGCTGGGTGAAATAAAACAGAAGCAAGAATGTGATGTCAAAATCTGCTGTTGAAATGTTTTTCTCAACTAATAAGTGTATATGTACAGAGACAGGGGTAAGGCTTGTACGAATTCTAAATCAAACTCCTTGTCTTTCTTATTACATCTTCTGGTCTCTACGCTGGTTCACAGAGCCAGTTCACAGGTCTTCATGCATTTCTCTAACATTCAGTTTGTTTTACAGTTCTTACCTCATTTACCAATGAAATCATTCAAATCATTAGACCAACGGTTGCGATTGAATAAAGTAGTTGTGCTCTATCAAAGTACACGCCAAGGGTACGCATATGACGCTGTAACTAGAAGCGACTGCATGGGTAACTTAATCTGATTAATTTTCTATCAGATAATTAAGGGATAGCGAAATGAAAATCTTGCTCAAATCTCTTGAAAATTGCATATTAGCAATAAGAGTTTGGGGGAAAATAGTTTCTAAGTCTCCCTTTTATTCAAAAGCGTCGTTGAAACCCCTTTATTTTTCGTAAAATAGAGATACATTTCAGTAACGCGATGGCGGCCGAAAAGCGAATTCGAGCATCCTCTGAAAAATCACATTTTCTGTACAAAATTTGCGAAAACGCAGCTACATCAAGCCTTAACTTAATTTTTGTTTCACAAATCCTTTAATCTTCAAAGAATACTTGTGTAGCGTAAATTCAAACCTACCCTTTCATTACTCCAATGTGCACATGTACGTACAGTTCTACAAAGACCCTGTAGCGGTGTGGCGAACACTCAACGGTTTCACATCACGATGGTAAGGAATGATACATCACATTCATAAACTAACCTCTACACTAATTCGACAAGAAGGACAAATCAACTTCCAAGCGTTTCTTTTTCTATCGACCAGCCCCTCCAGACATATTTTGCAGAAGGAATGAAGACACGGAAGAACTTTGGGATCTTTAAACTGCTCCAAGCACACAGCGCATTCCAACTCCTTCTCTAAATTTTTGGCCAACGTTAGAGCTTTAGCCATCTTTGGTAAATCACCTTCCTCACGAGAAAAAAGGTGAAATAATCGCACAAGACAGCTCGACGCCCGAATGGAAAATATGAGCTTGTTAGGGTTTCTAGGAAATCGACGTTCTGGAAAGTCACGTGATAATTATGATGTCGATATCATGTTCTGCCCTTCTTTAACGTAGGTACGCAATGCGTACAAGTATATTCAACTAGTTGCATTTCGGAAGGGTTAGAAACTGTGGTTTTTTAATCACGTTAAAAAAAGACTTGATTAAATTGCTTTTTCAGCTGGAATTATAAGGGGCTAAAGATTTTCTGGCTACCTATGATCAACACTGGCTAAAACCTTTTTGGAACACCAAAAAAGAATCTTGCATGATTGATTAGTACAAAATAAGCCAATCAGCTACCTTTTAGCTTGTTGAGTTGGCTTATCATGCCCAAGAAGTTAAAACTGTCCAATCATCAAACCGTATCGTGACAGCTAATCAAACACAAACTCGTGAAGTATACAGGTTAACTTGATGGGTTTGAAATATACTGAGGCAGTCTGACTTTCCATTATAGAAGTTTGCAGAAGGTCAATTAGTACTAAGGGCCTTTAGCAGTGAGCAACGCGGAGAAGGACGTCGATAAAAAATTGAATTTGTTTTTAAAACTATGATTTTGCAAATGGCTGGATGCGTTCACAGTTTCTGAAGACGCCACAATTAAACTTCAGCTTAACCTATGTGAGCCTTATTGAGTTTCATATGGAAACTTCGATAATTCTCCGCTGAGGTTTCCGTTCACAGACCACGCAAATTTTTTTGATTTCACGCTGTCGTTTTTCAGAAGACGGCTGAGAAATGTATAAAGTTTTAAAATACACGTTCTGAGCTGTTATCCTGCCCATTAGAGCTTCTGCTTCGCACGTCCTCATTCATCATCACCGTCGCGTTTTGCGTTAAGGTCCCTCGAATAGTTACACTGGAAAACAAACTTAGCCGTGGTTACTTTGCTATCAAAGCAAAAAAAATACTTATTTTCAAAAGAAATTGGTATTTTGGCGCATTCTCCCGGGGCGCGAAATTAAATTCGGTCACAATGACCTAAAACAATGTATGTATTTGCGCGCTCAAAGTTACAATTACTAAATTTAAAGTAGTTGCTTTTAAAATCCCTTGATGGAAAACTTCAGAGCAACGAGATAGATTCATAAACTAAAATTGACCGACCACGTTAACATTTTTTCCTACCACAGTAGATGAATTTGTCATCGGACATAGCGAACTCGACACTACGTTCGAGTTGGCTACATGTTCGCTACTAACATGCCAAATTCGCTGTCTCTGTTAATTTACAGTTTTAATTTCTCTTTTAACCATAAACCACAAGCAATAACTGTAATTTATACTCCCAACTGCGTGATTGCCGTTTTTAGGAGTCAGTTAAACTGATCATATGCAAATTGCCGTCTAGTTTGCTTTTAACTGCCTCGTTAATTTTTGTGATTGTTACGAGGTTGGATTTCACAGGTAAACCTGATTGTAGGGTGGAACGTATTGGCGAAGTCAACAAAATTGTAAGCTTCTTTCATAGAAATGTCCCTAAATGAAAATGAAAATCTATTCCAGACCAAAGGTTAGAGGGGCTAGCCATTAACAGTCGTTTTTCTAGGTCTGCCATAAAATGGCAGAGAAAGCAACTGATAAGTATCAATCTGTATCATTTAGAACAAGAAAAACCTGAACTAGCGTTAAGTTGACGTGATGTTTATTTAATATGTTCCAGTTTTCAGTTGCCTCGATTCAATTCGACGCTTGAACATATGGTTTCAATTTAAAAATAAAAAACTTAGTACACAAGTGTTACATGCTAATCTAATACGCTTAACACGAAATTCTAACCAATCTCTGTTTTGCTCTTTTCTGTTGTAGGTCCTCGGTCCTGTAGAACTCGGTCTCTAACAAGCATACAAAAACGACCGCGGCACGCATCGCCTTATCAGGAAACTTTTAGCCCTACCTTTTCTACCAGCTGAAGAAATTCCAACCACCTTCCACCGACTAGAAACTTAAGCAGTAACAGAACCCTTACAAGCCTTCACCCAGTATATTAACAACACCTGGATTAGAAGCACCATGTGGCTCCCGTCCTCCTGGAGCGTATTCCAACAGTACGTGAGAAAAAAAAAATTACACAGAAGGGTGGCAACATGGCCTAAATCGTCGAGTACAAGGAAAATCACAAATCCCGTAGTACCTACTCATCGGGTTACTCTTAAAGGAAACGTAACTGGTATCCCTTCAGATCCGCCTTGTATCGTAGAGAAGGTGGAAGAGGATCCAGCGTTGACAGTACCTTAACATACAAGCCCATCTGTTCGATGCGTGGGATAAGTTTGAGACAGGAGACATTTCAGCAAACCGTCTTCTCAAGAAACCATCACACATCATCGCTTCGCGATTTTGAACTGGATAAAGGGAAACTGTTAGCTATTGCAAATCACATATATCCTAAATGAAAAAATTTAGGTTATTTAAGTATTGTTGTTATCAAATGTACATGTACATAACCTAGATTCAATCAGCTTACTTCAAGGCCATTTTCGGGTTTTGCTACGATCGAGGTTTTAATGCGTCTTCAAGTTAAGTAGGATTTAGGATTTTATATGATAATAATTGTAATCAAATTAAAATTGTAGATGATAATTGTAATCAAAGTTTCAATTAGTTAATAAGCTTTTCAAGCGCTGTGTGTAGTAGCCTAGATTTGGTACCTCTAGATTCAATTCGTTTGCATTACTCTTAGTAGAAATCTTTTAGCGTGCATATAGACTGAAATTTATATAGTTTAATGATAAAGAAAGTACTGTAAAATGATTAATTTTGAGTCTTTTTTACTAGTTTTGTGCTTTCTCTCTCATCGCGGGCTCGATGATAATTACGGTAATATACTATAAAATGGCGCCCATTTCAGGTTGAGTAAGGCAGATTTCTTTAAAACAAGATATTCGTTCTAAAAGATCGTGGAAGTAGAATGAAAGAATGGTAGGATGAAGTAAGTAGTTTATTCGGCATGTAAGTTGCGAACGCGAACGTAGCGTACTCGACAAGTAGCGAAACCGGCTGTTAGTAGTACTGCCTATCATCCAGTCAAATACCAATTCCCAACAAAGTTTTTTACTTCTATTTAACGTCCATCGAGGCGCGAAATAATTTATTAGCAAGGAAACTTTTTTTTCCTCAGGCTGAAAAGAACCGCATAACACAAGTCGATTGCGTGATAGGTCATGAATGAAGTTGTCAGTGTCCCGCGAGCTGTAACAGTTAGAATTCTCCAGCGAACAAACCACGGTCTGAACGGCCTGCTTGGTCTGCACTGTCTGTATTCGGCAATTTTCGGTCGCGTCTAAGTATTAACATGTGAAGCATGTACTTGAGAAGCCGATTTGGATTCTTGTGTACCCAAAGACCACATAGCTAAAAAGGTCTGCTCTGAAGTCTTAGAAATTGTGGGTATTTGCTCAAGTAAAAAAAGGTTAAGTTGCTTCATGCAATTGAAAGTAATTGTGAAAACGAATTCCTCGAACAAAAGCTATCCGCCGACTGCCAGGTAACAGCTTTAAGCAAACCTTTAAGCCAACAGGCAGCAGACAGTCGGTAATCTGTCAGCAGGGTTGTTAAAAAGACTTGAATTAGAAGGAGAATGTAAGAAAGTAGGCGGCACTGGGGGCTGAAGGCCCCCACGCTAGGCAGGGGGTCTGGGAACGCCGAGTCTCCCAGCAGGGTACAGGGGCAGCGCCCCGTTGGGGGTCCAGGGGGCAAAGCCCCCTGAAGCAAAACGAATGTAGGGTTTTTCCACCAGCTGAAATTGCCTCTCCTTGAAGCAATTTTTATATGTTTGCACTATTCTAACTGGCAACAGTTAACATTCCTTTTACCTCTCTAAGAAGATCTAATCATTTTTATTAGTGAGTTCAAAAAAAACAATTTAGTAGTCACTTCTCACATGTGAGCATCTGTCATCATATTTTAGCAACATTAAGATTGGTTTACATGAGTTTGCATTTGATGTTCTTCTTCACAATCACAGAATTATTTATTATTTACTTGGTTTCCAAAAATCAATTACATCACAACACTCAATTTCTGGATGGAATTTTTAAAACTTCACCATTTCGTATGAGTGGATTAGTGAAAAAACTTTGCCATTTCCTATTAAGTCACTCAGGACTGTTAACACTGTCATTCTGAGATGAATTTTAAAGGGGGTGATCTTCATCACTAAAACTCCATATCTGTGTCACTGTCACTTTCAAAAGCCGAGTCATAATAAACGTCAGGGAGGCCAATGGCTGTTGTATCAGCTTCTGCCTCTTCATTCTTAGCAATCACATTGACATCCTCATCCTCAGTCTCCTCGTATCCAGGTTCAACTTCCAAGACACTGTCTGTCTGAAGCTTCAGCGGCTTCCAGATTGGCTGATCTCACGGTTGAGGTCTTCTTTAGTTTCTTTCTTGGCTTCTTTTTTAACCAATTATCAACTGAAGACTTGACGACATCACTGCACTGGGCACTATCTGGGACATTGATGGCAACTTGCATTAACGAATTCAACATCTCATTACCGAGACGGTTGCGAAACTTTGTCTTTGTAATGTTTATAACACTCCCTCCTCTCTCTGGCCAAGCGTTGCTGCAAGGTAGTGAAAGCCCAACCTCAGCCACATACAGCAATTCTTGAGAGATTGAGGGGTGGAATATACCCTCATTTTTAAGCAGGAAAGACATGAAGAATGTGCTGCTGTGACTTCCTATCGGCACGCCTTTTAACTGCCCAGCAGACAGAAAAAACTTGACATGGAACCACTGTCAGAGTAACTCGGTCTTCTTGTCTTCACTGCCAGAGAAAAAGTGATTGGCCTTAGGGTTAGAGAGAATGGAAACTGACTTTGTCATGCATACTTAAAGCCTTTTCGATTAATTTGGTCAATTATATAACTCCTATACCCTCCAAGGACACAAACTATAGATGGTTAAGCACAACACCAAAAATGAGAACTTTCCTGTCATACTTCATATTTTTCCTTTAGTTTTGTTACAAATAAA